ACGGCCGCGCTGACGCGGCACAAGCGGCGGCACAGGCGGAGCCGGCCCGGCCGCACCCTCCGTCCCAAAGCGGCGGGAGCAATAACAGTAGCAATAACCTCGCCTAGGTGATTTCTAGCTCCCAAGGAAAGTGTATTTTGTCCCTCCCAGTGGCGCAGCCCATTGCCGCGGCCCGGGAGCAGATGGGTAAACATTAACGAGCGCTGTCGGAACGGAAGAAAGCCGCGGATGGAAACCCTTGGGAGCGCGAGAGAACGACCGCGTTACGCAAGAGGCTCAAACACAGAACTCTGTACTTTGCCGTCGTTCCTTTGTATTTAATCCTCGGGACAACGTTTGCATAAAATGCTGAGGCAACGGGACCGACTGACACGTGGACAAGACAGGCACAGCCGGACATCGCTGAACACGACATGCGCTTAAGGCGTCTAACACTATGTAAAGCAGCATCGTATGTCTCCACAGCAGAAATAACACCAGTTCTGGTACAGAGATACTGGAGGAAAGCACAAACCAGCTAAAGTACTTTGTTTGCCACTCATCAGGACGGCATTAAATGCAACATGATATGATATGACAGTAAAAGACGTGGGAAGTCAGGCTGACGGGCTGGCCTGGCTGTGCCACCTCTCAGCAATCGCCCCACAAAACCAAAGCCAGCTGCCCGGCCACCTGGACAAAACTAAATTACACATCATGTCATTTATAAGTTGCATTGATTTCTAGTAGGGTAGACATTAAAAAGAGGCATTTTAGTCCTTGCTATGGCTTACTACTGTGGATTCACCTGTGACAGTGGAAAGTTGAAAGTTACATACACTGAATTAAATGAAGTAAATCACAGTTATTTTGTCATCTCTAGAGTAGAGTACTGGGGGTGGGCTCTACTTTTCATTCAGGAAGATGCTTCCTCATTTTCTGCAGAAAAGGTCACTCTATAAAGTGCACCGTGAATTCTGGATGTGTTGTGTCCCAGCCATTTACTCGGCTCTGAAGCTTTCCTCCCTCTCAGGCTGCCAGTGACCGAGCCTACTTTGGGACTTGAAAGTGAAGCGATGGGGGTTTTCCTCATTTGTGCGTCAGTGTTAATAATAAAACCTAACATCTGGAATTCAGCAGTTCTTGGAGTGACCTCTGAGCTAGGAGCTAATCTAAAGCAGCATCCTACAGGTATCTGGCTCTGGCTGCAGTGGGAATAAGGAAATAAGAAGCAGTACAGCACATTTTGATCAGCAGAGGACACAGTTCGTTATCCAGGACACCTGTTGGGACACTGTCACCTCTCTTAAAAGATCCCTTTGGAGCTGCATTAGATCACCACCTGTACATTACATAGCCCCATATATGTGGGGGATATAGGTGGTGCACTATAAAATAGTCGCTTTTTCAGCCCTGCTGTTCCCCAGACATGCTGAGATTCTCCTTCTCTCACCAACAGTGGTAGCAGAGCATGCTCAGCACCCGGGAGAAGAATGGCTTTTGCTCTCTGGAGAGGTTTAATGTGAGTGAGTTCCCTGCCCAGACCGGTGTGCGCAGCTCCTGTCAGATGTGAGCATTTGGCAAACGCCAGGCAGCACAGCCCGAGGCTCTGAGGGCTCCACAGGCTGGAACCTGCAGCGGGTGTGTGGTTTTTGTCTCAGCCCCAGCAAAACCCGTGTGCTGCACTCCAGCAGCAAGGCTGCCGTCTGTAGGGCAGTGCTTCAGCAGCTGTTTGAGAGCCGCTGAGGAGAGCTGCACGTCCTTTCTTTGGAAATGGCTAGAAGGATATCATTTCCCTCCTTAGTAAGGCTGGTTTATGATGCGTGTGTCCAAATTGCAAGCCCTCAGGAGCCAAAGTGGTAATTAGCACATTTTAGATACTCTCAGGATGATCCAAAACATTTTCCTCTGCACAATAATGACATGATTATAAACTCCAGTTAGTCTACCATGAGCCAAAAAAGGCAGTGAATGATTCCCAAGGGTATCTTTGGGCATTGCTGATGATTCCGTGGTTTGTTTCACAGCTATTTTGCAGTTTGCCTGTCAGCAGCTAATGGCTAAATTCACATTTCAGTGTAATTCCATGATGCTGCAGCAAAACCCCTTAACTCAGCTGTGACTTCAGCTGATCCCCCCAGGGATCTCCACCTTCTATAAATGTTACATATATTTACCTAATACTTGCAGCTGTGAGCATTACATACATAAAATGGAACCTTTCAAAATACAATCTCAGCATGCCAAAAATAGATTATTTCATCGAGCTTCTGCCCTGCAATATCCATCTTTTGTTTACAATGTACATATATATTTATATATAGAGTAACATGAAAATACTGTTTATAAATATTTACTTTAAATCCCTCTACGTACATCCAACAGCATCAGGGGAGCAGTTGCTTGGGACCACAAGGTCCATGCATTCGAGATGCAGTTTCTTGGAGTTTTATTTTAAGCTGTGGAGATGAATAGCTCAGGACATTAAAGCAGGACACAGGGTGGGCTGTTTATCCCACCTGCAAACCACTCAGCCCCTGCCCCTGCTCTGTGTCTGTGCACAGCATTCCTACTGATGGTATATACTGTATTCAGTTCTACAGAGCAAGTATTTTTGTAGCACAAGGGCAATATTTTACAGAGTGGAATGGAACTAACAGACAAAAGTAAACTCAGCTAAAGTCTGCAGTGCCAAAAAAAAAAAAAATTAAAAATAAAAATCCAATTGCTTTACGGTGCTTATCATTGCTCTGCATGTTAGAAACAATGGCCCCAGGCTTGAGAAAATCAAGCTTTAGATTGGTACTTTCTGTCAGTCTTTTCACTGTTTCCAAGGTGTAACAGCCTTGGCTTCAGCTGCTGTATAGCCCTCCTCCCAAAAACACTACAAAAATAGATCTTGGGCACACAGTCTCACCCAGTCCAACAGCCCATTACCCAGTGAGGCTGCTGATCACAGTACATGGCTGCCAGGTTAGGGCTCTATGGACCACCACAAGGGCTCTACACACCCCTATCCTGAGAATTCTGTACAAATTCTTGGTTCCTGTGGTCCTGCCCTGAACTGAAAAGAGATCTCACAAATAGAAATTTGCCAGTCTATAGCAACCAGCTGATAGCTATTTCCTGCTGTTGGATAATAAAGTGCTCTTGTCTTAATTAGTTACTCTTTAGCAGGGAACTCTAAGGAAAGGTACACATTTCCTTCCTCCTCCCTTTACTGTGCTTTCCCAAGAGTTAAACATGAGATTCGTCCAGATCAACATCCGTCTCCCCAAGCTCCACGTGCGTGAAGCTGAAGTGAGTAGCCAGCAAAGGGTTCTCCATCCCGTTGTCCTCACTGATGTGCAGGACAGTGTCCCCATGCTGCAGCAAGCTGGTGGTCTCCAGGCCAGCGTAGTCCTCGGTGTCAGAGAGCTGGGTGGGGGGAGTGCCCTGTGCTGTTGTTGGCCGGGACTCCAAGCCCTCCTCTTTTTCCTTCTCCTCCTCAGCAGAGAGTGCCTCGCTCTGCAATTGAGGAGAGCTGGTGGTCAAGCTCAGAGAAAGCAGGAAGGAGAGGGAGGGAAAAAGGAAAGGAAGGTCTATGAAGTATTTTCTCATTCGGATATACATTTTACCATAAAGAACCAGGCACTTGCTGATTACAAATCCATTAAAATTATACCTAAAAATATATTTTTGCTGGTGAATCAAATTTACATCAATGATCAGAAAGGTTATCTGATTTGAGTATATAACACTGCCGCATTTCATCTTTTTTATTGCATGGCTTCAAACAGGGAGTAGGTTTACATTAGATACTAGGAAAAAATTCTTTATACTGAGGATAGTGAAGCACTGGAAAAGGTTTCCCAGAGAAGCAGTGACTGCCCCATCCCTGGAAGTGTTCAAGACCAGGCTGGAAGAGGCTTGAAGCAACCTGGTCTAGTGGAAGCTGTACATGGCAGGGGGTGGAATGAGTCCAAACCATTCTGTGATTCATTCTGTTATTCTGAAGAGAGAGATAATTCATTTGTTCATGGCAGAGGGCATAACCTCAAAAGACACTGGTGATCTCAGTGTCACTGATGTGTTGAAGGGATGACTGTGATTGTCCCTGCACCATCCTCAGTGGAGCCCAACACAGAAAAATGTTGGACAAGCAATTTCTTTTGCAACATGATGCCTAAAAGTCCTGAGGCTTTGATGGAGTCTTTCCTTAAGGAGGCATATCTCAGGGAGCAAGCTGTAAAAACCTGCTGAGGACAGCCTGCCTTGGTGATTAGGTCCAGAATGACACTGTAATTGACATTAGGATGGGAAGACAGAAAGGGAAGATGTAGGAAATACATCTTCAAATTAAGAATTGTTGCACAGATCTGGAAGGGAATGGCTTTACAGAAGCAGGGGGCTTGACAGCAAACAGCCTAAAGAATGGACACACAGCAGAGTTTGCTGTCTTTACTCTCCTGCCAGCTTTCATCAGAGTGCTGCAATGCATCCAGTGCTTCCCCATGCCTGGGCCGGAGCAGTGGAGGGACACGGGCTGCAAACCCAGCAGTGACGTTACCTGGCTGTGAAGATCAGCTACGACGATGGCAGGTGAGGAGGTCAGCACAGGTTTGCTGGGGGGCTCCTGCTGGCTGCTGGCCTGGGGGCTGCTGTGGCTGCAGCCCTGCTGCTGTGCCGCCGGGTCCACGGCACAGGCTGCGGGGGCCTCGGGCTGGGCTTCGGTGAACGTCACCGACCGCTTCTGCTCCGCTGAAGGGTACAAAGCCCAGAAAACTGAGGGTTAAAATTGGGGAAGAAATACACAAGAAAAGAAGATAGACAATCCCTGCAGGTTTTACAGCTAAGACAGGATTTGTGGTTTGTTCCATCTTTCTATAAACTGTCTAATCAGCATCTAGTCTAAAAGTCTTTTACTCTGGGCTTCCACTACAGCCACAGCAAGACTCTGGGACCTCCTGAAGTCTAGCCAGCACACCTATCCTCGTCATGGCTTGGTGAGAAAAATACCATAATATCTTTCCATTCCAGAAGAATACACTGAGTTGAACTCCCATGTGAGTTGGACATTTCTGCCCTCAAATAAAAAAGAAAAACTGTTGTGCAAAAAGACAGGAAAATTGCCCGAGGTTTTGCAGAAAATCTATGAAAAGAAAGTGCAGCAGACAGCCCCTCATTCCTGCAGACTAGGTCCACTAGCCAGGAATAACAGAAGAGCACAGAGTAAAGACAGCTAGACTAGAAACTTAACAGTAAAACTGATATTCCCATTCCTGCTCTTAATTATTTTTGGTTAACTTTTACGTTTAAAACATCTCCAGCAGTGGTGTTGCCCCAGCACACTCCCGCTGAGCACCTAAAAAGCCAGAAAGCTCACAAGTAACCTTTGCTCTTCCAGATGTTTTCTCCAAAGCTCACTGCTCACTCCAGATGGTACAGAACACACCCACCTGCTCAGCTTGGCAGTGCTGACTCCTGGAAACATACAGCACAGACTGAAACAGCCCTACATTCATTTCTGTATACAGTCCTTAAAGCTCTGTACTGCTAAGCTTAATGATGGGACATTTTCTTCTTTCTACTGCTCTCAATAGCATCTTCCAAACTTGTACATCTGGAAATTTTGGATAAGGCATCCTGACTAGAGGAAACCCATCCCCTAAATTCTCTTGGAAACAAGATAATTCATTGTCCATGTCCTGTTTGACCTTGAAAACCTCTGGAGAAACCATCAAAGTGTTTTGAGGGGGTGGATTTCTGGTAGGATATCCATGTACTAGGGAAAAGTATAAAGCTGCTAGGACATCACTTTAATATAAGCTACTAACAACCTACTATTCCTTTCAGAGATCAAACCACAGCATTTTCTGCTTTCCAGTGTGCTGGTTCTGGACATGCAGCACTGCCCTACCGCAGGGTTTTGGCTTTGGCTGGATGCTGCGCCGCGTGGTTGAAAGTCGAGCTCCGTGACGGCTCCGAGGTTCGGTTTGAGTTTTCTGACGTGACAGCAGCGGTCGTCGAAGCTAAACATCGGAAGAGAGAGTTAGGCTGGTGTACATTCACATATTGCACAGCTTCTTCTCTGAAAGGAGAACAGATCATCACTGTCTGTACCTCTAGATGTCCACTCACTCTGCTCTTAGCAGATAGGTGTTTTAAGGTTTCCATGGCTCACACATTTCCTTCATATGAATTTCTGGGCTTTGTGCCTTTTCAGTTTCAGCCCTGGGTGTAATGCAGTGCAGGCTGTGTTACCAGTAATAACAAGAGGATGAGACTGAGGAATTTAAAACAAAGGGCATCTCCTTCCTTAGGGAATTGCCTGGCTTCACACCTATGATTTGTGCTATGGTTCCTGCTAAGTCAAGGGACTGCACTAGTATAGCAAAAATTAGGCAGAAGGGACACATTACATCCACACATTGTGTCCAAACAGCCAGGTACAAGAAAAGCCAAATCAAATCACTGAGCAGGAGAGAAGGTTTGTTTACTGCCCGTGTCCTCACCTGCCGTAGCCCTCTCTTCCGCCCCAGGGGCTGCTGCAGAAGGAGGTTCTGCTGTCCTGGCTCGCTCTGCACACTTGCCACCCTGTTAGATGTTGACAGCATTAGGAGAAGCACAGAAGCATGATGCATAACTAGTAGGTGTCCTGGCAATTGGGACTAAAATAAATAAACAAACAAGAAATCGACCAACCACTAATGGCACAGTCACTTCAAAGAGCAGCACTATCTTTGAAGGATGGGAGGGGACATGTCTACTGGGTTGTGGCTTCCGGGGGCTTGGGAAAGGGTGGGAGGTGGAGTCATGGCATTCAGGACTTGGCCACACACAGGTAGCATCCAAATATAAATAACTGCAGATTTCAGTTTTCAGTCATTGATTGATGCATCCCACTGAGCAGCACTCCCTTCTCTGCATCCTTTGCCACATCAGTGAAAGCAGGAACATCAGCTTCCTAGCTCAAAAGCCTTCTTGTTTGCTTCTCCTTTTTTCAAAGGACAATGTTGTAAAAGCTACTTTTTTTGCTTCCTAAATAAGAAGACTCCATGGCCTCATCACAATTTTGTCATCTGGTTTTAATTTCAGTTTAAGTCAACATACGCAAAGTGACAAAGGATCCATTCACATAATTGATGCATGAGTTATGTGAACAAGGCCCCACACTCAACACTTGCAGCCTCAAGTCTTTTTGTGACTAACAAACAGAAGAGACAAGCAAACAAAAATTAGAGAGAGAAACACAGCTTTTCCATTTTTAACATATTGGCACAAAATATCTGAAAACCTGCAGTAGAAGAAACTTTAGCAATAAAACATACTCGGCTATGTACCATCTCACTACCATTCAACCTACTTAATATAAAAATACCACCCTCCCCTCATTTTTATCAAAGCACTGTATTCCTCCAAACACTGGACATTTAGCAGTCACAAAACACTTTAGCTGAGAGACTTATCACTACAATAGTCACTAACAGTTAAGACAGACTTCTTTTAACTCAGGCAGCTGCTTTATTTAAGCCAGACTGGAATCCACTGAGCAACGTGCTATTTAAACAACTTCCAGCTATAGCTGATACACACACTGTTGAAGATTCAGTATTGCAATCCATTTTGTCTTTGGATTGCATTAATCTAAAGGAAAACAGTATTATTTTCTCTGGATACTTCCCTTGGATCTCCCTGGAGTTTGTCGCTACCACCAAGAGAATTAAGGCTAATTAGCTGACCGTGCAGGGGTGGAGGAATAAGATAAACCTAGGGATATGGTCAGACAAGACATGGAGGATGACTATGGAGAGGCTTAAAAAGATTTGTCTTCTCAGCAGCTCATTCTTCACTTTGGCAGAAGTTACCAATTGTCCTAATAAGGTTTGGCAGAACAGAACATGAAAGGTTTCTTGCTCTGCTTTGGGCCTGTGAAGGTTTAGGACCTTTCCTTTTTTTTTCCTCTCATGGAATTTTGTCCTATCTGTCTCTAAGAAACCATACCAACCAATACTTAGGAAAGACAAGAGAAGTTTCCATGGGAAGGGTGCAGCTTGCCACTCTCTGAATTGGGGTTTCTCTTGGAGGGGCAGAGATACCGTGAGGATAGGGCTGGGGGAAAATGGGGCTGCCGTAGCTCTTAGCTCTCTTGTTCTCTCGTCTTTGGAGGAGGATGGTTCACCTGCTGTTTGGGGAGGGAATTAATTCACTGCTGCCTCCTGAGCCCGGTCCTGCCCTGTTTTCTCCTACTCCGCCTGAGTGTTTGCTCATGAGAACAGCCATTGAAGGGGCACCTTATTGGCACTCTGCCTCACTGGAAAGGACCCTTGGGTCAGGGTCCTCAGGGGAGGGACCCGGAGGTCTCCCCGGGGCTGCTGTGGAGGAGCCCGGCAGCCGCTGCCCAGCTCTGCGGCTTTCTCCCGCTGCCTCGGGCTTTTCTCGGCGCTCTAACCCACACCCCCTGCCTGCCGGGACACCCCGTGGCTGCTGCTAGAGCGGCAGAGTTTCTTTCAGCCCCGCGGTTGCTGCTGCAGCCCCTCCCGGCCGCTCAGCCTGGCCGCCATTGCCCGTGAGGGAGAGGCTGCACGGCTCGGGCACAGCGCCCCCTGGCGGCGCGGGACTGCCGTGCCCCGCGCGGGGCCAGCAGCGCCCCCTGGCGGCCGTGAGCGGAACTGCGCTGAGGGGAAAGCGCCTGAGGGCCCCGAGAGAGAGCCGGGGGCTGTCGCTGCCTTTGTGCTGCTGCTCGCCTTGTTACACCTACAGACACGCAGCAGCAAAGAACTGCTACTCCTCCTCCCACATCTTTGCCTGAAAGACTCTTCAAAGTTATAATAATTCACAGGGAAGTGGGCCATATTCTTCGTTCCGGCCTCCCTTGGCAGACACCTGTCTTTCAAACCAAGACAGAGGCAAACTCTGGTTACCTGATCTTAAAGCCTTTTTCCTTCCTCCTTTTCTTTTAAACTAAAGCCAGACCTTATACTGAATCATATCCATGTGTTTCTATCACTTCTACAGGGCAGACAGTGGGCCACTTCAAGGACAGAGACATCTTGGGACCCTGAAGCTGTTTATCTTTTGGTTGACAGACTACTGCCTAATAATCCTGGGCATGCCTTCAGCAATCTCACCACAGCTGCACCTCGGAAAAAGAGGAAAAGCATCAGCAAGCTCAAAGCCCAAAAAATCAAGATATTTAATATTGAAATTTGAGTCCTTTTCTTCCTTAGACAGGTCTTCCAAATGAAATCATAGTCCCTAGAACATATATCCCAGCTTTTCCATAGGATATTGACATGCTTTACACACCAAACATCCTAAACACTACATAAACACCTGCCATGGGATAAGCAGAGCCCTTAGAGTTGCCTCCTGTTATTAGGAATATGTTCTTAGACATCAATTGCAGCACATATGACTGGTAAGTCCAAAAGCATCACATCATTCCTTATTAAAGCAAAGGAACTGCACTTAAATTAGTCTTTATATGATCCAGACCACCTAAAATTGACTGGTGAATTGCCTTAAGTCTTCTGTTTCTAGGATTACATAAAAACTTCTTCTGAATTTCTAGAAATTTTTACACTGGTTACCACTATGTGAATGAAGTAGGAATTAGCTGGAGAAGTTCTTGAAAACAAGCAGTCTACTGGGCTAGCTTTGAGAATACTGTTACAATTTCTGAGGAAGGAAAGGTAACTCTCAGTTCTGTGAGTAAGGAGACAGGTCTGTAGCAGAAAAACTGCAATTATATTCAATGCAAAACTCTTCACAGTGCTGAAACAAACTCACTCCACATGTGATACGAAAACACTTGAAAAAGTCATTAGATAATGGGTATACATGGACTGTGTGAGGGCACAGAGGCTGTACACGAGATAAAAACTATTCCCATGCACTAAAGACTAACAACAGGCAAGCAAAAAGAAAAGCTGGACTTCGTGTCTTCCTGCTGGAGTCTGTGATTTTCAGCCTGGCTTATAACATAAGTGAAATGAGTTAAGTGAGCTGGTGGATGTTTACTTCTGGTACTGAGTCATTAACAAATTGGTATAATCTGGGATGATCTTACAGGCTAAAATTGCAGAGAGCTATTGCAGGGTGGACCTGAGAGCGGCTGAGTTTTGCAGAGCTGTCTGTGCACAACACAGTGCTGCTGTGGCTGTCTTTTTGCTCTCTATCCCCACATTTTGAAGAAAGAAAGAGAGAGAGGATGATAAAGACCACAAATTTCAGATGAGTGACTGAATTTTCAGATGTAAGCCTTCTCTTCATGAGGGCTTGTGAGAGTTTCTTTTCACATCAAAGAACAGAACTACTGATCTTATTTCCATAAAAACAAGCATGGCAAGCAGGGGGTTAGCTCTGTGCAGCTTGCCCTCCCTCATTTTCTGTCTTTCCTGTCTTACCACACCTTACCAGGAATATACCAGTTTTCTGACAGCCTGTGGGACCCAGCCAAGGAACAGCAAATCAAGTTCCTTTTCAGCTGACAATATATTTCCCCCCTTCCACCATGGCAATGTGATCTATAAGAATAGTTTTTCTAAAGGAAATAAGCCAGATTTATTGGGGAATAAGAAACAAGATTTTTTTTTTCCTGCCCAACACACTGTCACTCTCTGAATATCTCTGTCAGGGGTTTATTTGCACAGTAATGTTACTACCATTATATAGGGCAGTGGTGAGCCAAAGATCAAACCAGCCCAAGTTTATGGATGCAGGTTGCCAGCTCTACAAGGAATGACAGAAAGTGCAATCACACAGTGGGGGCCAAAACAAACTTTGTTGGGTTGGCAAGTAAAAGAAGTGATGCTCAGGAATTGCAAGAAAACCAAACCTTTCAGCCAAAAAAAAAAAAATAAATAAAAGTAAGAAGAAAACAAAAAAACAAAACAAAGGAAGCAACGAGTTTCAATTTCCATTAAAGAGATGCACATGCTTACCACACCGTCATGGTAGAGCGTACACATTTTGTGTCCCTAGACATATGAATGAGAGGGTGGGTGGACAAAAGCAGTGGAGAATGGGTTAAATATATTGTATTTCCAGACACATCCCAGCCCAGTTAGCACTAAATCTGCTGCTGCAATTGCCCTGGAAATATGGAGTCAATTTTTCCTGTTAGGAGCCATTAAGCTAGGAGAGGCACAAACGTTACAGGAAAATGTGTTTGTGCAACTGATTTCCATTACAGTGGTTTCACCTTCTTCCTTTCTGATTTGGGAAAATATCCTGTTCTCTCAGATTATAACCACAACAGATCACAATGCTCCTCAGCCCTTTAGCCCAAGCTGTCTGCACTTCAGTGTTCTCCCCTTCCTGCCTACCCTGCTTTTCTTCAAAGCTGTATCTAATTGTTACAGAACAAAGGGAAACAGACTTTATTCTTTTTTGTATTTGTCACAATTTAATTTATTTAAGACTCCTACCTTCCATAAGGGTCTAGTCCCTAGTTAATATTGTTTATTTCTTTATCTCAGTTATGACTAAACACCAGCTTATGCTTTTAGAAGGTGATCCTAAAAAGTTATCATCAAAAGTTATCAGCCAAAATCAGTTACATAAGAAAAACTCAAGCCTGCTTTATTCAGAACTAATGTTCTTGAATGTAAAAACAAATTAACTCTGCCCTATAATCCCCACAGCACATATAAGCTTCTGCAACATCTGCTTTATTATTGCTGTCCTTTAAAGGAGAAATCCAATTTTCACATTTAACAATGAAGTTGAAACGTATTTTCCTCCTCACAGAGATCTAACCTAATCTTTTTAGACATAATTGCAGTGTCTTCATTCCTCCTTAGGGCTTTGCAGCTCTGGTGTCTGTCCTTAAGACATTAGTGCCTGCTCCTTGAAAATAATAATAAATAAACCTCAGCAGAACTGCCTCCCAAGTGCATCTGCTGACCCATTTGCTTTAGGACACCTCTGTATCATAGAGCAGGGTGGATGATGGTGTCCTGGAGGACATGTCCTGGTCCCTAAGGCAAATTTTGGGACAGGAATTAATAGGAACCCATTGTGAAACTGAATACATTTCAGGGTTCAAAATAAATCATTGTGTTTGAACACATTTATTGACTTTGGTGTCTCATAGTGCTCAGCCTCACCACTGTAGTTAGGAGTGGCTACCCCCTACTTAACAAGATCAAAACATTTCAAAACCAACAGTGATGTAACCAAGTATCAGGTCATTATGGCCTTAGCTCAGATACAGACAGACCTTCCCCTTTATCCTCTTCATCAGCTGCAGCGAGTTTTTAGTGCTGCTAAAGGGACAACACTGAAGTTCCTTGACTGAATGATTTCTCTTCACCTCTTTAGCTCAGATGACCATGCAGTCCATCTTACTTTGTCAAAAATCCAGGTAACAGTACTCCTGCCTCAAGAATATGATGTTTTTTCCTAACCAATCATAGACCAATCTGCCAGAGCAGGGTTCACACACACGAAGGACATGTTACATGGAATGAGCTTGGTGACAGCACTGATGATAAACTCTCCTTTTGTCAGCTGAGGAGAGTGAACAAACAAACACAGCAGCCTGTCCCCATCCCCAAAAGCCACTACCAACATCAAAACCCAGGCTAATGGAACAGAAATCATTCACACAAACACCTCTCAACATATCCACAGCTTCCACTGGTGCAGGAATGAAATAGCAAGTTACCCTCCATGTTGCCAGTGTATGGGGCCATGTTCTCCTGGGAGGAAACAGAGATGCTCTTGGGACTAGCAACAGTTCTCCAGCCTCAAGAGGATGGATTGAGAGGTGGAAGCACAGCAGGAGGGCAGGGAGAATTATTTACTTGACAGATCTGGTGTTAAAAGTGCAGCCTTCCCTTCTGAGTTCACTCCTGACCCATTAATGTTTGTTCCCCTATCTATGGGTAATGAGGAACAGCTAGACCTGAACTCCAGCACTAACAGAGCCATTTTAGATATGTATTTATGGTGTCCACCTGCAAGATTTCTAAGGTGTCATTTGAGAATTGAAAATGCTTTGCAAAATTAATGAGAATTATTGTAAAGCACCCACAAAACACTGTATTCCACAGGACTTACCTTAATTAGTTTTACCAGCGAATGGTAAAAAACTCAGATTGATATTAAGTCTTTTGCAGTGACAGTATTGTGAGATGAATGAAAAAACAGATGTCTCCATTTTACATAAGCCTTCAGACTAATGCTTATAACAGGATACAGCTAATGCCTCGTGGATCATCTTTCTCATGCCTTTCAAGCAATTGTTAAACAAGGGGAAAATCCCAAGGCCAGCCTGCTGCTTCATTCATTACAGTTTTTCTTTCCCCTTCTCCTTAGCCTTCTCAAAGTTATTGGCAATCAAAGCTGAAAACTGAAGGTGGGTTGCTACATCTTTGACTTGCAGGCCTGAATATTGATGAGCCACAAGAGACAGAGATGGAAAGAGTGACAAAAGGTGAGGGGAAGAGACAGAAGGTTGGAAACAGCTCGTTTCCCAGCACACACACCGACAGACAGGTAGTGTTAACACTGTACCTAGAAAGGCTGCCCTCAGTGGCCAGGCTCGGGGAGTCATCGAGGACATTAGGTTCACTGCAGGAGGGGCAGGGAGATTAAGAATTTAGGGAAAGAAAATGCAAAAAAGCATGCGCTTGTCTCTGTTTTCAAGGGAAAAAAAAAACGGAATAAAAAAGTAAAAAAAAAAAAAAGGACTGTAACATTAATTGGTCTCACATGCTCAACGGCACATATATGACTCAGAGGAGCTGAAAGAACATCTGATAACAGGAGCAGTCTTTAGAGAGGGTTTACACTGCATGAAGCCTTCCGCATCTCTGCTGAGATTTGGGGAGCTGAGAAGTTCAACAGGATGTGTTTCCAAAGGAAATAAGGCAGGGAACTGTTTTCAAAACTATTTTTCCTGCAGCATTTTGATTTATTTCAGTTCTATTTACTTTTGGCTTCACAGAAAGCTTTTTTCCTTCCCCATGAGCCACCTTCTTGAGGGAGGGCTGATCTACTGTGAGCTATAGACCACTCTCCTTCTGGTGCAACTCTAAGGACAAACATCTGGAGAACAAAGTCTCATAGTGCAATGAAATTGTGAATAAACAGCTGGCAAGGGTCTTGGCAAAGGGACACAATTCCAATGCTTTTCTGCAATGCAGCCATTAGGCAGGAGCAGCCTACTCAGGCCACAGGAAAAACATGAAAGAAAGAAAGAAAGTAGTCTGTTGGGTTACCAGCAGGGAGGCGGTAATAATATTGCTTAGCATTAATTAGAGTACATCTGTGAGGCAGTCTGAAAGCCCAGAGACTATTCATAACTCAAAGGGCATGATGTTGAGGACTATGATTATACTTGCTGAGCTGGTCCTTCCCCTACCCAGATGAAAGGTGATTCTCCTGTTATACCATACGTTTAAATAGTAGAGAGTGAAGTTCTGTGTTAATTAAAGTCTTTTTTTTTTCTCAGCATCACCATGATTTGGGACAGCACAAAGCAAACATTGCTCTCAGTCAGGTGTGACTCTTATGAAGTTTATGCATTGAAGACGGTAGTGAAAGATTGAGGAAAATGAAGTCTTGCATATTAATTTTTCAAGAAACAAAGGGACTGAATCAACTGAGTTCAAGAGTCAAATGAGTTCCTGTAAGTCCTTTTGTGAAAATTCCCAGATAAAATCTGTGTAACTTCTCATTAAAGGTTCAAAGGGAGTAACATAAATTAATATGTCCATTGTCAGATATACTTGGATAACTATGTCAGGGACAAATAAAACAATAAACACTGTTTATTTAGAAAAAACAAAATCACGTTTAAATGCAAAACTTCTCTCTACATCTTCTAAAAATGTACATTTCCCAACAGGCTCTTCCTCACCGTTCCATGTCAACCAGAAATAAGGCATTCTAAGTAATTTGTATCAACAAGTATTTCAGGTTTAAAACAGTATTAAATCCCATCTTTGAACACAGCATTTAGTTTCTGTGATGAGCTAGTTACTTTTCTAGGAAGGACAAAGAACACATGGAAGAAAACAAAGTAAATCAAACTGCCTCTGTCCCTCTTTCCCAGCTTCTCAACCCTCATAAACTGGTTATGGTCCCCTGGTTCAATGAATATTCCAAAACCACATTTCCTTTTGCTATTCAGTGGTAGCAGAGAAAAATAATAACGTAGAGTGTTTCTGAAACTGTTTAAGAGGAAGGTTGCTGTGGATGACAGCTTGTTCATATGGACCCTACGCAACACAGATCACCTTGGAAAATCATTGTTTCCAGCCCTGCACCCTTGCTTCAACACTATTCCAGGATTAATAAATTTAGCATCTCTATGCTGGCACTGATTCCACTATCCCACCTCTCTGCTGTGCCTGGGCCATTTCTGCTCTTGTTATTATAATGGGAAAGGTGAAAAGCCCATGTTTTTACCTTTGGCTGGGTAACATGCCCACCTCAGCCTGAGGTGCAGACATGCTGGAGAGATGGCTGGAGAAGCGCCTCCTCCCAATGGCACCCATAAGGTATGTTTCTTGTTCACTTACCACACTGGGCATGCTCAAGGAGTCATCTAGAAAGACAGAATAAAAAAAAAACAGGAAAGGAGAGGAAACAAGCACCCAAACCCAACCTGCATCTCGACAGTTGTCAAGAGAGAGCAGGATGCCAAAGGTGTACACAGCATTCACTTACCAAGAGCCCGAGCCTGCAAATTGGAATATTCTATTAGATTTTACAGCCACAGTGCAGAAACACATAAACCTCTGCAGGATGAGGAACCTGACAGACATGGGGCAGGGATTTATGCATTCTTCCAGCTTAAATGGCTCTCAGGAAAAACTGTTTGCGGAATTCAGCTTCCACTAGGGATTAATTCCTGTGATTAATAAATTGCTTGTTAATATACAACATTTCCAGCATAGAAGTTGTAACTGGACATTTTTCTGCTGTGAAATAAACTGCTGCTGTGATCTAGCAAAGCACTGTGACAAAACAGCCAAAATACCTGACAGCAAAATGCAGAGCTGACACCCTTCAACACCCTTCAGGACATGCATTTTAAAATGTCACCAAAAATGTGGATAAATTGACTCAATTACTTCATGCTGCAACAGAACAATGCAGACAGTTGGACTGCAATCAGGACTGCTTGAAATTTTCAGTGCTTTTTCAAATTATATCAAGCATCCAGAAAGAAATTATTGTGGGTTTTGCCACAACAAATTTTAATTACAAGTAAAGAAAAAAAAGGGGTGGGTTTGTGTAATTTCCTCTCCTCTTTTTGACCTTTTTTTCAATTTTGATGTACTTAAATATTTTACAGCAGTGTTTATCCAAGGCAGGGCTGAGGAAATAATGCTGTAGTTCAGATAGGAAGATGGCACTTACTGTTCCACGCAGTGGCTCAGAATTAATCTGAGGTTGAAACCATATTTTGCCACAGTGGGAAAATATCTGAACAATGTATAAGCACTACAGCTCTGGGTGGATTGTACAAAGTTTAGTGGTGAACCCAGCTAAAATAAAGTTGGGCTGAACCTGCAAAGTTTCAGGCTAACTGCTCTTTCCCAAAAGGCAATCCTGCTGTAACTGCATGCTCCTTTCTCTTGAGCCCCCCATTCTCACTCCTTCTGTTTGATGCTTTTGGGAATCCTGCAGGAACAGGATCCCAACTACAGAGCCACAGCCCCTGCCCACTGTAATGATGGCCAAAGAGAGGCCTGGCTGCCAAATGCCTTGTCAGCACTGTGATGACTGCACATCAGCCCGGGTCTCGGGCACTAAAAACCTCCAGGTGCCCTTCCTTTTGCCCTGCCACAGCTCAGAAGGCAGTCAGAGTTATGTTACAGCCCAAACTTCAACACCATGTACCAGCCACACCAGCTGCTCAACCTCAGGCTCCTGTGGGTCTTTATTCACACTGGGAGAGGGGCAACTGGGCTGGCAACTGGGCTCCCCCCTCCCAGACGGCCTCTGGGCATCAAGAAAACATCTTCAGCATTTGAGGCTTAGTATCTGGCCACGTACTTTCTTCATCCTCCTCATCAGTGCGGCTCAGCGTGTCCTGCGAGGCCTGCTGGGAAGGCTCGCTGTCCTGCTCCCAGACCGTGCCAGTGCCGGTGTTGGAGCGAGACATGGTGGCCAGGCTCAGGCGGTAAGCAGACGTGGAGGTGCCCACAGTGCTGACAGATGTCTTCCCTTGGTAAGCTGCACAAGAGGGGGAAAACCAAACCCAAGTGGCTGATGGCACTGGAAATCAACAGCAAGCCAAGCATTCCTGTCATATTGGGCAGCTCTTTCTGCCTGGACTGGTGGGGCAGGGGGGTCTTCTCTCTCTCTACAACTTCCTGACAAGAGGGTGGAGACAGGCTGGAGTTGGCTTCTGCTACCCTGCCACCAGCAACAGGACAAGAGGAAACGGCCTCAAGCTGCACCAGGGGAGGCTCAGGCTGGACAGGAGGAATTTCTTCATGCAGAGGGTTTCTAGGCATTAGAATGGGCTGCAGTGGTGGTGTGAACAGCCCTGGAGGTGTTCAGGTAATGACTGGACTCGGGACTTGGTGCCATGGTCTAGCTGACAAGGTGGTGATCAGTCAAAGGCTGAACTTGATGATCTCAGAGGTCTTTTCCAACCTTAATGATTCTGTGGTACTGTGACAGGGGTGGCAGAGGTGATAAAATGCTAGCAGCTGCCTTGCTCACCTCACCTTTCCAAAAGCTCTGTTTTACTTAGTCAGTCTGATTTTCAAACCTGTATTTTACAGATCAGCTGTTTTACAAATCAACATTTAGAAACAAGGCAAAATACTGCTAAGGAAAAAAGACTGAAGCATTTCCTTTTGAATTTGTTTTCCTAAGCATATAAACCACCTGCCATCTATGAGCAGCAGCTGCCATCTTGTGGCAACAGGGGTGGTTGTTGCTGGAGAAACATCTCCCCTTGTGCAGGAGAGAATTCTGAAATGCTCCATCAGCTCAGGGATGCTGGTCTGGATGTCACAGTAGAGAAAAATCAGAGACCAGGAGGAAGGAGGAGGAAGACCTGCTACTGCTGAACAGCCAGACCTTTCTGCACAAGGGGCTTTGGCTTTACAGTGGCATGGAGGGACTAACTGCACTGGGGTTGGGGCTGCACAAGCTGGCTGAGACAGCAAGAGGGGAATAGGACTCAGACTTGGTGGAAAAATATGTGCATTTCACAAATAACCTGGACTTCTGTTGGCTGTTCAGTGGCAAGGCTGAGCAAAAGCTCCAGGGGCAGGCTGGCAGGGTGTGTGTGCCCCATTCCCATCTTAGGTAGAGGCCAGGTCTGCCTCACAAGTTACTGTAGGGGCAAGCATCTCCAGCTGATCGGAGATGTGCTGTCGGGCAGTCAGCTCCTCGTGGTTCTCAGCTGGCTGGGCCAGCAGCTGCAAAATTGGGATGCATTAGCATTGCAGGGAGATGGTGCCCAGGGGCAGGACTAGTCTCCAGACTAGCATGAGCCTGCAGCCAGCAGGCTTTGTAGTCAAGAGGTTTTGACTCCATCTATGAGGTTTCCACCTGTTTTTCAAGGTCAGTCTTATATTTGACTGAACAGAGATCAAAGCCTCAGTGGCGCAGGGTGCATGGAGATGAGGGCTCCCTTATGCTAAGGGAAGGAGGAAGGAGCTGTCTCATGACAGGACCATGAGGATAGCCTCATGATCTTGTCATGGGACAGCTCCTTCCTCCTTGATGATTTAGTCTGTCCAAGAGACAATGTGGGCTAAAAAAGTAGAGTACCATGTGCTAGTCTACCTGGTAGCTGGCAAGGAGCTGTGATTAGCTTAAACCCCAGATGCCTTAGCCTAGCAGCTGCCTGTTCATCCACAAAAGTCCTGTCAGAACCTTCATCCAAGAGATGGAAAGGGGAGTGGTCCTTCCTGGCTGTTAGCTGTGTTGCCCAGCTTTAAGCAGGAGAGAGATTAATAGAAGATTTCTGCCAACACCCTCCCAGGTTCAGCACGTCCACACTCCTTCCAAGCACTCTGAATGTCTTCATTGTAGAATTAAATCCACATGCACTTCCCCATCCAGAGGAACTAAGACTAGCTGTACTCCATAGATCAGAGCTCCTGGATGACTGGCATACTCTTTAGTTTTGGCTAGAAAAAAGCTCTGTGAGTTTGTTTCAAAGTGTTTTTAGGCCTACTAACTTCTGAAAAGTCACTCACTACATATAGTTCTTCCAGAAGTGCCGTTCCTTTGTTCTCAGCTGGGGAATAAGGGCTACCTCACCTTCAGGGAGTGACAGATCAGGAGCCAAAGAAACTGTTACCTTGCACTGGATGAAGGGCCGAAGGAGCACAAAGATAGGGATCCGTGTTCGAACGATAAAGTCGAGGAAATCCCACAGGGCCAGCCCTCCCACCTTCCGCAGGGCCATCTCTTTGACTTGCAGGCTCAGCCAGTACCACTGGCTGTCCAGCTGGCGTTCAAAGCAAACAAGGATCACCTTCAGGGCTACAGGGGAACACACAGCAGCAAAGGGCAGTTAGAGATGGTACCGGTGTCCCTCACAAGCACTGGGGGAAGGATCGGGGGGCCACAGCGAGCACAAACCTACAGAGGCATGCTTTGTATGTATGTGTGCACATGCACACACCTCAGAGTCACAGCTGTCTTTTCTATCGGTCTCCAAACATGGCAGGGAAGGAACAACCAGCCTTCTAGTAGGAAAGGCCTCAGGATCAGGACTGGCAGTCCCATTTCAAGAGAAATTTTTCTACTTCATATCTAAACTCCTCTGTGTTTTCTTGCTCTGGCATTCCCTCTCTCTTCCCTGCAGAGCTCTTTTGTCTTCTCACAATCAGATATTTTGAAAGCAGCTCAGAGTAGGAATACAGCCCTGGCTGATGAGACAACCTCAAAAATCTTGACCAAGCATATCCACACAGAGTCATCCAGTGAGCACAATAATCTACCAATGATTTATAGGGTGATGACAAGAACCTTTCTAGCAGTGTAGCTGCATGAGTCATGGCCACACTGCAATCTAAATACAAATATGGTCCAGTAAGCCAAGGGCAGTAATTCACCAGAGCATGGCATTATAAACGGGGATGAACAGCAATGAAGTTCAAAAAAATGCTCTGCATCAAAGTGGGCAGTGGTTAACACTTGGCTCACAGGAGAGACAAGGGGTCTCCCCCTTTCTGTGCTCCCCTGGTCTGGTGAAAAACAGCCAGGCCTGGGAATTGTTGGGGTTGACTACCCCCCCATTAATGGGATGGCCAAGACTTCTCAGCCATTACACACCTGTGTCCTGGTTTGTTTGTGTGGGGGGCTAAATCAGTGCTGAACTGCTAATTTTTCATCATTCCTCAGATATGGGTTAACAAAGACCCCAATATAAATCTTCAGATAAATGCCCTCACAAAACCAGAAACAGAGAAGCTGTTTCTGAAGGGGTGCTTTGAGGTGAAACTGTCCCCATGTAGGCCTGACTGCCTTCAGCCATGCTGCATCTCCAATTTAATTATTTTTCTTTATTCCTTTCACCTGTGGGTCAGATGTGAGATAATACAGACGATATCTCACACCACCCTACATCAAGCAGAGGGCAATAGCAGTCAGTAAGGACCATGTGTGGGACCAGCAGCCACACTGGCCACATCACCTCTCACCCTAGGTAGCCGAGGGCCAGTGAGGCTGTGATGTTAGGGTTTGATGGGCAGTCTGACTCGCCTTTGTGGCTTCACTGCTGTAGCCTGGCAGTTTGAGTCCTGAACGACTTCTGTGCTGCTCTTCCTCCAGCTGCAGCGCAGACACCGCTCACATTGTGATATATTCCAGAGATACTCCTGGCTTCGTGCTCTGGCCTGGCCCCCTGTTCAGGACAAGGCCTAAAGCAACCCTAAAGAGGTCAGTTAGCTCCTGCCTGAGATGGTTTCCTCTGGTGCTCTCTACAGCCTTCAGTGTGTCTGGGTGCTCAGCAGAAGCCGTCACTCACCCAGGTAGGCAGCCTGGCTGGTGGATTCTGCCAGCCCTTCGCGCCGCAGGTCCTTCCCCGCGTCCCCTGGTGTGGAGCAGTGGGCGGGGGAGCTCTCCAGCATAAAATTCTTGCTGCGGGAAGTGCTGATGATGCGAGGTGGCAGGAGGATATTGATAACAGTCTGGAGCAGCAGCAGGACCTCAGGCTGCTCCAGCCAGGGGCTGTCTGAGATGCGTTGGGAGGGGAAAGAGAGAGAAAGATCAGGCTACATGCCATCATAGACACTCAAAAGATCCAGACCCTGTTCAGCTCCAAAATGGGGCGCATCTCAAATGTCCCCTAAGCCAAAACTCCGGCCCCCACACCTTGTTATGCTGCTTCTCCTCCTGCAAGCAAAGGCAAAGTTTGTTTTAGCACCAGCACAAGCACATACAAACAGAGCTACACAGCACAAAGAAAGGTCCCATTCAGTGGTCTCATTTCCTTTTGTCATTCCCCACTCCCTTTACTCTTTGATTTCATTTAGGGATTTACCAGTGAAGACCCTCTATAGCAGAAAGCAAGGAGCAGGACTTGTGCAAGACAAGTGGCAAGGATTGGGCAAACTGTGATCCACCACAGGGGACACAGTTTCTGTGACCTTTGCTCCCCTCTGTGACTTCTGCTACAACAGATTTGTCTTGCCCTGCACTCCAGTTTCAAAAGCAGGAGCACATCTGTGTAAGACCTGGCTCAAGAACCAAGGCACAGCTGAAATAAAGAGAAGAAATAATAACTAATCCCAATGAGGCTCTTTCCACTCTCAGACCCAAAGGGCACTTAGTTGCCATACTGCCAGTGACAAAAAAACAAATTAAAAAAAAAATAAAATACAGAGAGCAGGGAAAGTGCAAACATCAGTTGTCAGAAAAGGGGGACAAAAATTCTTTTTGTTAAATTAGTCAGACCTTTGCTTCCAGATCCTACTGTGAGCACAAATGGAATCAGTAGGTTTAAAAGCATTCCTTCCCTTCTTTCCTGATTGGTGAATGGGGAGACGACATGGCTTAGGGGAAAATCTTCTTTCAAAGCCTGTACAGTAATAATAAAAAAGGATTTAATGATTTCATCAGCAGATCACACACACAAGTCACTGCAGGGAATGACGATCCCCTGGCCACCCTGTTCACACAGTACAACACCAGCACCGATGACCTGATTGAATGAGATGCCCTCAGACCACTTAGTCAAGAGTAAAGGGAATTCACAGAGTAACACAGGGATCACCTGCTTGTGCCATAGCCAAACGTAAGAAGCCCAGACTCCCAACTCCTGGTTATCATTAACAAAATCAGATGTATCCCACAGGAGTCAGCTGAGTGTCAGTCCTAAGCTCTGCCCTGCTGTCCATGGTATCAGGATCTGACACAGACTATAGAGAATAAAAAGAAAGAACAGAGGAAACTGCACAAATGACATTATCTAAATATTCTCCTCTCTGAACATGGAGGCTATTCCCAAACATATTTTTTTTTCTTCCTCACTTTGTGCTGCCCTGTCATCCTCCCTAACACAAAGAATGAACTCCTAAAAAATAAACAAAATGCATGTTTACTTCTTGACACACAGTCAAGCTTAAATTGAAATGTCTTTCACCTTCTTTTAGAGGAGGTAATTCAAATGGCTGTCACTAGAACCTTTGCTCATTTACAACATCCCAGTTGCTACAGACTTAGCTGTGAAATGCAACTGAACCTTGCAACTCCTCAAGCTCGCAGACCTGGGCTGAGAAATTCTAGATGGGGTGTGAAGTACTTCTGTTTTGTATTCTGCTGGAAGTATTGGGAATTATGACTCGTGTTTTTCCTGACATGTTCGGATTTCATTACATTTAAGCCCACAAACAAGTGAACAGGGAGAAGAGGATAATAAAAGTTCCCCATAATAATTAAAAATAGATATATTAATTTGGTATCTGTTTTGGTTTTTTTTAATAGGTAATATTTCACAGCAGGTGAAAGTGGCCTTTTGTTTTCTTTTGTTTTGATTAAAGAACCATTACCTCAGAGCTGGAAAAAATCTGTTTTCTTTCTGTGTCATTTTGCACCAGAAGGTCCTTTTGTGCCTCATGCTCTGAGGGACAGCTTTGTGTGTTGGTCCCTGTAAACCTTCCTTCCCAAGCCACCCTGCTGCTCAGAAACACCTGCCTAAATATTCAACTGGAAGTACCAATGCATATTTTAAAATGAGAGTTGGAGCTAGATAAGGAAATTTGCCACTTCTTTGGTCACCATTCAGACTAATTTCATACCAGTGGGGAAGGAAGGGGACACTGAGGCGGAAAGACTGTAAAAAGTTATAGTTAAAGCTACTATGAGAAAGGAATAGTGATGAAATTCTCCAAAAATCTGGAATTTTTTTTTTTTTGTAATTCTGGCAACAAGGACACCATTGCGTCAGCAGCTGAAAAGCCAAGTTGCCCTGCTTTTTGTGCTGGCACTCTGTGTGACCAGCTCAGGTAAGAGCAGAAGAGCACAAACTCCACTCTCAGTTACACACATGGTCCCACAGGAAGACAGGAAGGATTGGATGGATGTGACCCAAGCCAGGGCCCCATCTTCCTGTGGCAGAAGTCTTGTGCTAACTCCTTAGATCCTGCAGAGAATCCTAACCTGCTTCTCAGAGCCTTGAACAGCATCCATCAGCCAAACTCCCTGGACTTCAATGGCAGTGTTAAGCTGATGGATGCTTGCTGTGGACTTGGCCCCAACAGATGAATTCTGAGCTCACTTCGAGCCTTCAGAAAGAAGGGAGAATTCACATGTTGCTTCTCCTTAATTTTTGATGTATGTTCCACAGTTTTTGCCCAGCTTTTGCAGAAAGAAAACAGAGCACTGATGAGTTGGTGTCTCAACCAGAAGCTCTAGAGGCCTGGCCAGGGGGCCAGGGCAGACACACCTGTATCTGCAATGCTACAAGCCGGACAACAGCTGTGCTGAAGGGCAGAGGTGGCGAGAGATAAGGGCTGAGATGAAGAAGGGGTAATCCGTCAGCCACACTGGAGGGTCCTACCACTCCCATCACCTGCAATACAAACAGAGCACATCACCACAACTGGCTACTTACAGTTTCATCCATGTCATATCCTCCAACGTCAGTGAAATGGAGGTGCCTTTCATTGAGCACTGAGTTGGGGTGGATCTAGCAGAACCAGCCCCCCCAGTGGTCCTTGCAGGAGCTGGGGCCAGTGAGGAGACGGTGTTCTAGCAGGGAAAGGGAGGGGGAAAGAGGGAACCAGCATGGATGGGAGGAGTGCACAGGTAACCCGGTACATTCATAAATGTACCCAGTACCAGCCCTGAATGACCAGCACTGGACTGGTGGAACAGCTAGAGTTGGAGGATATGTCATTTGACAACTGTAACAAATAAAAATCTGTCATCAAAGCAAAAAGTCTGTATTGAAAGTGAACATCTTTTCCCTTCCCTTGCTTGAAAAATAATGTCCTAAGTCTGACCCAAGCCAGGTTTTGTACAATGTTCAGATTCCTCTCAAACACAGCCTGTTTTGGGGAACTGTAAGCATGATTCCTCTCAGCTGACTGACCCCAGATGTCTGCAGCAGAGTCACCTGCATGTGACCTGGTTGTCTGGAACTCCTTGAATAATCACCACAAGGAAGCGGCACTTCTAGGGGAGACTTATTTGTACTGTTTGGGATGTGTCCCTCAGGAGGAATGTTTCTCACCATGACCACACACATCTAGGTGACAGGAACAGGGAGAAGGTACCAGGAAGACACCTAAGCTTATGGGAAATGAATGCATGCCTCTTTTCCAAATTCAGCCTGGGGAAAAGGCATTTTTTTTGCCAGACAACTAAATGACACTTTAGAAGAAAAGGAGTCAGAACCCCTTCTGTTCATCACCATGGATTATCATTGAGATATTTCCTTCCTGGGTAATTGATTTTTCAGCTTCATGGTCTACACACGATACACCATGCAGTCAGCACTCCCATAGCTCACAGTGCACCCAGTTGTGACAGCTGAAGGTAAAATACTTGTAGCAGTAAGAGCAGATGTTCCTGGTAGCTCTCCCTGGCATTCCCAGCCAGCAGAATGTAAGCACGATGGCTGCGCTTCAGCACTGCAGAGCTTCCTGCTGTTTTTAGAGCACTGTCTAATTTTTATTATGGGCCTTTGGAGAGCTCGCTGGGGTGATTCAGTCTGCCATGCCTGCTTGACAAACTGCAAATCTATTCCACACTCCTACCTGAGCTAACTGTGTAGCAACCTCCCCATAACCTGAGGGGCCTGATTTGCATTAGCACCAGGTAGCTGCTACCTCTGCTTGGACGAGGAAGAAGTTTTATGCATTCTGACAGGTTGGAGCTTCCCTGCCCTTGCAGCAAGGAGTTGCTGAATTGACTTGAAGGACAGGAACCTGGCAAAACCTGCCATTGCATTTTAGAGAACTATCATTGTTTTTTAAAGCCCCTCAGAGCACTGGTGAACCCTGCAATGTTTTTTGTAAGCTGCTAGATAAGGTTACAACATTTATGCTCTAAGGAGAAAATGCTATAAAAACCCAGTAACAGTAAAATTCTAGCTCAATCTTTCCCCCTTAATTTATATTTTTGCACATGGAGTGAAAGCATGCTTGTTTGCCCAAGTGGCTGGAGTTACATGGATATCAAAGTGGGGGCTTGCCCCCAGTGTAACATCTGCAGAAACACTATAGTCTGTCACTGAATGACCAGGCAAACTCTGTCCATATCACTTGTCTGTTGTAACACACTAAGGAGCATAAACTTCACCAAGAGAGGGATCTGAATATTGTACAGTGCAAACCTGTACTAGATCAAGCCAGGGACATTACAAATAGTGGAGTCAATTCACCTCCTAAACCCTTCTAGCTATCCAGCACCCCATGGCCTCTGACAGAGCAATCAGGGCCCTTTCCCCACTGGGGATGGTAGGTATCCCCAGTGCCACCCTCTCCCCGTCTCTACCAGGTGTGTGCAGTCTCCACCACCCCATTCTCCAACTTGCAGCCCTCGGCTCTCAGCTCAGTTTGGCAAAGGTGGATCTTCAAAGTGGTGTGTGGGAAGTAATGGAAAATAAATTGCTTGACCACTGCTGTTGGTCACTGTATCTCCCCATGCACCACTTCAAAAATGAACCTTCCTATCTCTAGTGTCACTTGCAGAGTCCCCTTGTGAGGGGTAAAGGGGACAGGTGAAATGACAGGAATGGGAATAAACTGTCATCTTCAGTCCAGAGAAACCAACAGCAAGGGGAAGGTTTAGCAAAGGTTCATGGGGTCGCCGCTCAGCTACTCACCAGATTGACACAGACATTGATCAGAGACCTAAGGTGAGGCAGGAAGGATATGATAGGCTGCCTCTGAAGTGTCAAACAAACCCCTTCAATCAAACTGCTGGCAGGCTCCCACTCAACCTGGCGCCTGCAATACAACAGTAGGTGCCATTAGCCACGGGCTGCTGCCCCCCACCATGCGCCCAAACACGGCCACCGACACACAGTGAAGCCCACAGAGGAGACGTGTCAGACAGCAACGAGGTCCAGGAGGAGCACAGGGAGCTCGACAGGGAGAACGCTTTACCCACGCAGTTCGGGGAGGCACAGAGCACACCGGGTGTTTGAGAGACGAGAAGCGCGGCGGAGCGAGCTGGTGCTGCTGACACAAACCCCTCGCGGCAGCAGTGGTGGAGGAGCTGCTTTCACTCCCAGATGCTTCCCTCTGACAAGAGGGAGCCCACACAGCGGCCTCAGGTGTGCCTGTGTGGGGAAAGGTCTGCTGTGCTAAGCTCCCAGCCGAGACCAAGCCCTCCATCTCATGGGGCTTGTGATGTTCCCCGTGACTTGAACAAACCCCATCAGCCTGAGTGCCCTCTGTGAGCTCCTCTGCAGCCTAGCTGCTCCACCAGCATCGCTCCTGGACACAGACTGCCCTAAACGGAAACTGGCCCAGCTGTATCATCTTCATCTTCTTCCTGTGCAGCACCACCAGCACCAAATCCTTCATCCCAGGATCCTTTCTTCCCTGACACTTTGCTTTTATCACAAAAACTAAATTTAGGGACTATGCCAGATGCTGAAAGGATTCCCCTTCCAAACCAGGAGGAGACGGAGCATAGGTAACATCAAAGTGGTTCACGCCCTTATCCCAGGGCCTGACCCTCTGCAGTCATTGCAGTTCAAAAGCCAGCATCTGACTGCATTTACTGGGACAGAAAGAAAAAAGGCTTGTTAGCTCAAGCCTTGAACAATATCCCAGCCAAGCTCTTTAGGTGACTTCTCAGAGCCTCATGGGGAATCAAGTGTTTGCTATGCAAGTTCTTCTTCAGACCAACATATATCTCACCTTTGTGCATCCACTGGAACTAAATCACCAGAACAGTGGTTTGTTCTTGTACTTGTTCCTACATATCCACTGATTGCAGCAGACACTGGGTTTGGAGTGGGATGCCCACAGGAGGCAGCGTATAAGATTCTGATCGTGAGTACCCCAAGGGATGGCTCCTGGGGTCTTGCAGACAGACCCATCCCTAAGAGACTGCTTGACTCAGCAATGGTTAAATGTAGTTGCTGAATTTGGTCCAGTGGCTTTGCTGTCCTTTTGTGGAAAAGAGTAGTTTAAGCCTTTAGATACAGGCATAGAGAGAGAAAATATGAAAGGAATTTTAATTTATGGGCATCCATTCAGCTTACATAAAGAAGAAAGATCTTCAGGAACAGAAACCCCTATCTGCCTTTGAGGCAGAAGAAGGTATGAGCAGGAAAAGAAGGAATGAGAAGCAGGAAAGACATGGCAAAGAATCAAACCAACAGGAGAGAGAAGCACCACAATTTCTACCTCTGAATTCCCTGCAAGGGTGGAGTCTCTTGAAGCAGGTTAACCAAAGAAAAGTGATGGATAGTGATGCCAGAAAGAAGATATCACCTCCCTATTATTCGTTCCAGCTTTGATTCCTAGAGTGACATAATTCTAATGTTCTCTAACATGATTTGGCTTCTCAGCTGAGACTGCCAATGAAGTGCCATTCAAGCAGTTGAGGACATATGCCCATGAGGGTGACCAAGACCAATGACTCTTTTTACTCAGATCACTGGAAAATTCACCGGTCTGAGTGATTTTATACCACCCTGTCTGGATTTGTACCACTGCCTTCAAGCAGGGATGCTCCACAATCAATACTTCTTGAAGTTGCCAAAGCCTAAACATACCATAATGGCACTGGTGTGATATACCAGGCTTCCACTAGACATAGACCTGAAGCAGTGGATGCAGTTCTTTGCCTTTTGCTAGGGAGCAATCAGAATCTACTGCATAGCTCCTATTTTTGTCTTTACAGAGGACATAACAGTATTGCCGTGCTAGAAATACTCTTACTACTGTTTAACTTTAAAAAACTCACAGCAAAAGTTAATTAAAAGGGCAATGAGATGGAAAAAATCTGAAGACTTCTTTTGGGAAAAGAAAAATGACATTTCTGGAAGTTCTCTCTTTAGTTCTTAACAACCATGCTGCTACCAGAAGACACAACAAAAAACATCAACATAAACACACTTACAGAGATAAAAACACCTGTGATTTTCTGGTGTGCTGTAAAGGCTCACTGCAACATGACAGCTTGAGGTAGATGACATACCCACACTTCAAGGCTTGCAACATCAGAAACGGACCCCAGAGGGTTTCCAGAGTACCTGCTCACCTCAGAGTAGGCATCTTGTGAATTTTATTGAACATACGATCCAATCTCTTTAGGATGAGGATCAGGGCAGGTCTCACCGCCTCAGCTGTCCAGTCAGTGATGGGCAGCATCTCCATGATGTAGCGCCGGAGCCCGCGGCTCTCCATCGTCTGCGTGTCGTAGGGGGCCAGCTTCAGCAGGGAGTGTGCGATTTCTGCCAGTCTGAAACCACAGGCCATTAACAGGAAAATAAATACAACTTGCAATTCTACACACATGCCAATGGATGAGAATGTCAATATTCAGGAGCCTGGTGAAAAGAAAGTGGTGCAAAAGTCAAATGTGCTGTTTAAACTCTTAGATCTTAGGTTTGTTAAAACTGTTTTGCTGGAATTGCTGTTTATATTTAAGAACACACAAATGGTCTAAATATTACTTCTACATTGACATTAAATGCACCAAGAGAGCATCAGGAATCACAGATTTGTGTAGCTAAAACCAAAGCCCCTGAAGCTGGCATGAAGACTACAACATTGCAAATGCCTTTGAAAGATAGACTCAGCATCACTTGTTTGTCAGTTAATAAGTGATTTGGTTTTGTTCTGTGCTTGTTTTTTAGCATTACCACTTGAGGAAGTATCACTTTGCAGTTTTCAGGTGTTAAATTTTTAAAATAACGTGTTCATAGGTTCACACAACATGTCCTTTGTAGGATTGCTCCCTGCAGTTTTTATTTGTTTCTCCTAACAGCTCTACAGATTGTGTTGCTGTTGCTTTTTTCACTCTCCCAGATGGCCTTGTCAATGACATTTTTTTGGATTGACTGTGAAATATCATGGCAGCATTTAACTTACACTTGCAGTCTGATGAAAATCTACAAAATACTTGGATATTTGTGGTAAGTAAAGAGCAGAAAAAAAGCATGAAACATCAACAGACTTTTTTATTGGATGATTACAGTACAATCCTATCCATATTGTGGGGGCTTTTTCTGAAATACATCCAAGTAATGGAACATATTTCTATTCTCTTTATAATCTGCCTAGTAATATCAAGGGCAACAAGTTCCTCAGATTAACCAAAAGTGGCATAAAATTGTTTTTTTATCCAGTATTTCTCTATTATTCCTTTTTTAGAACTGCTTAGTCATACTATGAAGTGGGTCTGTTTTCTTAAATGCTGTAAAATTTAAATTATCATATAATTAAACTTAAAGCAATACCAGTTCCATGCAATGATATATAAAACTTCCTTATGCATTATGGAGTGTGATATCCATTTCATCCAACTTGAAACATCAATCTCAATTAATCTGCTAGCTCCTTCCTAGCAGAAAGAAGCAACCTGGGAAATTCTTCCTGAAGTACTCTGATAAACAGTTGGATGCACATCTTCCTTTTCACTGGGTGCAAAAAGATCTTTATGGCTTTTGCAGACTAAACATTTGACTTTTAAATGGCTATAATTGGGTAAGATTAATCCTGTCTGAAGTGACTAGCATATTATCCTGTTTTCTGAAGCCTCTGAAATGGCACCTGTCAGCCTCCCAGGATTATGACTGTCACATCACATTCTGATAAATCTGCTCTCTGTGTAGAACTGAGTTTGTCCTACAGTGGTTAAATCCTGTCAGTCATGCCACTGATACTGATGAATTATGTAAGGATTGAGCTACGTTGCTTTTATTTAGAGATAACTGTGATTAAACATTTTAGGTCACAACCCTGACAAAGCAGCTATTTCTAGCACTTTCCAGGAGATTCAAAGGAATCAGAGCACAACTCATTATCTGCTGTAAATCAGTGTTGGTTTAACTGCTGTAACCTCTGACCATGAGAGACCTTCTGTTTTGAAAAGAGTGCAGCCCCTGCATGTTTCAGACAAAAACATGCAACTACACAACCAAGAAGTAAATCCATCTGCTATTATGAAAAAGAAAGAGCTAAAAGAAAGGAATTCCCCTAAAATGAACAAGTAAAAGCAGAATGCCTGTGGAATACCTCATGTGGGACTTCACATCCAGCAGCTCCAGAGAAGTCACTCGGGGCTCACCAGCCAGATTCTGCAGGATCTTCAGCCTCGGACCACAGTGCTTGTAAAACTCTGTGCAGATATTCAGCAGAGACTCCCGTGGTCTCCTGAACTCCTCTCTGGCAATTCGTTCATCCAGCTCCTCTCGAGGAAGACCCTGGCCCTCCTCCATTAAATGAAGATTCTCCCTGGAGGATACAAAGTAAGACACAGCAGTGTTATATACAGTAGATCCTCAGGGATAGAATACAACAACCTCTTCATCTTGTTTTTGCAACAGATGCTCTCTTCTGCAGTTGAAAGAAAGGTAGTTGCATCTGTGATTAAGAAACAAAAAGGGGAGGTTATAATCTTCCAAGTCTTGCTAAAAATGTAAATATTTTCTATATGAACTGTCCTGTGATATGTTCCCTCAAAAAAGACTGCTTGTCACAGCAACCATGTGTGGGAACTGTTCGTCACATATCAGGGGAGACTGGGATAAAATTATACTGTACCTGATAAAGTGCAGTTTGGCTCCCTGTTCTGGGTACCTGGGAAAACAGAAACAGTGAGGTTGCAAAAAGCAACTCAGTAGTGCTTAAACTTGCTTTTCTAAAAGAAAGTGAAACTGTTCTATCCCAGAGGCTGACGCCTCTTACATGGTCAGGATGGTATCTTGTGTCTCTGGAACAATGCCTACACATAGTTACTGACCACACTGAATTGCCTTTATCTCCCAACTTCCATCAAAAAACATATTCCTAGAGTTACTGACCTTTTTCTGAAAAGAGAAATTCAGGCTTAAAAACCACAGCTCTCTTTCAAGTGATTTCTCTTACTGATTTTCACCCCAGTTCTCAGTCTGTTTCACAAAACCAGAGTCACCAAGTGAAAAGAATACCTCAGAGTGGGTTTTTTTGTTCTGTTTTATTGTCATTTTGTTACTTCTTTTTGAGAAAGCATTAATGGATGGTGCACCACTGGGCTAAGATGTCCTAGGCAAGAACAATAATCATTTTAACATGAAACTCCTGCTGCTGCTAGCAGATGTCTGTTGCAAGGATAACATGACAGAAGAAACAAGTGCAGGAAACCTGGAGCAGTGCCAAAATAATTTGGATCAGAGGCTGAATGTCTGATAATTAGAAAAATCTGGAAATGTAAGTCAAGATGCCTGAGTCATGCTGGACTGGGAATGTCTACATTGTCTGTCAACAGATACACATTACCTGCTCTCAAAAATCAGCAGATAGATAATAAAGTGCTACTTTCCATTACACCTTATTTTCCTTAGACTGAGAAATCTTGCAAAGGAAGCAAATGGCAATATGTCCACTTCAGACTTCAGCATGTCTGGTTTATCTGCTGGTTTGTCATGTCTGGAGTTTATCTGCTTCTCAGATCAGGGACTGAAAGTCAAAGCCATGTTTTAACCATGACTGAATAGATTTTAAAGAATAATAGACGGATGCCAGGAGTTACCAACCACAATGTGTCCACATTTATAAACTGACATAGTAGCCCTTTGATGGTCCATGCAAAAATGGATTTCTAAATCCTTGAATTAAAAAAAAATAATAATAAGAAAAAGACAGATAATAACTTGGAAAACTGCAGAAAAACAGCTACCCCAGCCTTTGTTAAGCTACAATTCCCCTTCCAGGTCAGCACAAACATTCAGATTTTTAGCACAGTAAGGCATAGTCTGGCCAGGAGAAGGCAGAAGACTTCCTGCTGCAAAGAAAAAACTTCACAATCCCAAATATTTGGTGGTGGATTAAACCCTTCTTCTATGACCAAGTAAATTGTCAGTGGCCTTGTTTAATTTGCTAATTGGAATGGTCACTATGGCCAAGGAGCAGAATTACAGTTCACTCATGCCACGTCCTTCCTTTTTTCCTTCTTCTGTGAGAAACTTCTTCGGTGTTTTGTTTCGTTGAGTTTTGGGGTTTTTTTAAGAAGGACAAGAATATTTCCAGTCATCCTTTTCACTTCTCTCAAATTGTCAGTTACCCTTCCTCTGCTATCTGTACCTGCAAAAATCCCCCAGATGGATGCAGAGGTAAAGATCATAGAAAGAGACCATAGGGAATGCACAAGGAAATGGGAAAGGGAACAAAAGAAAACTAGAGGAGGTGCCAGTCTCTGTGAGCCTCAACTGATCAGCAGTTTGTGTTTGTACAGGTGTTCAGCCCCTTAGAACAAGACTGGAAGGGTCTAACCCTTCTGCCAGCCAATCATGCTCTGCCCACTGGTCACTTTGACAGTGGAGTCAGCAGGAAGCAAAGCAGAGAGTGAGTGAGCTTCAGCATATATATTTCTACAGGGAAACAAAGGGAATGAATAATTTAGGATGTGCACCCTCCATTTTGATACCCTGCTCTTCTATATAGATACACTGTTTAAAACTAGAAATCCTGGTCTTGGGTATTTTGGTTATCATCAGAAATGCAGTCCTGGGGAATGTGTTCTTTTGATGTGTCTTCTCCCACACTCCAGTACCCAGAGCACTCCCTCAGCTGTCTGAAGCCAAGCACTCTGAGCGCTGAGAAAAAAAAACCTTACTAAAAAAAAAAACCCAAACCAAAACTGTTTCAAAAAATGATAAAAAGAAAGAAAAGCCTTACCTGGTGTTCACACCTGCTGACATGGTATGGTTTGCTGTTGTGGTCCCTTTATGACCTTGGTCACATCTGCTCATCTGTGGGGCTGTCATAGGCCTGGCAAAGAGAAGGTGAACAGCACACTACACATGAAATCTAACACACAGAAATTCTGCTTTTGCTCTGAGAACTTGCACTAATTTTACCAATACTCAACCAAAACTCAAGCTAAGCTGCACGATGTGGCCCGCTGTGCATTCCCTCTCCCTGCAAAGCCAGCCAAATGCAGGCTCAGCCCCTTGGCCCATGGGTGGTACCTGGTGAGAACTTCTACACTGTACAGGAGAGCCTGCAAAGAGGTGGCAAGGGCACCCATAGAAGCAATCTCCTCACGAGCTGCTGTCCCAGTGTCCACTTGAGAGGTTTGTCGCTTCAATTTTTGCAGGTAACAGGGAACCAGGGCTTCCAGAACCATCAGCATCTGGAGGCTGGAAAAATAACAATATTTGCTCTGTTATATTTTGTCATTCCTGAGCTCACATTAGGTAGAGGCTTTGGTTCCTATCTGCAGACCCTGGATCTGTCACTAGGCATTCACTGCTTCTCACTAGAAGTCTTGGGCCAAAGAAGCAATTGGATTAGGAACTTCAGGGGAAAATTGGATGATGCAAATATTATCATTATTATATGATATATTTCTATAATTTATTTTATTTATAATTTATTATGTCATATTATTATAATTACTAATACAAGGAATTTTTTATTACAATATTATTTTAATAGTAAACATTATATAATTATTATTATTTTATTATCTATTATGATGGATTTATCATGTATTATTGTTATTTATAATTTATTATTGTTATTATTTAAGTATTTATTATTTCTTATTTATTTATTATTAAATATTGTTTATTATAATTATTATTATTTAATTATTATTTTAATTATTATTATTAAAAAAACAAACAAACCCTGAACTTTCAGGTATCTTCCAAATATGTCATCCATTTTCTAACTTCATCATCATCATCAATTTTATTATTTGTTATATTTCTATAATTTATTATTATATTCATACATTATCATATTATATTATTAATTATTATTAATTATTGATATAATAGAAATATTTGTTATTCTAATGTTATTTTAATATATAATTTTATTATTTTATTATTTTTTATTTTATTTTCTATTATTATGGTATTATTATTAACTATTGTTATATATTATTTATCATTTATTATTGTTATTTATAATTTATTTAAGTATTTCTTATTTCTTATTTATTTATTATTAAATATTGTTTATTATAATTATTATTATTTATTTATTATTTTTATTATTATTATTAAAAAAACAAACAAACCCTGAACTTTCAGGTATCTTCCAAATATGTAATCCATTTGCTAACAAGCATTTTCCCTTCCAAAGACTCTTATTCTCTGATTCCCTCCTGCAAACTAACTTTTGTACTTAAGTAAGTTTATCTCTGCTCTCTCTGTTATCTTCTTGTGCTCTCCAGTTTCTCTGCCTGTCTCTCCTCCTCCAGTTCCCTGTCCATTGCTCCTCTGGTGACAGAAACCAGCAGGACATGGTGTGGTCCCCACTGGGACAGCTGCCATGTGCAGTTTTTGTGCCTTTTCTGAGTCTGCACAAATCAGGACAATGGATTATCACCTTCTGAATGACTCAGGAGCATAAGCCACCACTGTCACACACAGCTTGATGGCTTCACTGATGGAAAAGGTCAAGTCTTCATTCCCATAGCAGAAGTCTGAGGGAGGAAAGTAATATCAGAAGACTGTCACACAATCATACTAAGTATGAAAGGAGTAACACACTTATTTTTCCCCCTCTCCTATTGCTTGCTTTTCATGTTAACAATGCCCAATAGGCTCTTGGACAGATAAAAAATCTGTTTCTGTAAAATAAACCTGTGCTGCACTCCTACTTGAACCCTACTGCCCAAGAACTCAGTAGGTGAAACAGCTCTCAGCAGGTCACTCACTGCTGAGCAGAAGGCCTACAGAGCCCTGTTTGAAACATCACCCATCAAAAGCTAAGTTTTAAGCTCATATATGGCAAGGACACATGTCAAATTAATGATAATTTTTATGCTCCCTATGCTTAGATGTTCCAGCCACACAGAAAGTGATGCTGATGCACCACTGATGGCGGAAGATAGTTTAACTTCTCAAAAATCATGGCCACATGGGTGTCAGCACAAAACTGACTCTATTTTGCTAGTGATTTCAGAAAAAGGTTTCAAAAGCATTTAGGTCACATACTGCAAGTATCACTTTAGGCATAATTAGTTCCAGGCACTAAGAAACTAGAAAGAGTAATATTGGCAAAATAATATTTTCTTTAATAGAACTATAGTCCTTTTTTCAGAAGTGACTCTGTTATGCAGAAGCCAAAGTCAAAGTTAAGGTCCTAAAACCTGTATATCATAATTCTGACCCAAGATACCAGATACACAACATTCTCATCCACTGTCTCATCATCAACTCATACTTGAGAATTTTCAGAGATGTTTTCAATATTTCTCCACAGAAACCTCCAAGATTTTACACAAATGTTTGGTACAATCCACAAAGAGGAAGAAATATCTTCTCTTTCTGTACCACTTTATATTAAAACTTTCTATATAATCGTGTGGCATCATGAAATCCCACTTTATTACAAAGCTTTAAGGCCAGACAGGCTTCACAGAGCATCAAGATAACTAGTATTTGAGGGAAGTGTAAATTTGGAAAATAAGTTGATGATCCTTATAAAAATCAGCAAAAAATCACAAACCAGCCAAATTCTTAAACGCAGGATTGCATGGATAGCTATCAAGAGACAGAATGTCCTGGATACACCATACAGACACATAAATTCTGCTTCATGATAAATCAACACCCCCTCCAGAAGCTCAGCACTGCTGGATGTCTGAATTGTATCCATCATCATCTACTAGTCACAGTCTGCCCACGGGAGAGGATGCTTTTGTTTCCTGTGCATATGGAGCAGAGCAGAGGATGACACTAATCTTGTCAGCATAATATAATTTATTAGGCATCTTTATTCTTCACTCACACATGTTAAAATTCAAAATGCTAGAGGCTAGTCAGAGACTAGAAGGCTTAAAACAACAACAAAAAAAAAGTAGCTTTGGAATAAAATTAATTATTAGCTCCCCTCCTGCAGAAAATATCAAAAGGATGATGGTGATAAAGCCAATCTTAAAAGCCCCATGAGGCACAGGAAACAGATAGAACATTCCTAAAGAAGAGAAGGGCTCTGAAGAAATCATGCTGCATCAAGTGTCTGTTGAATCAATAAACAATAAACCAGAATTACTGAATAAAGGGTGCTTTACCTAATGACTTGAGAGGCTTTTCTGCTTTCACCAGCTCTAAGATGTCCAAAATGTCTGGAGTATCTCCCTCCAAAGACTGCAGCAGGTCAAACAGGCACTGAGCTGACACTCCTTTGCTGGTCCCGTTGTTTGTAGCATCCTGTTCCAACAAGAGAAATTAATGTCAGCCCAGGAATGTTTATCTGGAGGTGTGGACAACCTTTGTTTTCCACAAAGGGCCCACATGGAGTTCATTGCTTTCAACCAGTAAGCATTGCCTGACTCAACAGACTGATAATTAATGAATATTTCAAAACATGACTAATCTAGTGTTAGCCCTCACATGTATACTAAAACTTGGTATTAAGCTTTGAATTCCTGTTGCTGGATTCTGAGAATGGATTTGCATTTAAAGAGTTATAATTCATTATTGTCATTATTGCTGCTGTCTCAGCACCCTGCTCCACCAAGTGTGCAGAAATAAGTGGGGAGCTGGTTCCGTGCAGCACCGAGTGCTCTCTCCTTGTGACCTCTGATGTGGGGTGGATACACACACACAGCTGGGGGTGCCTGCCCCCCAGGACAAGGGAATAGCTCTTACTCACAGGGAACTCCAGGAGAGGGGCCACGCTGGCAAACAGCTGCAGGATAAAGGGCTTGCGGTGCAGGACGTAGAACTGGCGGCACGCGAACTCAATGGCCTGGCGCAGCTGGGGGTTGCTTTCGTAGTCGGAGTACACCTGAGCACATGGAAAAGGACGTGGAATCACAGCTCCAGAGGAAGGACTCTTCACCTCCTGAGCCCAGACTGAATCAACTACAGCACTGTCATTCCTGATAGGTTGGTCTAACACGCTTTTAAAGATGGAGACTTGACCACCCTCCCTGGCAATGCATTTCAGGTTTGCTTTTCATTCTTGAACATTCTTTTTTGTCCTACGTATTGAGGTCAGTTCCTTCCCTCTCCTTCCAAGAAGCACTTTGCTTGTTAGAAGCCAGTTAGTGCTTTCTTTCTGAATCCTCATATTTTTCAGCTAACCAAACCTTCCTGTCCTTTCTCACAAGACATATTTTCTACATGAACATCCCTGTTTCCCTGCAGTTTCTTGAGTTAACTGATGCTTTCTCTGAGCTGGATAGAGCCAGTACTTCCAGTCAGGACCGCTGATGATGAGAGCAGAATTTTTCCATGTTTTTCACAAGATACAAATCTGTATAGTCACCCCAGACTGGGGTTTGGGTTTTTTCTTTTCTTTATTTTTTCAGACTGCATCTCTAGTTTGTCATGATAATTTGTACTCCTGCTCTGTCCTCCAGCACAGTGACAGTGCCACCCACTTTCAAAATATTTTAAGTTTTTAGAGTGGCATTTCCTTCAGGGCTGGCCATTGAACCATGCAGAGGATATGTTGCCAATTTGTGGGATTTGTTTCTCAGTTATGTAAACAGTGTGAATTCCCAAGAACAGCTTCTCCTTGTGAGACCTCTGCAGAGACTTCTCAGTGCTCTGGTAGGCTGAGGAAATCAGCAGGGCTTTCATACAGCCAGAACCCTATAGCATGGGGACAAAGCCTATCTATTACCTACAACATCACATTTTCCTTAAAAAAAGGGAAATAATTAACTGTATATGCATTTTACCAAGGGAAATGGAAAAACATGTGACAAAAAGAGCCGTGTGGGGAAATTTGTATGTATGCACCAGGAACTGCGCTTCAATTGGCAGCTGGATCAAGCCCAGGAGTGGTAAAAGAATTGACCACAAACAAACCAACTGGCCTTGGGTGCCTGGCACAGAGAAATGAAAGTCTGCCAACCAAACGAGCTCAGAAACACTTGTATTTTCTTTTGGAACTGCTTTTTCACCTCCCAGGAGTGGTATTTTAATAACTCAGTAGTTGATAATAATTGAGGGTGAGGATAGGAAAGAATTACAAACTAATTTCTCTCAATATGAAGTGAAAATGAAGGGAGAATCCTTTGCAGGACTAAATGGTTACTGTTGAGGACTTCAAATTATGTTATTAAGCTATTTTATTTCAAAATGTCTTGTTTCTCATTAATAAACCCATGCTGACCTGGATTCAAATCATACTTATCTAATCATGTCAGGCAGTATATCAGACTTTCCAACTACTACAGAGCTTGTTTGCATAGCTAAAGTAATCATTGGTTCTAATTATTGTTCTCCATTAACTATGTGAAAATTAAATGTATAGGGATTCTTCTTTTCATGAAAGGGCACAATAATATTTGCATTATAATACTAAATCTCTATTTAGATATTGCCTTGGAGCCTTACTGAAATAATCCTTTCTATCTGTCAAATAATTATTTTTTAAATTTTCTTTTTTGGGTTTTTTTTTCAAGAATCAACAGGAAAAGACGCCTATTTGTTCATCTGAAAGAGAAACTCCACCTCTGACACTTCCAATATTTTTCATCACTCACAAGAAAAGGCAACATGCCATTTTTCATAAATATTTTGAGTTATTTTCATACTTTAAAAGTGAATGTAATTTAGTTTCGATTAGCAAGTAGTAAATCCAGATATTTCAGCTATTTCCCAAACTTCAGCCATCCCTGAAGTAAAAACCATGGAGAGGTGCCCAAGGTCCAAAAATTGTGCAGAAATTTCCCATTTCTGTGTGGAAGTACAGAGAAAGGAAAACAGACATTTATTTACCTAACACAAAGGAGAACAGAAAATTTAGTAATTTACTCAAGAAGGAAAGCTAATTTGGGCCATCCCACAGTTGCCTTCTTGGGGTGCCTAAAAGCTCTCATGAGGTTTGATAGCTCATGAGCAGATCAAAGCTTCCCTGCTAATTCCTCACAGGAATCACAGGATGGTTTGGGTTGTAAGGCACATCCAGTTCCACCCCCTGCCATGAGCAGGGACACCTTTCACCAGAGCAGGTTTCTCCAAGCTCTGTTCCACCTGGCCTTGAGCACTCACAGGGATGGGGCAGCCACAGCTTGTCTGGGCAGCCTGTCCCAGGGTCTCAGCACCCTCCCAGGAAGAACTTCTTCCTCAGATTTCTCCCGAAGCTGTTCTGTGTCAGCAGGAGGCTCCTGGGGTTGCTCCTGGGCACAGCTCACCTGCAGCATGCTGGGCAGCACCCACTGGTAGCCGCTGAGGGAGAAGAGGTGGTTGAAGTGCACGGCCGTGTTGATGACGGTGGCAGCGTACTGCCGCAGCAGGGCACTGTCCTCGGGGTGCAGGATCAGAGCGCCGTTGAACACGTTCAGGAACAGCATGATCTCGTCCCCCCACGGGAACTCGCTGGGCATGCCGAGGAACATCTCTTCCAGCAGCTTAATCCACAAGCTTTTCTGAAGGGTATCCAGGCCAAAGAGCTCTTTCCCAGCTGCAGGGGAGAAGAGCAATCAACAGCAACAGCAGTCAGCTCTGTCCACCACAGCCTCACCTTGCTGCAAAGAACCACCCCACAACAACGACCATCCTTCTGCCTTCTTAAAATCATTCCACCCTTCCTGTGTTTCTTTAAGTGCCCACAGGCAAACCTCAACTGAAAACATCAATATAAAGATGAAGAATGATAAATATCACACAGTTCATTAATCTGCTGGTTGGACACTCTTCCCTTAAAAAGTGCAAGATCTGAGCTTGTACATGGATCATCTGCCTCACATAGAGGCTGTGCAGATTTATACTCAGTTTTTATGTTCCAGGTGTCCCACACATTACAGGAAACCGATGCAGAGTTACAATAATGCTTCCGAAATCAAGTGCCTTTAGGGCTGGTACAGAACTTGCCAATGGTTACCACTGTGCGACAATGGCCTATTTAACCTTTTTAACATCAGGCTGGAAACCCTACTTTACCTTCAGAGCAGTTTCTATGTGGACTGTTTCTTTATCCCCACTGCAGAATTTACCCAGTCTTGGATTTCGACTGCTTCCACAAAGCAGATGGCAAAGGACTTTGAGCAATCCTTTCTGGGTAGTCTCATGCATGATTTTAATACTCAATTAAAATTCATTCTCATTTGGATCCAAAGCAAGTAGCCTTGTCTGGAGAATTCTAACAGCAAAGCCCTTTCTGCTGGTGTGCTTACAAACCAACAGTTCTGTATCGGTTTCCCCAGGAAGGGATTCATCAGCTTCCAGAAAAGCTGCAAGCCTGTGTGTTTCTAGGGCAAACAAAGCACTCACTGAAACCTTCTGGGTATTGAAGAGCCCTGCAGGAAAGCTGCCAGAGGATCATACCTTGGGGATCGCTGAAGAGTGAGAACTCAGCATCAATGGCACTTCGGGGGAACGAAGGCAGGCGGAGCAGGTCCTCCTGGAGCATGGACACGTGAGACTGCTTGTGGGCTGGGGGGATCTTCTGTGTCAGTGAGATCAGGAACAGCACCCGCCCCACCTCCTCCAGCTTGCGGGTGAACACCTGGCAGAGAAAAAGAGACAAAGATCTGTATCAGCCTAATCCAAAAGCTCTTTAAAGTGTATATGCACTTCCCCAGGTTCATTTCTACGGCTTTCTCTGATTGGAGGGATGCTGTACTCATGGCTAGGAGGATCATGATGAAATTCACAGGGCTAGTGCTGCACCCTCTCGCTAGAATTTATGTGACCACTGTTTTCCAGCCCAGGTCTGCAAAGATGGATTGTGTTTGTAAAAATGGTTCTAACAACATTTCCTATTTCAGTCTTCCAGAGTACCCTAAGTGGCTGAGGAACAATTTTCAACTTTGCTATGGGTTTTTCTGTAGATTAATGTAAGCCCCAAGGTGGTCAGAGAAACCAACTCCAAAGTGAAAGCCATATGTTCATATTTCCTGTTTTCAATGTCTTAGACAATAGTCAGCAAGAAGCTGGAATTTCTATCTGTCTTCTGGGATAAGTCTGGCTGACATCTGGCCATAGAAAGTACATGTATATACATTGCAAAAGAAAAGCAGTCAATAAAACATAGGAGACCAGATTCTGTGCTACTGAAAAGGAGCAAAATCTTGCTTGACTTCAGAGATCACTTACGCTTTATACCAACTGGGACACCAAATTCCATTCTACCAGCCTCCTTTGAACTTGTGGCTGATAGGACTGGCCAGGCTAGATCCTCTATTCCTATTCTGATGCTAAAAGTAACCATTAAGGCAGAGTGATATGTAGTTCCAAAATCAGCTGTCTTTGGGAGCTGTTTCAAGGCACCTCATAGCTACTGGGACAAAGCCAAAACCAAAACTTGAAGCATGTGGCAAAGATCAGGTTCACAGGTCCTGCCTTGCTGTGACCTGTGCTCTGAAGTGCACTCAGCTCAGAATTCAAGAATCAATCAACAAAAAAGCAAGTGCTTTTCCATGGATTGATGCTCAGTGGGTGCTTGGTTACTCGTGTTGCTTTCTTTGCTGAAGCGGGATGTTTTCCAGCAACATGACTACAGAGAGGCTGGCAAATGTAGTTTTACCTTAGAAATATTTTGGGTTCTAGGTGCTCTAAATATAAACATGCGGAAAGCAAAATAATGCCCTGAGAAAAAAAGTGAAGCCCATTTAAATATTTTTGGATCATGTAGGGGTGTATTAATTAAACTCTTTTACAATGCCAATTTGTAGGACATCTCCTAGAACCAGAGTAATTTCTGTTTGGAAGCAACCAAGTTGACCCCAAGTAATTCTAGATTTTTATTGACTTTCTACATGAAATATTGTCCTATTCTGTGCCATACACACATGAGATGGCATTGACTTTATTTTCCATTATTTTAGCTGCCAGCAGCATTTAAGCAGCTGTACAGCTGCCTTTTATAACTACTCCTGATGATATTTTCCTACTCTCAGTAAGAACACAACTACAGTAGCTGGTTTTGGCTGCAAAACCACAACTGTTAGTACCAAATGCATAATGTTTAAGCACATTCGCTGTCACAACTGCAGCTGCCAGATAAATTTGGCCAAACTCAACCAGTTTAGAAGTAAAACAAGTCCTCAGATTAGGCGAGGATAGGTTAGATTTAAGTCTAAACAGGGGACCCCCAGCCAATTCCATTTGATGTTAAGTTGCAGACACATCACTGGTCAGAGAGCTGGGTGATTCAAGATCCAAGATCCCAACCAATTGCCCATCTAAGCCCAGGAAATTCAAGGCCCCCATAGAAAGAAGTTCTGAACAAAAAAACAGGCTGTTTGTCACTGATGCTAGGTGAGTCATTTTACATCATGTAATAAATTCACACACATCCTTTTAATAATCCACCTAAAGGAAACTGGCTGGGCAGAGCTGGGGAGGGGGGAAATCCACATCCCACTCCAATCTTCCCACAATAATGTACAGTGTATATGGCCCCAAGACAGATTTCACCCTGATTGCTACCTCTCCAGCAAAGCTCTTGATCTGCATGCAGCATGTGTCTTCAAAAGGGAACAAAAAGATTTATTTTCAAGGTGTTTCTGGGAAGAGGTATTTGGTGGCAGTATGATACCTGCTTCTGAATGAGCTCTTGACCCTTTTCTGGGTGCATCTGCACCAGGTTGAGCTGGGGAGAGACTGACCTCCGGAAAGGATAAATATCACGGACGTAGGTCTGCCAGGAAAGGAAAAAAAGTGTATTTAAAACAAATCTAATCACTATGGTATCACTCAACAGAATGGTAAAAAGGGTCCTTTAGCCCTTTCTGAAGGGCAGAGGCTTTCAGGCATGGTCAGGCATCATGAAATGGCATAAACAGAAGAGAAATTAGATCTTTTCTAAGAAAACTAGACATTCTTGTCTTCTGACTCTTCCCTCTTCTCTCAAATTCCAATCTTTCACCACACACAACTAAAGATGTGATTCCCACAGGACAGAACTCCGTTTATAGGGTGTTTGTTCTCCTTTAGATAACCCTGAGGTTTAAAAAGGAGCTAGATGAAAAGTCACAAAAAGAAAATCACATGGACTTGATCTTTGCCTTACCTTGTTGTAATGAATGAGATTCCAACGCTTATCCATTAAGAAATAATGAGAAGACTGAGTTTCAGGTATGTTAAAAAACTCCAAGCATTCCTGAAAAGAAAGAAATCTAAATATCCTTTTGCTTTTCAGTTGTTTTATACAACTATCACAGCATCCAAAAGAAGAATATCCATCTAATAATCTATAAAGGCACAAACATGAATGCCTTAATCAGACTGGCACACAGTTCTGGCTTTAATTATTTATTTCACATTTTAATCATCAAGTAGCTGAGTATGTTTGTGATAATCAAGGCATGCTGAGAGCACAATCCTGTGACTGGTGTTACTTACCTTGGTCTCTATATATCACACATATTTGCCTGACTGTATGAGCCATATGGGCCTGGGTATTTATCAAGACTTAGTGATATGCAGAGACACTGAAGTTCTGATGCTTCAAAACACTGAGATGTGATTCCCAGTAAAATTTGACATAGCCAGGCAAACTAAAGGCTTTTACAAATCTGTTTCCTATGTGCCTCAATTAAAACTGTTCATGAAATTTTTGGCAGAAAGCGACTGCACAGCTCCTGAATACCAAAATATTGTTGTGGCTACTGAACCATCATTTTCACTCCGATCTGCATCAATCTCTCATCTCCAGTGTTCATAAAACTTTGGTTTATGAAAATCATTTAAATGATTTGTGTATTTATCAAAAGTATATAGCAAATACCCAACAAGCTGCAGTGTCTCCAGATGTAGTTGCATTTGTGAGGTTTGGGCTTTCTGTGAGTTCAGAACATTTCTATTATCCTTAAACGTGGGATCCTGTTTATTGCAACCAAGCTGCCCTCACGGGGAGACAGACATGCCTGTGAGCAGAATTTCCCTCCCTGACTCTGGAACAGGATGATCAGGCAGAATGGATTGCTGGCATACAGGTATGGCAGGTAAATGTAAGCAGTTTGTCCAGCTCAAAAACTCACTCCTACCTTCAGAAGAGCCTCAAACTGTGTGTCCTCGTGGACTGGTAACTGCGTTGGGATGTCACACTCATTCTGTCCATGCACAACAAGGGTTTTTGTGCCTAGAGGAAGAAAAGTTGTTGCATTTTCCTTGGCCTCTTTAATTAGCTCAATTTCAAGAGACTGCCCATGGAGGAAGAGTGGTGCTTGAAATTCATCCTTGGACAGGCAGACAGACTATGCAAGTCCTATCTGAAACTATTAATTAGTGTTAACATATTCTTACACTTCCACAGTTAAATGAGAAATTGATCGGTACTTAAAGGATGAGCTGACTTTAGCAGCAGCTGTCAGCTCTGAGGAAGAAACACACGCAAAAGGCCAAACCTGTTTATCAGCAAGATATCTCTTGTCTGACTCATGATGCCCAGAGTCAGAATGGTGGAGTTTTACAATGATTCTTCTGCCAGCCCAGCTGGCAAAAAGCTCTGGGTTGAAATTCTGTTCTGATTCACTTTCTGTTTGCTTCTTTTAGAGCTCTTAAAGCATTGGGGTTTTTTTGAATCTCAAGGAATCAGCAGTAGAATTTACTGACTGAACACTCAGCTGAAGGAAAACTGCCTTAAAATATGCAGCCATTTGTAACAAGCCTTTTTCTGATCCAGTTCTGATGTATCTTCTTTTTGGTAAAATAGGCCATAAACTTTGAAGTGAAGGCGATTTAAAGGCTTATTTCTCATACCTGGCATTGAGGCAGTCACCAGCAGCTTCACTTCACACTGTTCCTTCTTCATGGTCTGTTTGAGATCCTTGAAGAAGAGTCCTTCAACATAACCCACCACTTCCCAAAGGAAGGTAAGAGTGGCAGAAATTGCATCCATGCCCCATTCACACGGAGTCCGTACAAAATACATGATCAATCCTACCTGCAGGTGATAAGTAAGAGGAATATCAATATCAGGTTGTACACACTCTTTTAATTGTGCAGAGCATTGTATAAACACAGAATAACCATACTGTTCTACCCTTCTTCATTCAGAGGGATAACCTCATTAAACTTTCAGCCTGAAATTTTACACGTATTAAAAAACAATCTGCCTGTAGTATTCTTCCTTTTTTCTAGAGATCATGAGATTGGGGGGCAAAATGTACTCTTGCAGTATAGCCTTAAGCACCACTGCAAATAAGGAAAAGGGAGAATGTCTGCAGTTAGAAAATTCCTATTCTTCCTGCTCTGAAGTGCTGCCATGTAGAAAACTCACAAACTACAGAAGGCTCCCTGGAGAAGGATAAACCTTGTCTGCTTCACCTCCTATCTACAACATTTGTCCACAATCTTGAAAGAAGCTGCTAGATTTGCTCCGAGAGGACTGCCTAGCAGCAAAGCACCTTCTAAACCCAAATTAAGTAAAATAATTAAAAGTTTCTGGTGCTTGGACCCTTCTAATTGTCTTCAACTCATTGGCCAAGGTTCAGTTTAGAAACAGGTTGTTTAGGGGTTTGATAAAAAGAGAAAGGTTCTTTTTCCTCTCCCCAGAAGGTCAGCAAGGCCTGGTGCGGCCTGCACCCACAACCAGGAGCAAGTATGAGCTGCATAAGAAAAATTAAGTGCAATTTTTGCTCACGTGAAGGCAGAGGAGAGATTCTGTGCTGCACAGCAGGCCCACAAGCTACTCACCAAGTAGTTAAAGAGGATATGAGATGTCTGGGCAGGAAAGTCTCCAATGTTCAACAAAAGCTTCCTTAGCATATACATCAGCTCGTCCTGGAGGAAAAGCAAAGGTGTTTTTCTTTCCCCACCAAAAACTGAAGAACAGATTTCTCCTTTTTGTCCTTTCTTGCTTTGTTTCTTCCCATTTTTCCCTTTCCCAGCTTTGTCTCTCAGCAAATGAAGTAAAACCATACACCTGTTACTGCTCTCAGATATTGCAAAATAAGGCCCGGGGCACAGCCTCCAGGCCGGTGTCTTTCCCATTTAATCTCAGAGAGGCCAGTACCTCCTGTTGCAATTTGTACTGACTGTAACACTACAGACCATGCACTCTGTGATTATCCCTGATGACTACCCAGGTGATCTGTGAAATCTAGCTCATTTCACCTCAACAGCTGTGGCTGCAGGGTGAGAGGTGTGGGCAGAATCCAACTTCCCTTTCCTTGGGAGGCTGCCTGCCTTAAATGTAGACTAAGATATTTCTCAGAGTGTGAAGGGATTATAGAAGGGACAGAATCTCACTGTCAGCTGAAGAGAGAGACTGATGGCCTCACAAATGTCTTCTATGGCCCTTATCCTTTAACCCCACAGCAGATTTGAGCCAGTGTTGTAGGCACAGATATGCACAGGACAATCCATTCCAGTGATACACCTAGCAAAAGCTCCCAGGGAAATAAACGTGTTCTCTGTGTTCTGTACCTGTGGTTATATGAGGAAATGGTGAAACAGATTGCCATGGCTCAGAGGCCTCTGAGGCTGGACAGATTACAGCTTTCTTCTCAAAGGTACTGAACAAACAACCTCTCTGACCAGAGATGTTGTGCATGCCCCATCCCTGGAAGTGTTTAAGGGTAGATTCAAAGGGGATTTGAGCAGCCTGGTGTAAAAAGCATTCTGCCAGTGGTGGGGGGCTGGAAGTATGTGATATTTAAGGTTGCTTCCAACCCAAATAATTCTATGAAACAGATGTGACCTTCTAACCTTTAATAAAAGCTTTGTGGGCAGTGGCTGAGAAATCTCAGGAACAGTAAGTCCACCAATACCTGCTTGCTCAAGGAACAATTTCCTGACATTTCTCAGGTTTAATATTAATTTCAGAGTCAGTTCTTAGGTAGTGGCTTGAAAGCTGAGGCCAGTGATACTATTGATACCACACACCAAATAATGCAGTTGAGAAAGCAATATGGAGAATCTCCCTGCCTTGTACACAATCAGAACTTGTATGGTTTTCTTCCATAAATCTTAGCCATGCTCCTTGAAGCAGTCTAGTAAGCCACAGAGACACAATGCTAGCCCAGCTTTCAGAGAATCTGAATTCTCTGATTGTCTATTCAGAGAATCTGAATAGAGTGGCATGAGTGAAGGCAGCACTGCCTATGCTTCACTAAACTGCTCAAAGCTTGGCTTAGAGGTGATAAATCAGATCCTTAGTGGTGATAAATCAGCTGTGTCCTGTTTACATCAGTGGACAAAGATTGCAGCCAAATGATGACATGCTGCCTTGTAATAGCAAATGCTCTTTTCCAGTGATGCCCACAAAGTGCTCCCCTGCTCTGAGGAACTCTTACACCTCCTGGGGACAGGAACAGGGTACCTGTCGATTGCTGATCGTGAGCTTCTCAAGGAAGTGGCGCAGAACTGTAGAGGGGTCTTCAATTAAGCAGTTCCACAGAACCTGCTGAGCAACAGCACTTACTGTAAGAGAGAAAGGAAACCAGGTCAGGAGCTGCCTTTTTGAAAAGCCATGAACTTTTTGGATACTTAAAAAAACATTCTTGGTCTTCTTTCTTCCTCTGTTATATTTTTTACTGAAACACCCAAGACTCCATTTGAGGCACCAGAATTCCTGATAAGTGGTGCAGTGATCCCAGTAATAATAATCACAGGTCTAATATTTGAACCTTCCCTAACTACTGGTGATATGACAGGAAGCACTTCACAACTGTTAAGGAGTGATAAAGAAATAACTGGATTCATATCTCCAGAGGGACAAAATCCAGCAAGTGAGAGATATAAATTAATTTATTTTTTTTGTTCATGCACAGAAGTTAAATTTCATGGTGATTCATTGAGTGATTTTATCTGGTATTGGTGAACAGTATTAGATAGTCAGCAGGGAATTGTGTTGATGATCAACTCCCTAAAGTGCAATTAATTGCAGTCCTCTGAAGGTTAACAACAACATGGAATTATTCATGATTTTGTTTTCAGTACTCATCTCCTGATCACAAAATCACACATACATTGTTTAGGGGGCTGGCTACATACAGGTAAAATTGAATACAAAATGTAAGCGGAAGTCAAATGCACCACAAGCTGACATGATTAATGGGAAACGAGAAGCAGAACAGTCCACCATGTATTAACAGTTTCAAAAAAACAAATACAAGGAAATATACTATTAACTTACAAAGACATCATAGACCATAAACAAAATGTTCAGGCTGTGTATAGGTGGCTTTCTTCTTGTTATAGGAACAAAAAAATATGAGTGGGAATAGATGTCCAGAGTTCTTCAGTCCAAGCCCCACTTGGGGTAGGACTGTCACCTACACTAGGTGTGTTAACCATAGCTATGATTAGCCAGGGCTTGATAACCCCTGTGCATGAAGAATCAACAAAAATTATGCTCCTGGTGATTAACTACCTTCACAATTTCTAAACTGAATGTCCCATGTTGTAAACTCTGAGTCAGTGTTCTTCTAACTCTTTTTTTCCTTTGAATCACACCAAACAAGCACAGCTTCTACAATTACTCCTCAAAGAATACTTGTGTTAGGTCTCTGACTATCCTTGTCTCCCCCCACTAGATTTTTTTCAGCTTCTCAACATTTCTTTTGAATTAGGGGCTTTTTTAGGGTCCTGATAGGGTAAAAGCCCCTAAAAGTCAAACACAACTTATGTAGAAAATAAATAGGAAAAACTCTACAAAGATATATTTATATTGTAAATCTACATTCAGATAGTTTTGAAACTGGTTCTGCCATCCCTAAGCCACAATCCCTTCAAGCTTAATCAAGGTCCATACCAGCTACTCCATCCTCCCGGACTTCTCCATCTTCCATCAAATGGACAATGGGGAGCACTGCTGCACAGATGCACGCTGGAAACACAGCCTGAGGTGGCTGAGGCACGTGATGGTTTGGAGTGTGCTCAGTGGTGTGTTCTTCATCTGGAGCAGTAAGAAGAAAAGTTAGGGAACACACTGTGCTGCTAGCCAGGCAGGCTAGATAAACATTTATCTTAGTGGCTCTACACACAAAACAAAGATCTGTTCACTGTGCAAGCATGGCAGGTTTACTGCTATCTCCAAGTAGAAATAGAGCTTCTAGGCAACTTCTTGAGCAAGAATTTTCACCTGTAAATATGTAGTTTTTCAATTTAAGTTTCTTTTCTTGTAGGCAACCCAGTTTCTTTTGATAAAACCCCTTTTTTCAGCTACAGTGCTCCCTGTAGCACTACTCCCCAAGGAGAACGTGAGAAGCAAGAGAAAGTGTTGTGACAGCAGGAGTGAATAAAATAATGAAGGGCAGTAACTTATTATAAAGAAGCACAAGCTTGAGAATATATTTGGCAAAAGGAAATGCCAGAGCTTTATGGGTCAACAGGAAAGGCTTCCAGTGAATGAAATCCTAGGAGGGAATGCTCCAAAGTGAAGTCACCCACCTTCTGCACTGACTGCTGAGCGCACTGACCACACAGAGCCACGGCGGAAAGAATAATTCCTGTGAGAAGTACTGGAGGTGCAGGATGGACTCACAGAGAGACGGCGGGAGGCCAGGTTGGCAACTTCTTCTACTGACAAACAGAATATGAAATGTCAATCCAGATCCAGCTGACAGAGTTCAGGGAATATTTTGAAGGACAGCATTTACAACCAAACCAGAAGAACACTGAAAAGTCAAGTCAGGTAACACTCAAAAGACACAAAGGTCAGTCAGATCATAATTTGCTCATGCTTTGGGAAACAGCAGAACACTGGTCCATAAGTGTTCAGTGCTCTGGTGCATCACATCGTAACAGAGCTGGCACCATACATTCTTTTCATGCACTCCCTGTTAACCATCATTGTTGCTGGTGCTTAGTTTTTCTTAAGAACTAGGATTTCTGCTCACAGATTTTCCAGTGTATGTTTAGATCTCATCAACCTAATTGCACACACCTTGGAATGGCTTTAATGAAGTCTTTGTGCTCTGTTAGCCTGGGTCAGTAAAACTCCTCACCCACAGACTAAGCTTATTGTGACTCATGTCATGTTCCTTTGGCTGTCTGAAAGTTTGGTACTGAGCTTGGTCTGGTCACCTGGACTCCCCCACTATTCACCATAATGGTAGAAAACCCCAGGAGCTATTCAGTATATCCTAAGTTTCATTTCTTAATACAGATGCTGCCAAAGAGCAATTCCTCCCACACTTTAATTATTAAAGAGTTAAAGTTGGGAAAGACAGATTTCACTCCTGGTGTTGTATATTCTCTTGTGTTAAATCCTGCAAGAAACTGAGAGCTTTGAGATGGCAAATGGTGGCAAGTTCTGAAGCTGGGGCAGATGAGGTCAGTGTCTTTATCACCCAGTAAGAACTCTCAATATATCTGAGGTTTTGTCTCTTTTTTTTTTCACTAATTTTCAAATATACTTTTTCTCAACGACTTGGGCTCTTCAACAAATGGACATGGTTGGTACTTTGCTAACACTAAAAATCAGTTTTCCTGGACATCACTAAGCACTAATCAGTGCTCTGTGTTTGTGGGAAATGCTCTCAGGTTCCTGGAATGCAGTTCCTGGCCCCAGAGCACACCTTCTTCCTCCTGCTCAGAGCTTGGTGTACAGGATGGCTCGTAGCAGGCCTCCTGAGTGATGGGGATGGCAGTGATAAGACTGGCTTCCCGGCCCAGGCGTTTCTTCTCTTCCTCCTGCTGCAGGTTCTTCAGGATATGCTCAGCTCTCTGATGGGACCGTGACACAGCTCGGGCAGAAAATGACTTCTGTTGGGAGGAAGAGAGAAGAAGCACAGCTTGAAGCTGTTAGTTAAGATGCACACCAGGAGACACCATGTGAACCAGTGCAGACTAAATTGTCTCTCAGGCAGTTCTATTGAAAAGATCCTCTTGGAGAGAGAGCAGCAGTGTGCTCCTAAGATCTGAGTTAGTTTCTCTCACAGGGATGTGAGGTGCAGCACAGTGCCTCAGTGAACAAACAGAAAAGCTTGATACTCATGTAGAAAGTTCTGTGTCCTACATAGAATATACAAGATTTTTTTCCCAGCTGGGAAAGACAATCTCAGAGGTTAATCCACATCTTTTGGCTTAATTTACCTCACACCTCTACAGAGAAAAAACAGTGCTTACTCTCAGAATGTCTGCTTACCGACTGATCTTCATTGATAGGATCCTGCACACTCCCACTGCACTGAGGCACCCAGGGAGGGTCAAACATTGGCACAGATGGCATCCCCAGCACAGGAGAAGGCAGAGTGAAGTTTATACTTGGAGGGGGAATCTAAACAAAACCATGAAAGGCATTTTGTTACAGCAAATTATTATTGTCAGTATTGTTAATTAAATGTGAGGACAAGTACCCAAGACATAAATTAACTCTGCCAATTTTTCCCACCTCTATATCTCACTGGCCTGGACTGTAACACCATGTATGACACACATCTTCACTGATATATCTCCTGACCTGAGTCCCCATTTTATTCTCCCTGTTTTATACAGGACTTCTTCATGTCACCTCCCCCACTAGTGAGACTTATACAATCATTTTTTCTTTTTTTCCCTAAAGGAAATTTCATGGCAGTCTGCCATTACACATCCATCCCACAAGGCAAGCTGTAAATGTCATCACTAAGCTTCATGTGTCTTATCTACCTTGAAGATCTGCTGAGCTCCCTCTTCCATCCTTGGCCACACTTGATATCTGAACCTCCAGAGTGTGTGAAATTTAAGAATGGCATTCAGTCTCTGCACTGTTTCTGGGTGATGAAATTCGGACATCAGCATGTCAGAAACGGCCTCTGGCACTTTCACAGCACACAGCAGGAACATGGCAGCTGCAGGGAGAAAGCATCTGATCACCCGTGTTTCTCAATAATTTATTTGATGTTTATTTATTGATATGTATTTAATTTTATTTATTTATTTGTTACTGTTTTTATTTTCTTTCTTACTTGTTTATTTATTTAATGTTTATTTGGCAAAGAAACACTGTAGGTGTACGAACCCACACCAAAAGAAACCTCATATCTTGGCTCCATAAATAGCAATCACCAATCCACCAGGCCTAGAGAAAATTGTATTTCTCATAATGAAATACATTATTTTTCATTCATTATATAATGAAACCAAGCAGGTGTGATTCCACCTTCTGGAGCAACACAGCATTACAGCTGAAGCTTGTAAATTCTTCTGAAAAATCTGCTTTTTAAAATAAAGTGCACCTTCTATCTTCTCAGCCATGACTTGTTCAAAAGAAGAGCATCTCTTGAAGTAAAGGGACTAACTGAGTTTGGCTTTCAAAGGTTCTACTTTTAAGTGATTTGTGTGCTGATTAATCAAGGGTGATTTAACAGAAACTCTGGAACAGGAGACAGTGCCCCAGTAGAAGTCACCTGGCTATTTTCATGGGTGAAACCAGTTCTTAATAAAGTGGGCTCCATGCAATGATTCCAGTCTGTCTCCAAGAGAAAACAGACAAAGGACCACACAAAACAGCAGAATGGCAGCTGATATGAGGAAATAAGCTAGAAATTCCTGACTGAGAGACAGTTTTACAGTCTATAAAAGCTACACAAATTTCTACAGAGACAGAAGTCTCCCACACAGCCCCTGAAACATACAGGGGATGTTCTCACCTGTGAGGTGAGATGTGACTCCACAGATACTTTCCCTGGGAATTGAGAGGAAAGATTCTATGTGTACCCCATCATCAATTAGGTGGTAAATCCATTGGATGTTAAGCTGCATTGTTTCTTCACTGGCTATATACTTCATATATGTATATATATATGTAATATATGTATATACATGTAATAAATATATATGTAGTATATGTAATATAAGGTGCTTCTATCATGCACTGTATATTTTCTACTAATAGTTATTTTTAATTCCTGTGTAGTCAATAGTTTGTTTAAAATCTTGTTTCTGTTAATTTTGTGTCCATTAAATAAATAATTTATTCTATGACAGACCAAATCAGCCATTATTAAAGAACTTGTGAACAAGAGTGGGTTTTGGGGTGCTGGCCACCCCAATAAAGCTACTGTCTGCTGCCAGAGGCCTGGGCAAAAGGCAGGGATTTATCTAAGCTCCTATTTCCATTTGTAACAGTAGCTGAGCTAACCCATTGCTGTTTCAATGGATCCTATTGGAATATAAACAGCCATTAATTAAAATACAGACTGATGGAGGATAATCAGTGCAGATGGTGTCTGAGGGGCACTGCAGGAGACAGGAGCAGAGGGATTAGTGTGGCTGTGGGAGTTCAGTGGTGTTAGAGAATCCATGGCTTCTTTGACCAGTGTGAAAGCAGAGCACCAAAGACAATTTCTCTGGATTTGGTGGCTGTTCCTCCACCGTAGCAAGAAGATATTTGCCACTGTCTTTTCTTCAATGCCTGTTCAGCAGGTGCCAGGCTCCAGAGCAGTGCTTATGGGAGGCAGTGTGACCACTGCAGGAAAACAAGGCTGAAAACAAGTCTCTGACTGCCTGGGCTCCTGGTGCTGCTCAAAATCTGTGGGGACCTTGAAGTTTTACCAGCTCAGACAATCTTCTGCTCTCTGATCTTCTCAGACTATAACAAGCCTTAGTAGGCCAGATGTAAAAGTGTGAGTTCATTCTGAAGCAACCAAGAACAGAAACAGAGCCCAGAGGAGAGGTCAGAAGATTTTAATCTTCCCTTCAGGAAAGGGAGAAGAAGGAAGATCTATTTCAGAGGCTGCTAGCACTCCTCAGGGAGAGCAGCAAAGCTTCATCCCATTCCCTGTGACCCATGCAAATTTTTTTAAATTAGAATCACAGAATCATTAAGGTTGAAAAGGACCTCTAAGATCAAAGAGTTAAAAAAGTATCCAAAATTATTCCCTCAGGAAGGGACTTGAAGCAGGGAAAGGTGTACAGCATCAGGCAGATTATTTCTGTTTATTTTGCTCCTTTCTCTTCCTGTCTACACGTTTGACCTGGGAAAGGCAAAGGTTAAAGGGAGAGCACAGAAAGACCTGAAATGAAGTGGTCTGTGCACTGGTGGAGTACACCAGTGGAAGAAGTAGACTGCTGGAAAATCTGCTTTTCCAGTGAGGGAAAGTGAGGGAAACCTGAAGGCCACGAAGGGGTGTGGGTCAAACAATGTACTTCAGGGCAGAATTCATTGTTAGCTGTGGAAAATAAAGGCCTGGTGTACTGGATTGAAACGTGACAGAAAGGGGAATGCTGTTTGAAGACCATTTCAAAACTCTTGAACTGTTAACAGCTTTTGATTAAAAATGTCTCTAACTTAATCTTCAGGGAAAGAACCTCTGCCCTGATAGGTATGCAAACCTGTGAAAGGAGGAAATCTTCCAGCCATTTCCTTGCCTGCTGGGGGATGAGAAAAGTAGAATTTGAAAGCTGTGGGAGGACAGTAAGACTAGAGAGGACCTCCTGAGCCATGTCATCAAATTCCTTTCATAAGCTCTTAAACCAAAGGGCTTTTGCTTTCTTTTCTGATGGTTAGAAATCTGTTTTCCATGTGAAAGAAGTCATAAAACATTATTACCCATCTTCATTCTCCTCTAACAAGTTATTCTTAAATATTTAATAAATGATATTTCTTTAAATAATAATTAAATAATCCATTAATAATAATTAAATAATTAAATTATCCAATAATCTGTCATTATGAAGAGTTAAGATATCCCTTCTCAGTCTTCATCTGAATCCATTGAATAAATATCCTATATATCATATAAGCTCTTAATTCTTCCTCCTGTCCTAACAGCATCTGTTACACATAAATATCTTACTTCAGTGACCAAAATTGTGCATTAGAAGTGTTGTGTTCTAGGTAATTGTACATCATGCTTTACAGTAGCATTAATACTTTGAATTGCTAATGAAATACCTCTTCTGACACATTCTGACTGTGTTTATTTTTTCACAGCTGGTCATTAGGTCATCTTTTGGCCAAGGGATAAACTCTGAACCCAGATTGTTCCCATGGGAGAAGATCCAAGCTCATAGGAGAAAAATTCTTATTACTACTTTGCAACAACATATGTGATTTTGTATTTTATTGTAATAAATCTCATGCTGTGTGCAGAATTTCAAAGTGCTACTTTCACAGGTACATGATGTCCTAATCATCTGTCTTAAAGATGCTTCTCAACTATGTGTCATCAGCAATCATCTGTACACTTTAAAACCAGGTGGAAATGGAAAATTTAGGTAGTACCATACAACAACAGTACTCAATGAGCAATGCTGTTGTCTCTATGCAACATGAGAATTTTCCTTGTAGCATAACAGGAGCTGTGACAGTTTCACTCTCATTCCCTGGGTCATTTTTGCATGCACTCACAATTGGTACTAACATTTCCATGAGGCAGCAGACAGAATGCTTTAGCAGACTCTGGACAAACTGAATCACTGTGTTTCCTCTGCCTACAAACCCAACCGAATACAAATACTAATTTTTATATTCTTCAAACATCCAGAGCCTCAAAGAGAGCTTCCTCCTGATCCTTCTGACCACCTCTTTTCCACAGAGCACATAACACTCTGCAGAAACCAAACAGCCCCCAAGAAACCCGTGCTGGCCTTCAGATTCCTCCACTGCAAAACTGCAAAGTCCTGGGGTCAGCAGTGAGTTGTGCAGCCTCAGCAGCCCTGCAGAGGGGTTTGCCTCTCTTACCTGCTGCTCCAGCCATGTGCTCATCCACACTGAGCAGGAGCTCCCATGCTGCTGGCTGGATGTCCCCGTACATCTCCTCGGTGAGGATAGGAGCTGCCTTGATCAGCAGTGACAAAGGGGCAGGGGAGAGACTCATGACCTGCAACAAACCAAGCCAACAAACAAACTCAGCCTTAGGGCTGAGCTGTGCAAACCATCCACAGGGAAGAACACACTCGGTGATTTTATCCTGGTTTTGGTCTGCAAATTACCCGCTAATAACCTCCAAGTTCATCACTTCAGAAAACTCTCCAGACAGGGGATGTGGCTTGCAGCCTATACTAAAGTGTCAGTGTTTCTACTTTCTAGAGTCCTTTGCTTGTCCCTCACATCACCAAAACACCAAAAAAGAGGACATAAGGAAAGCCAAACTCTCCCAAAGTAGTGCACAAACAGTGATACAGGTCCATTAAACTCACACTAAGAACAGGCTTATGAAGATTATGTTGCTTTTCAGGAACCTTGAACAAGAACAAAGAAAACTAACACTGTAAACTGATAGGCTGCAGTTAAACATACCGGTGAATTCTTGGGTTTTCTGTATCCTCAGCTCTGGTGCATATGTCACTATGGAAAGCCAGAGATGCAGACTGTGATTTAATGGAGCTAAATGTTTAAAGGATTCTTTGACCATGTTTCCTTGAGAGGTTTAAATTTCATATTACTCAGATTGGGAAAAGATGTAGGGCTGAACAGAGTGATATTCAGGCACAGTTCTTCACATGGGCTTGGAGATCCATATATATTTTCACTCCTGTTGCATTTTAACCTGGCACCTATACATCTACCTCCCTAACTAGCATATGGCCTAATCAGTACCTGATTCCTGATGTACTTTAGCATTCCAGAGTCCTTCTTCCCTTCCAAGTTGATATCGATCACTCTCTTTTTAAGAGAAGGAGTTCTCAGGCATGACTTGTCTGAGCACTGGAAGGAAATAAAAAGAAAGCGGAGTTCACATTTATGGTTCTCAAAATGTGGAAAAAGGAGATTACGTACAAGAGGAATTTCCACATACTAGAAACCATCTGGTATCAGAGCTGTAGCTGGCAACAGGCCTAGTATCAGTGAGACAACACATCTCATCCAATTTTTTTCTATTTTTAACTATGCTTTTCCCAATGAAATCTTAAGGCAGAGGACAGCAAACCGAATGAAGAATGTGAATGTTTTCTGTGTAATCTTCACTGGTGGCACACCCATGTATTTAGTTAAGTAAATTAGAGCTAAATCATGTCCCCAGGTGCCACATCCTTACAGTTCTGAAAGCCCTCCAGGGATGGTGCCCCACTGCCTCACTGGGCAGCCTGTGCCAGGGCTGGACAAAACTTTCAGAGAAGTTTTTCCTAATATTCAATCTAACCCTCCCCTGGTGCAACTTGAGGTCATTTCCTCTCAATCATGCCCCTTGTTTCCTGGAAGCAAAGTGCCCCTTGAGCCTCCTTTTCTCCAGGCTGAGCCCCCCCAACTCCCTCAGCTACTCCTGGTGCTCCAGCCCCTTCCTCCTCTCCATTCCCTCCTCTGGATACACTTCCATGTCTTTCTTGGGCTATGAAAAAAGCAAAGACTGTCAATTGCTCTCTGGAATTCTTTTTTTCTGCTGCTTCTTAAATGTTTTGATGGTCTGATCTATGATGAAATGCATGTCTGTCTTGCAATTCAAATTTGGAGATGAAACAAGGCACAGAAATGCACAGTTCTTCTGCTGCCTTTCATGAAACATAGCATCTATCATCTCTTGCCTGGCTTGCAGAGGAAATGACTGCCTCTCTTTCTAAATAACTGGTGCTTTTCTGTGCTGGAGGAAAAATGCGGGGTTTACAGTTTTCAGGAAAGCAGAAACATTCGCTTCTGTTTTACCTGTTCTGTGCTTTCCTCCCTGAAAATATCCTTCAATTTTCTAACTTGACAGGAAACAAACAATCTCCTGGATGATGAAGAAACATAATGAATTTTTCTCCTGCATATGCCACTGCCAGTGATGATAGCCTCTTTACCCAGCTGAAAGCTTCATGAGAGTTTCATGAACACTTTTGTTTTCAATGTTACTGCAAAGCAGTTGAATGGCTCTGCCATTACAATTTTTCAGGATAACTGTAGTCTGTCTGCTGTGGTTTAACTCTTGACACAATTCAGTTGGTGCCTGGGTGGGCACTTTCCTGGAAGCAGAAATGTATTTCCACTAAAGTACACTATGACATATAAAAAGGCACAAAGTTATCTGAATGTCCTGAAATGTCAGTTGTCTGAAATGGTCACTAAAAGGAGACAAACATTAAAGACTAAGGTATACAGTTCTTGGAACAGCTGAGTCTCAGACCTAAAAGAAAGAAATCACACAAGATTTTAGAAGAATTTCAAGAGTGATTCTAAATAACAGACAAGAAAAAGCATGAACAAAGAGAGACAGAATCCACAGGGTAGTAACCAGAGACCACTAAAAATTGAAGTCAGGTTGTAAGCTTTTAAAATTACCTTATCAGTAATTAAGATTCATCCCAATCAACACAGATTACATTCCTTACATAATGATGAATGGCTTAATTGCTGAGGCTTTTAAACTAAGCTTAGGAAAAGCTACATTCATTTTGTCATGAAAGAACTGTACGAACACATTACACGATTTTCGAAGGCAACAATTATGTGCCTGGACAAACCCCAAAACATTCTGCTTTTTCCATTTACTCACTTCCTTTTGTTTTTTGCCTCTTGCCACGTTGTTCAAAGTGCTGTTCCCTCTCAGGGAGTCCACTGTATCTCCATACAGCAGCTTGATGGCCCGGACAAGGCGAGCACAGGACCGGCTGTGGTGGAGGTAGCAGTGTGGGTGACAGTAGTCAATGTGTGTGCATATGAAACTCTGCTGGTTGCATAATAGGATCATAACCTGGAAATTAAAAAATAAATAATTACCTGTAGAAAAAGGAGTTGCACAGGCAGCCATTGGGACAGTCAAGCAAACTCAGCCTAGCTAGAGAGGTGTGAGCACAGATTTAAAAAGGTGTGTGTGTCTGTGTAGATCTTCATGCATACAAGAGGTTTTCAAACTAGCTGGGCATGGCTAAAGAAGCATTAGTGCTAACAAAGCAAAGAAACAGAGCTGCTATAGATGTGTTTATTCAGCTGGTGGCAAGACTAAGGCTGAGGAAAACAGCATCCTCTCAGTTTGCAGAAAAGCTCTCTAAGATTAGAGCCTGGACTGGAAACCATCAGCTAGCAATTGTTATTAAAGCTGCAACCCCACTGTCTTTGGGGGGGTACTTTGCTTCAGGGGATGAAAAGGGAAATATCTCAGTATGCTCTCAAGCAGAAATCAGCTGTGTCTGCTGCCCTGCATATCCTTCCCTCAGTGTCATTGTGTAGACCCATCCAGCCCAGCTCTATGGTAGCTGGCTCAGTTGCTGTTTCTATTAGTGTTGCCATATGGCAGCAAGGAGCAGTAAAACTTATCTAAAAATCAGGTAAATATTTAGCTATGCTGAGCCCTGCTTTGCTGCAGAAACACTGGTATTAGTCCCTAAGCTCCTTAGTTAAGGACAGCCTTGGCAAGCCTACACTTGAGTGAGTGCTCTCTGGTGTAACTCAGATGTTTTCCACAAACCCAGCCTCTTATTAGCACTCTGAGGAAAACACACAGCCACCTCAAAGCCATTCACACTGCAGGGCTTAACAAGCCTTTATGAATCCTTCTCTTCCCCCCACAATCCAGTGCAGAAGTACCCAGAACTACCAGAAGGAAGCTATCCCAATTTTCCATCCTCTGTGTCTATGTCTGTGCAGCTGCAGTCTGCTGGATCTCTCTCCAGGCTGCCACATCATTCTCAGCCTTAAAATAATTAAGCTGCTAAAAATCACAGGAGCTTAATCTAAAACAAATCTGTGTAATGTTTCTAGCATTCCTGTGTTTGCCTCCTTGTTCTGGCCTCCTATTATTTCGGGATCAATAAAGTATTTGTATCAATGGGAAAATTGTACAGCAGCACTGTCGAGTTTTTACCAGCCTCTGGTCCACTCTGATAAATTGCTGTACATTGACACAGAGTGAGGACACCATGCTCCAGGCTCCCTAGAGGACAGGTAAAGGAAATGTTGGTGTCTTCATAACAGTAATTGGAACCAGTGATCCTTTTGAGTTGTTTGCTTGCAACAACTAAGTAAAGCAGGCTTTTTTTTCTTTTTTTTTTGTCTGTAGTTTTAGTAACCATCTAGCCATACCTTCTTTCTAACAAATGAAAAAAAATAGCATTGCCATGTAATATTGCTACTTGTGTGTCATTAGCTGTAGCAGGTGTTTTTCCAAATTTTCCTTTCTCCTATGCAAGTGAATCACATGTAAAGTGAGACAAACATCTCAAGTTTCCTTCAGAATTCGTGAGTTCATGCATCCTCCCACACTGAGCAAGGGCACCATGATTTATCTCAAGCTTCTAACTTGAGATACTTAGTTTACTACATTGGACTTTCCAAATGAGATATAAGTGTTACCAAGAGCATTAGAGTACTGTCAGAAAACAGGGAAGTCCAGGGATTGAGATATTTGATTGGAAGACATGGCATTCAAGTTCTCTGCCCTGCCAGCCTCATGTGAAAAAGAGAATTATCTAGAACTGTTTCTGACATCAAAGTATTGGATTAAGCCTTTTCTTGCCCACACCCCATGGGAATAGGGCAGCTGAGAGCAGTCTGTGTGAAATATCTGGAGAAACAAACAAAGATACCAAGTCAGTATTAACAGCTGTCTTCCCCAAAGGCAACTCCAAAGTCAAAGGGTGTCTGTGCAGTCTTGGGACACCCGGAGGCTGAGCAGTGCAGAGCTGCCCAGCTGGCTTCTGGCAAGCCTAAATCCAGGGATGCCTTAGACCCTGCATGAGCAAACCACAGCTGCACTGCTGTGCACTCCCTGTCTGTTGGACAGAGCCAAAACTACACAAGGCTCTGTTGGCTTGCACGAGCAGCTTCCGAAATGCCAACTCCCAGAAGCTGGGGCCCAGCTCACACTGAAGCCCCATTCTGCTGCTCTCCCTGAAATACACACTACTGGCCATGCTGGAGATACTGAGCTAATGTATTTTCCAGCTGAGGTAGTATGGCTGTCCCTGCACACCCAGGGAGAAAAAAAACCCAAACAAATATATGAACTAGAGAGAAGGAGATTTAAGTCCTTTCTAGAAATGGCAAACACACAATTTCCACAGGTCGCAGCTTATTTTCACTTGAGATCCTTTATGCTATATGGAAAAAGCACAAACTGTGATCTGGTTATTGCCAGACAAAGGTTTTTCTATTGAAAATGGCATATTTGAGAGCACTGCTGGCTACTGGTACTTACGTGCAGCCACGACATGTTCCGATGATAGTTCTCCTCCATGCCCGTGTTGCTCAGTACCTCGTGCTCAATGCTGGGCTCGCTTGCACTCCAAGGGCTCCCTTCTTCAAAAGAAAAATACCCAAAAGGTTGTTGTTTTTATTGCTGCCTATGTGCTTTAAGACTAGGGACAAGAGTTGTAAGCCAGGCCAGCCTTGTGGGAACAGATGAGAGTACACAGAATATGTCACACTGGAAAGACTGCATTTGGACATCCCTCCCCAGTCCTGTGCTGGCTTGACTCTTACAAGAACTGTTTGGACTTGACCCATAGGCCATCCTGTCAGTAGCAAACATTGGTCCCTCCATTTTTATCTTTTTTTTTATTTATTGGAAGGGAAATGGATAATCCAAAACCATCATAAACAAATTCTTTGCACCATTCAGATGCTGCAAATGGTTGGTTTAGTGATCTGCATTGACTGGGCTCTGTGGTTAAAAAGGTCAAGAAAAATCCAACCAGAAGTGGCATCCAACTGGAAATGCCAACAGGCAAATTCCCTTCTAAATGCCCATAGAAACTTCTAATGTCATGGGGATGAAAGGGGAAAAAAATCCTGATTCTAGCACACTAGAACACTTTAGAACTCAGCCAAGGGAGAGATTTCCCTGAGAATTTCCCTGACCTCTGTGTTTTCCCTACATACTACATACCCCATGGACCTCCTATAAAACTAATACTAATGATATTAAGATTTGGGTGGAGATGACTTTTGGTTTACCCTTTTTCTCTTTTTTAAGTGAATTGTGACTCATCAAAGTTTACAGAATTGACAATCCCACTCTCCGTGTTCTCCTACCGAAGCATCTTTTGGGCAACATAAAAATGAGCATTAAACTTGGGAGGTTACTTCAGCTCTAAATGTATCCACAGTTTTTGATTAACACCAATAGTGAGGGGAAACCCTTTAATTCATCTGTGATGGAGATTTCACAGAGTAGGATGCACATCTTTTTTCCCATAAGATAAATGTATGGATATCCATCTTTTAAATACTAAGGAAAGCAGCTGTAAACCACAAAAATAGATGTATATGCCAGTATGTAGAAATATAGTACGCAGCATGTGGATGTTATGCTCTGCATATAGGAATACATGTTTTACATGTCACCCGACATGCTTGTGACATCATATCCAACATGGAATATGAAGTACATGCCTAAATATATATGTATTTATATATATATATATATTTATTTTTTATATATATATATAAAAAAGATACACACATATAGCCAGTGTGTTGCTATGGACACTAAAATATCATATATACACATGACCTCATGCATTCATTATATCCTGTGATTTAGGAGGGGGTGTGTGTGCAGATAGACAGGTGCACGTGCTACCCTAAAGAGAGCAAGCATTTAGCTGGCAGGCCAGCATTCTGAGAGCTCACGCTCCAACATGGTGCTGAACTGACAATCTGTGCACGGAGCCGACACTGCACCCAGGGTTTGTACCGTGTTCCTCCCAGGCCCTAGTCCAGGCAGTCCCTGAAGAGAGCTCTAGATTTTTTCCTAGCCTGCAGAGGTGGGGATCTCTTGTCATTCCTAGCTCTGCTGCAATCACACCAAGAGTTTCAGGTCCTTCCTACCGTCCCCTCCCTTTCCACCCGCTCATCTAAGTTACCTATATCAGTGACAGTGTCCCTGCTGTGGGACAGCTGCAGCTCCTCATTCTCAGACTCTGAGTCCTGCCGTGATAACTTGGTGCTCTTTAGGCTGCCGGCCCGGCGAATGCTGGAAAGGGAACCCCCCTTCTTCACCCGGAAACTGCGGGTTCCTTTAATCTGGAGCAAGCGGGAGCCTCCTATCCTGATCTTCCTGCTGGGAACTGTATTAAAAGAATAAAAGAGGACTTTTTTCCCCTTAATTTTTTCCCCATTTAAAAAAGAAAGAGATGCTGGCCCTCCCCACCCTCCCGACCCTTTGCTGCCAGCCTGTATTGCAGCGTCTTCTGCCAAGGAATGTGGGCTCAGAGGCTCCCTCCAAAGCCAACGCCAATGCAGCTCCATCAGTCAGGGAGCAAAGATGCTTCTCAAAAATGTGTTCAACACCTCATATCCTGGAGATCTGGTACATCACTTCAGGCCTTGTCTGTGTTTGGAATTAGCCTTTGTTCGACCACCAGCAAGTAGAGTCATCTACGCTAACCAAAACCCAAAACGTGGACGAGAAAATCCTACAATTCACACCGATTCCAATCAATTCCTGCCAGGAAGCAGGATCTGCCCAATGGATGTAAATTGCAGTTTTCCTTGCCAGTCCTCAGAGTTTGCATTAGTGCAGCATCACCTCTTGCTATGGATAGCTGGCTGAATCCCAAGCATGAACAAGGCATCTTGGACAAACCTATTTTCCCGTGGGCCTGGGCTCTGTAAACCTCACTGAGCTCTGCAGTAGGATCAATTATTTATTTATACAGCATGTGTGACTGCAAGAGGGGAGTCTGCTCTGTGGGGCTAGCACACAAGGCTTCCTTGAAGTAAGATTTGCATAAATCTGTGTCTCTGCATGTTACTCTTCATCATTAGAATGCTTTAGAGGAAACAGAAGCACGTGGATCTTCTCCTTCAGACAAATCAGCAGCTTTCAGGCATTAACAACATCCACTGACACTCTGCATTTTTGATGAGCACAGACATGGAATGGTTCAATGTTTAAAGCACCAACTGTTAGCACTTTCATTCTCCTCCTAGTTCAAAGGCATTGCACGGCAGTATGTCAGTCCAAATGTTGCAACACTCAGTCATTTCACTGCAGATCTAACCAGGCAAGGCCACGTGTGATCAATCACCTTTTGGTGTGGGGTTGGCAATGAACAGCACTGAGCTTTTTTGGATACCACGGGTAAGCAAAATATTTAAATAGAATTGTATTTTGGCGTCAGGATAAAGCAAACACACCTTTGTTCCTGAGATTGCCCCAGTTCCTCCAGAATGGAATTCCCACTCCCATTTCCAGTGGCTAGCGTGCTGGTCAAAGACAGCTGGATATATTTTGAGAGCTACCTCTCATTCCTCACAAATCAGTTGGCAAACCACTGTTGAGTGACCAAGAATCTCCCTCCAAGAGACTGTGCTAAGCTCCTTAGCAATTGCTACTGCTTGAATAATGTTCTGATCAGTTCCACGAATCCCAAATTGCTTAATCCCAAGCTTGTAACTGCATTAATGGTCTGCAGAATCCCATTTTGGCACCCAAAAAGTACATGTGATCATCTGAGAGCCTGCATCTACCTAACTGCAGTGTCTGTCTTTCAGACCTACCTGGAGCAGATTCTATACAGTAAACCCGTGGCTTTTGGATAGCTGCTAAGCCATGCCTGGGGGGGGAGCAATGAGAGCAAAGTTTTTAACACTCCAGAAAAATGAAGGGAAACAGATTAGTACTCATCAAAGAGTTTGAGATAAAGAAACCCCTCACTGCAGGCAAGCAAAGTTTAGTTACATTCACACGACAACGTTTTCTTATCTAGAAAAGTGTAGATTATGAAAGATGCCTCTGCATCTGAAGTGTTTGGCCCAGGTGGATCCCCAGAAGAATATGCTGTGGCCAAAGAAAAGAACAAAATTATTGTAACTTTAAAATATAACATTACCTTTCATTTATTAAGCTTCTAAAATAGTGGAATTACATTTTTGCTAAGGTATATTAGGATTCAACCTTTCTACCATAGTCACTTTCCCCATGTCTAAAACGCAGTAAAGAGGCATCTTTAGTCAAGGAAAACTATGTGACAGCTTAGGAAAAAGGGATAATGGAAAGAAAACTCAAATAAAACTGCAGGAAAATGTAGTTTAATGGAGAAAAGGTTGCAGAAAGTCAATACTAACTTCGCAAAAAATACATTACTCCTGTAGCACAGAAACATGCAAAGGAAAAGCTAAGTCAGCATTGTCTCTAAGAAAAAGAGGATGGTTAGAGACTTTCCACCAGCATTTCCCAGCAGGACTGCCTGCTTGAAGGTATTCTCCCACCCAGGTAATGTCCCAGTGGGCAGGACTGTTCCCTGAAAAGCTTAAAAATGGTTTCAAGCAATTGTCATAACTATCCTCAAAAAAACCCCAAAACAAACCCAACCCCAACCCAAACTTTTCCTCATCCAAATAGGCAGATGCATTTATCCCACACATCTTAGACTATCAGATAGACCATAAGGCTGTGTGTTTTTCTGGGCTGCCAACATACCAAGAGTAGATAAATTGAGGTTGAGCATCCATTTATCCAGCTCACCTTTCTTAGGTGGGTACCCATCTGTCTGCACAGAAGTAACTGGCCCAACAGACACACAATTTTGGAGAAAGTTTTATACCACACAAGTCTTGGAAGCATTTCTAATATATTCTCCAGTAATTGTGGCAAGGTCACAGCTGAAGACAAGTTGAAGACAACACAAACTTTATCCAAAGCCAGTAGAAGTCAATAAAAACTCCTCTGAATCATTAATAAACATTACAGTTCTGAGACAAAAACCAGCCACAGACCTCACTGCTGTGAAACAACCATTCAACATTTATCCTTTTCAAGCAGTCATCAAAATTATCATTCAAATTCCTGCACCTGCAAATTCCTACCATGAGACAGAACGTAAACAGCTCTAGGAAACTTGTTAGAGGGTGATCTAGAGGTAGCTGGCAGTTTAATCTCTAATTGCAAATACACACAATGACTATATTGTATTGCAACACTTGTACCATCGGCTAGAATGTGAGTCTTGCATGAGATGGCTCAAAAATGGAAACAATCTGCTGTTCTCAGCAAACACAGTGAGCTTGAAGTTTGCTTGTACAGTATAGAGTATGTTGGTAACATCAATCTGCTAGCCATCAAAAGCCACACAGTGTGTTTTTAATGTGGTAGCAAAGAATTCAAGAGACCAATCACACTAATTTTGTTGTGATGCCGTGACTTCCAAACTGGAACAGATTTTCCAGAGAAAAATACCAATCTTTCCTTCTATCTGTGATTTCCCCAAACTGAAAAAAGTAGGATCAGAAAAAAACAAACACCGCTTTTGATCTTTATTTTTACAGTGAATCAAATGGGGATGTTTTTCTCAGCATCCCACTAAGAGACAGTTTCAAACAAGGCTTGCTCCTTTTTAGCAATTGTGCAAAGCTTTCGCTGTATTTCAGTCATAGCACTGTTTTATCAAATTTAACATCTTTGCTTCTCACATTTATTATATTGAACCCTGAAGGCCAGAAGCATCTGGGAAATGATTTAAAGCCACGTGACTCTATGGCTGCCTGCTTTTTAACACAGTCTATGCAAATGAAAACACAAAATCAAGCGCCACTTCACAAGCCCTGAGAATACAAAAGCCTTATTGTTCTGACAAACCTTTTTTCTCCTCGAAGCCAGCCTCAGATTTGAGGGTGTGGCTGCTGCTGTGTAGGGAATCCTTTGAATCTTCATTTTCATCCAGAACCCCAGCAAAGCTGATCTTTCTCTCATACCTGTGTCTGTCCATCTCAGGATCCAGACGCAGCCTGCAGCACTCCAGGTCCTGCAGCAGGATGTAGAACACACAGATGTGCCGGCAGCATGAGCTAGAGAAGCTTCAGGAAGAACTGCTTCAGATGGGCTTCATTTTAATCACACATAAGCCAACTGCTCTTTGGCCTTGCAGCAGGCTGAGCCACCTGCCAGGATGGGAGGGTTACCAGGTGCTAACACATATTGCTGGTTAACATTCCCCAGTGCGTTAACACTCTGGCTGCAGGCTCAGGGGGGGGAAACATAAATCACAGAATCACAGAATGATTAGGACTGGAAGGGACCTCTGGAGATCATCTAGTCCAACCATCCTGCCAAGTCAGGGTCACTTAGAGCAGGTGACACAAGAATACAGCCAGGTGGGTTTGGGATGTCTCCAGCTGTGAGCAAAATGAGTTTTATCTGCTTCAGGATCAGTAAAAGGCTTTGGGTGAAATTTCAGTCAGGACCATCGACCTCACTCAGCCCACAGCCTTGGCAAGCCTGCATGCTCTCTTGGTAGCTAAACTAGCTCACCAAAACGAGCTCAGTTGCAAATGTTTCAGTTCTTCAAGGTTTCCAAGGCTGTGCCCCATCTATGGAACCACTATGCCTACAAACACCAGTGGCAGTGAGATTTGCTCTACTGAAATTCCACCCATTATGTACCTGATCTTCTAAGAAAGGAAGCACCACTCCAAAAGCACAGTTAATATTTTAGTCTGGATTATTTTTGCCTGCTTTTTTTCCCTCTGTACAAAGTTAGAAGCAGCACTCTATGGCCATTTATCTTACAGACCCCTTCATAATGTGCTTTTAAGGTTTCTTTCACCTATAGCTCAGAGAATAATTCCTCCTCATCTCCCATATACAATTCTAGAAAGGCATTAACCAGTTGCACTTCTAGCTCACATAAAAGCACTAATTTCTGTTGACCTTCATTATCCAACAGATTCTTAGTTCCAGGCCTAACTACTTAATGACATGAATTCTAAACCATGGTATTATTCTGCTTGTGGATGCAGTCATTTATTATGTTGTAATATCCTCAATGGGTTTAAGGAGGATTTTGCTGAATTTATTGCCCTTCTTGCATACCTTGAGGCTGACCCACTTCATCAGAGGTCATCTGCAGCCTTTGGAATAATTTTCAGAACCTAATTACAATACTATCCAGATAAATCAGCCTGTCAAGCATAATTGCCATGACTAAAATTTGATCTGTCATTAACAAAAACCAGGGTAGCGGGGCTAAATCCTTCATGAAAATTTAACTTCTCATTTTTTTCTCCATAATTTTTATCCTGATTTCTTAAAGAAATTTGGCTTAAAGGCTGAACCCATGTCAGCCACTCAATTCTCTTCTCATTCCATGCTACCCACCTCCAAAGCTGAGCGTCACTGAAACTCAACTCATCAACAGATGACTGTGTGCGTGTGTATTTTTTGAAACAGCTGGAGTTTTTACCCTGCCCTACCTCTCATCAGAGCCTGGAATCCACGATTCTGTGAGCAAAGCCCTCTGCAATGCGTGTGGCCCACTTACCACGAGAGGTTCTGTCCGTGGTCTGGGCATGTAGGGAAAGGTCTCTCGAAGGAAAGTGGTTATCTCCAGCAGGAGCTGACACGCAGCCATTTTTAGTGCAAAAGGACAACAACATTTGGTAGGATTCACAGTGCCTAGGAAAGAACATTTCTATCATGAACAAGGAATTAATACAAGATTTGGAACCAAGAGGTGATGGACATTATCACATATGGTGCACAATGCAGTGAACTGCAGTGAAAAACAGGAGGCCTCACACTTCTGTGCTACTTTTCCTGTGCTAAAAGAAACAGAATCAATCAAATAACAAACCATGTATTTACCAGCACATGAAACAATACTAACATTTATATTACATTATATCATATCACATTTTTTTATATTATATTAATGGTATATTACATTGTATTATATTATATTATTCATTATATTATACTGCATTACACTGAAGTAACATGATAATTAACATATATTATATATTATAGTATATTATGTTACATAATTATATAATTATAACATAATTATAATTTATATTTATAGATAGTATTATATTATATTATATTATATTATATTATATTATATTATATTATATTATATTATATTATATTATATTATATTATATTATATTATATTACATTATATTATATTACTTTACATTATATTACATTACATTATATTACATTACATTATATTACATTACATTATATTACATTACATTATATTACATTATATTACATTACATTACATTATATTACATTACATTATATTACATTACATTATATTACATTACATTATATTATATTATATTATATTATATTATATTATATTATATTATATTATATCATATTATATTATATCATATTATATTATATCATATTATATTATATCATATTATATCATATTATCATATATCATATATAATATATCATATTATATTAATGATATGATAGGATAGGATATGATATGATATTGTATATTATGTTTAAGTACCTACTAAACTAACCACAAATTTACATTTTGTATGCATGTCATTTAAGGCTAATACAGGTTAAGAAGTAGATGGAGTTCTTTTCCTCTTCAGTTTTGCATTTAGCCAAATCTTTTGCAGTTGTGGAAAAGAACCACTTTCAAATATAGAAAATTATCTCAAAATAATGGAGTTATGACTAAATAATAAAGAGATACTTTTCCTATTGTTATTATATATATACTACCCTGATAACTGGAAAAGATAGCATTCTTTGAAGTCAGGCTTCTATAACTGTGCAACTATATAGAGATAATCAAGGGGAAAAAATCAAACTACTTAATCAAATTTTACATTCAATTTCTTAACCCAAAACTAAGAGGGGAAGAGGGATTATCAAAATACTTCAAGTTTTGTATTGAAACAATCAGATTTAAAACCATACCCTCTGTAACCTGTCTGATACAATTCAAAGCTTAAAAGTATGAAGGATTCTTCCATGCTTGATCAATTTGAAAAGTACTTTTTAGGATAACAGACAGCAAAAAAATAAATAGAAAAGTTAATTGTGACAACAACTAACTGCACCCAGTTTTAAAGTTATTCCTGATATTACCATTTACATGCACTTCAGAGAGATTAGTGGTTTTGCTTGCTTTTCTCATGTGTGAGAAAATTGAAATTGCTTTTGCATAGAAGACTGAACCAAACAAGTGAAAAGACACTGCAGGGATCAGATAAAATCTGATTCTTGCCAGATCCCCTGGACACATCACCAGCAATGAATTGTGGACTTTGTAAAGATTAAAATAATCTGAACTATCAAAAGCAAATGAGACATACAGTTTAATGGAATACCCAGTTGCATATTTAATGCTCTTCCATCTACTTCCTACAGCATATAAAGCAGCTTTTGAAAAATCCCTGCCTACAGCAGGACTGCAGATCAGCTCTTTTCAGACACTGGTTTTCAGGAGAGCACTTGAAAGCTATTAAATGGCTTTCTAGACCAGACCCTGATCTTTCTTTGTCTCGGGGTATCCTTTTAAAGCAGCTCCACATCCCCTGGAGTGCCTGGTATGAGCAGCTGAACAGAGCAAAGAAAGCTGATCCTGCCACTCAGTCATCAGAATGCAGCTGTTCATTCTGTGCTGCAGGAGAAAGGATTTTTGGTGTGCAACCTCCTCCTGCTCTGGCCATACCCCTAAAGGGAGGATGCAGAGCAGGCACCCACGCCCCTGGAGCTGCCAGCACTGGCACACCACCAGTGGCACATGGGAAGGTCTAGCTTAGGGCCAACACCTTCTCTTGAGCTCATTTCTTACAAATGCCATCTCACTCTTCCCACCAGCTTCTCTCTACTGCAAAGTGGGCCCCTGTGCAGTGATAAGAACAAGCCCAGAAGCAGGGGAGGAGAGAGCAGAAGAGAAACAGTGCCAGCACACTACATCCAACAGGGAACAGCAGCACACACAGACAAGCACCAGTAAATTACAGCACACATGTAAACACAAATGGTGTCTAAAGAGCACATAAGGCTTGCTACCACCTTCACCTACAGCTACAACAGGATGTGTTTTGACAATTTATTTTGGTTCACAGGGTTTGCTATAACTTGCATGCCTATACAGACTTTCAGTGATCTGTCACAGCTCTTCCACCCTTATGTACACACAGGCACAAATGTGTGTGGTTTCATCATCTTGTTCTTATACAGACTTTTAATGATGCTTTTTTATTTCTGCCTGAAAATCAAGCTCTATACTGAAGTCAAGATTCAAAAGCCTTTAGCAGAGCTGTGCCAATTCACATCAGGTGAGTTGGCCCTTCAGTGTTCAGAAATGGAAAAGCAGCTGGTCTTCCACAAATATTTTGGCAGAAGTAACTGTGAGGAAAGGAACCTGAACCATTTTTGACACTCAGATGACAGCAAGATTCAAGAAATAAATTATATAAATTATGACCCTGTAATTACATAAATTACAACAGCAGTTTCTGTGCACAGGAATTGCTCCTCACTGCCTGGTTTCCCCTTTGTTTTCCCATCCAACTCTTTCAGTACTGCTACACACTTGTCATGTTTTACATCCAGGCACAAAAAGAACAGGGAAGGATGCTGGGGGTGAAAGTGAGGGACTGGGAAATACAGCTGGGTGGCAAGAAAATGAAAAGAGAAAAAAAATATTAAGTGCTCCTAAAACAGAGGTTCTTACAAGCGGGGGTTCTTGTAGTAAAGGGAGTCTCCTTACTGTCATCTAAAAAGTCTTCTTCCTCATCCTCCTTTCTCAGGCGCCTCTTGGTCTCCTCATCATAAATGAGGCCAAGCAGGTTGGCAGGACTCTCGCTCTCAGCATGGCACAGCTCGTTGAGGCGGACACCAATCGCCTGCAGATGGGGAAAGAGAAGCACAGGAGGTGAGAATTTCAGCCCAACCAGAATGCCCTGGCTTTCCTTTTATTGTCTAAAGAGGAGAAAGGGATGACAGAAGACTAATTTCTATCAAAACTATAATTTATTTCTCCTTTTTTCAACAAAAGCTTGCAGTGTCAAATTTCAGGATGAAAACTTTTAGTAAATTTAGTTAAACAATAAACCTCTCCAAACTGGCACATAACAGGCAGAAGGAGATTGGGCTTTTCTGTGGTGGGATTTATGTATTGATATGGTCAGCTTTATTTTGAGGTTACCTAAAATGTGCTCCACTGAGAAGTAAGTGGTTGTACAAGAACCTACGTTGAAACCTACGAGAATTTGGGTCAGCAAGGCAGAACCTGATTTTTAAATTCCCATAAGCATTTGGATTTAATGTCTTCTTTTTTTTTTTTGGGGGGGGGGGAGGGTGAGGAGAATGTGAATCATGATTCTCAGGTGAGAAGCACAAAGCTCACTTCCAGAAAGACACCTGTAACGGGTCAAAGGAACTTCTCTCACTATTTTGGGTCGTGAGAAATAACCTGTATACATGTCAAACGTTCTGCAATTATATCCTGGGGGCTTTACAAGGAAACAGCAAGTGGCATTCACAGGGCCAGATAAGGCAGTTGCCTCATTTCTGTATGGTAAGAGATCACAATCAAATAAAACTTGAAGGATTCAAGTACCAAACAAAAAGAGACAATTTTTTACATGACCCATAGCAGCTCTGTAGAACTCCTTGCCAAAGAATTTTAAGTGCTAACAGTCTGTATGGGTGCAAAGAGAAACTGAATTAAGTATGGCAAAGAGAAACCCACTGCTAAATATACAGCACCACACCTAGCTCAAGAAACCCTGGGCTAAATATATATGCAAACAAGAAAAATAGAAAGTAGTATCACGGCCCACATTTTCCCTCTTCCTCAGCCATTCAGTGCTGGGAAAAGGAAGAATGGGCCAAACAGATCTTTGGAGAGAACATGTCCTGGCAAAGTGACTTCCCTTAAGAGAAGGGGTGATCCTGGCAGGCTGTGAAGTGCAAGCTGGAAGGGAAGGCTTCTGAGCCCCCATCTCACAAGGACTGAAATTCCGCACAGGAATTTTCTATTTTGCCGTATTTTTTTAACGTAAGCAGAAGAGAAGCAAACACTTACATCTCCCCACTGGTAGAAGAGCTTAGCTGCATTCCACTGCAGCTTCTGGTTCCTTTTGTTGCCCACGATAGGGGAACGGCCACGGGACAGCCCCTTCTTGGTGATGTTCACATGGTGGCCCTTCATCCACTCGGGCCAGTTGCCGCGGTTGCAGCGGTGAACGAAACGCGCGCACTCGAGGAACAGGGCTGCTCGTGCCACCACAGGAGCTTCCTGAAATGTTTGGGAAAAAGCCACTTTAAAAGCAAAGACACACTGGGAAAACTCCCCCAGCATCAGAGCATCCTGCACTTTGAAAACTTCTTTGCAAGCTTGCCAAGGAGTCGCGCAGTAGGAGCAATCTCTCCCTTAAAAAGTTGACACCAGAGTCTCTCTGCGTAAGTCTTGAGCTACTAAAAGCAGGCTCATAAACACTGAACAGTCTTGCTCAGTCCAGAGCAGCATAAAGAAACACAATATGACCTTAGAAAGAACATCATACCCCTCTGTAATGTTCTCCTTCAGAAACCATCTAAGTGCAAAAGCAGAAGCATGCACCTAGCACTGTTACTGCACAAATAAATCGAGTTTTACTTTCACCTTTGCTGCTAAGGTTGCAAATATTGCAGGAGCAAATGACACCATGGCCACACAAATCCTAGCATTTGTCGCTTTAGGTTCTGCTTCTGAATCTTGGGAGTGAAAGCATAAATGGAGGCTTGTTAAAACTAGGAAAAGCACTATTTTGCAGTTATAGTTAATATCTGTGGAAACAAAAATATATTACTCTGGTGTAAGTCAACAAAATTTCACTGGCTGAATTTCAATCACTTTAGCAAGTGCCAGGCAATTCAGTACTGAAATAACAAGAGGCAGCTGAGTTTTGAAAGGACTGACTAGTTTCCAGAGGAAAATCCTCCTGTCCCTGGCTTGAAAGAATCACTTTAATGGGAGAAATTATACTGAGTGTATCATATTTTGTATTAAATCACCCAGCAGGACACATGTTAGACCACTAAGGAATGCTTCTGAAACTTTCTGAAATGTTCAAAAAATAGACACAGTAATTTTTGTTTCCTAAAGGGGCTTACTACCCTTTAGAATCAGGAGTAGTTTTTTCCCCAGCAGTCTAAACTGCCAAAATAACATCCTTACAGACATGAAAAGTGACTAAAAGCAAATGGGTCTCTTAATTTCCATTCCATTTTCCCCTTTCTTCCTGCAATTTTCACAACCAAAACTCCTGCAATCGGCAGTTTGTAAAACTAAGAATACAACAATGCCTCACCAGCTGGCTTTAAAAGGCTCACTAACAGGGATTTCACAGAGCACAAACGTGTTTTAGTTTTACTTTTAGATGCTGACAGCTTTAATGAAATAATTTAAGCAGATCTACTTATAAAGAAGGTCTTATCAAAGGTGGTCTATAAATACTAGACAGGCCCTGAGACCCTGTAAGATTGTCTGTTGAACATTATTAAGGAGAACCTCCATGAGTGTTTCAATCAAAAATTGAAAACAAATTGAAAGAAATTTGGGACCAATGGTCCTAAAGTTTGATTTAAGAAATGATTGCCAAAACATCCATTTGCAGCTTTTGGCCACATTTTTACAGATGTTGGAGGGGGAAAAGCCATTCTCTTGAATGGGAAGATTTTATCTGCCATGATGTTCTGATGATGAAGGCAGAAATCTGAATGCAGACACTCACTAACCAGAAACAAAACAATAGCTAGCACCTGGAAAAACATTACACACTATTCATTGGTCATATGCAATATGGAACACAGAATAGCTGAGGATTTTATTCTTTTATTCTCACAAAATAAAACTTTAACCATGGAGACATAGATGAAGAGATAAAGCCCCAGCCTCAGTCTATTATTGGCTTAGCTCACTAGCAGTAAAGTGAAAATTTCTTAATCCTGTAAAGGAATGTGCTGTAAGAACTATGAAAGCACTCAACTACCACAGTTAAAGGAAGATATGTAGGGTGGGGGGCAAAAGGGAGGAGCAGGGTTATTAAAAATCATTCTATTATTTAAAAATCACTGAACAAACCTCCTGTACTAAGGACTTTCTGAACACAGAGCGCAAGCTCCCTGTGGTTGCTTACCTGAGACTCTGAGAAACCTGAAGCAGCAGCAGCAAGAGAAAGATGAAGATGTGACAGAATGAACAGAGATGGATTCACACAACAGAGAAACACATCACAAATGGAGAGAAAATAATCAGGCAGGTGATGTGTAGCTGAAAAGAACACAAGTTACTGTGGTCACTGTCAAAACCTGACACAGCAGCAATACTCTCACAAGTCTGTCCATGCCCATGCAACTCTTCACAAGTCCACTTTTAAGATTAGACCTACAATTTGCACCTTGAAAATTGTTCTTTTACTGTATAAATTGACATAAATTCACCAATTTGTTAACTATTGAAGTCATGCCATTGAATTTTTTCAGCAGATAACATGATTTGTGCTAAAGAGCAAATGAGCTGGGTGGAAGGAACCAAATACAGAATGGATTTGGAATTTCACAGCATCACATTACTGTTCATGTAAACATGATTCTACAGTTTTATGCCTACAGAGAATTTATGTCCAGTTTGTTTTCAAAAACAATGAATTTTATGACACTAATCAATCACTGGTAATTTTCCTTGAGTCCCTTCTTAAAGCTCACATGGCACTTTGAGCAAAAATTCGTTTTTGGCTCTGGTCTCTTCAAGACAGAAAAGAAAGGCATGTAATACCAACAATATACTTCTAACAGATGCCAAAGTAAATTTGAGAACTCTCAAAAGGTGCTGACTGGGTAGCTCTGCTTTGTCTAAGCAAAAGTAAGTCTGGCATGAAAGGTGTCTTAGCAGGTATATGAAAACAGGTTGCAAGTAAATTATTAACTACTATCTTGGAGAATTGCCTGTTTCAATTAGCTCAGACCTCTCTGACTACATCTACCAAATGGTCAAGTACAATCCCTGACACAGTTCTTTGTTTTTGTTCCCAGTCTTTCACACTAGGACCTGTTTGTAGCAATCTCTGACTTCCTTCCCAACCATAAGTGCTTCTACAGAGAAATATTTCTGCCATGGAAACAGGGACATGGAGACATGGGACATACAGAGTCTGCCTGAGACCCAGGGTGGAATGGAGTCAGGATACTGACAAGTGTTCTTGCAGTTTACACTTTGCTTCTACTGTCCCACTACTTAATAAGTCATCTTAAACAGAATCCTACCAGAAAATATATTGCATCTCAACAAGGATAAAAGATTTGCATCTCAGCAAATGAGCTCACACATCTTATTGGAGAAATGTAATGCTGACAGGTGTCACACACTGTTGTACTGGTGAAAGAAAAGCTGGTCATTTACAGCAGTTTAATTAAGATACTTTAGGTGAAATAGCAAACCAATCCTATGCAGCAGTTTATTGGAACCTTCGACATGAACTTAAGCATAGACTGAAATATGCCAAAGTAAATCAATTTTACTATTGCAAAGTCTGGACTTAATCTGGGGCCATAAAGATGAAGCTGTCTGCAATGTATCAGCTATTACAGAATGCTTGCATATCCACATATTGATTGTAGTTTTAAAAATTTAGCCAATTATGGATGCTGCTTCTAGGAAAATATATTAATTGCATAGCTACTAAACCTAAGGCAACACTCATTTTAATACACAAAAAATTATTAGCTCCATAAGGATGTATCATTTGTTTCACTGTTCTAATTTCTTTAAATAAGTGTGGCAAATCACTACAAACATCCAGGCAGATCAAAGATCTCAAAGTTGTTGCAAGAATATAATTTTACAAACCTTCATGAAAAAACATGCTCAAAAGAATTATGGAAGAACTGAACCTGGAACTGTCATTTTTTAAAGGTTGCCTTAGCAACTAGGCTGGATAAAATGACTTAAGGAGCTTTTCATTTGCATCAGACCTGATTCAAACTATCACTTCAAAAGCCTGAAAACAGAAATGAAACCACCCAGAAATGCTTTTTTCTGAGTGTGCTCTAGTGACATATAACGTGGGAACTTTCCATTGCCATTAACCAATGCAGTGAGATGACAGGCTGTCATCTTTTAAAATATACACTGCATGTGACTGCCTAACTTCTGTACATCTCCAATACTCTGTAGAAAAAAATGCTAACTGAACAGGTACTTGAAGTTCCCCAAGGCTATAATTAAAGCAAGGCTTCCTTCATCTTTAGCTGAAGGCCTTCTAGAAATTCTAATACCAAAATTGTCTGCATTGTTCAGTGGAATGGAGAGACATTTTAGTTTGAAGTTACATTTTAGTTTGCAAAAGTCAGCTCTGGAAGTCAGACATCTTCAAACAGTTCACTCTCACTGGCAGTTCCCAGCTGACCTCGTGCATGGGCACAGAGTAAGCTGGTCTGTTCTTAGGCATTTGGGAAATTTAAGAATTAAGTAATGGATTTACAGGCAATAGGGACATAATAGGGATTTACAGGCAATAGGGACAGCTCACTGCAACCCTGACTAGTAAGAGCCACCAGGTGGGCTACTCTATCAGCCACTGCATTCACAGCTCCCATCCAGAGGAAGAACAATCTCTGGCAGGAAGTGTGGGAAACAGTGAATGAGCTGGAAATGGATGAGGACCAATCCAAAGAGAAGAGCTAGGTGGGAACTGATAACAGCAGCAACTCCAGACCAACACTAATGCAGACATGCTTGAATCTGCAGACCAGGTAAGGCAAGGCTAAGATGAAGATAAAAAGGAGCAGTGCACGTCCCTACAGCCATGGAACAGGTGATGCAGCAAGGGTCAGGGCACAGTGCTCCCAGGAAGGCAGAGTCTGACACCTCCAGCAGCGAGCAAAAAAAACTGAATTTGAGCACAAATGGCACAGCAGTCACACAGGTGAGAGGTGGGGATGTGGGGAAAAAAGGGATAGAGAGGGTGTGGATGCTCTGAGAGCAGCTTTTTTTCAGCTTGCACACAGGCAAACACTTATGGAAGGAAGTAGAAAAGCAGCATGCAGAGAAATTGCTAATATTTGGCTGGCTTTTCATAGCTGTGTTTGTCACACTCCTTGCTTGTCACATAAACACCTCACAGAGCCCCACTGGCTCACGAACCACAGGCTGAAGGCCACAGCTTTAGAAATGGGAAGGATTGTTAAAAAACATAACCGCAAGGAAAAAAGGAAGGAGACACAGAATATCAGGAAGAAGGGATTGAATTGTGTCACTTCTTTGATTTGCACTGGAAAATCAGCAATATCCACATTTAAAAGCATGCACACTCTGATGTAATTTTTTTTTCCCCACTGACTGGCTCTGGTGACTAATAGTTCAGTGTTGCCTAATGTACATATAAATCTGTCAGAACTTGAGAGTGGTATTCCTGCACCTCTCCAAGCAGTTATCCAATCTTCAATCCTTATTCTGTAGATTGACACCAGGAGCAGAAACAGAGCATCTGTGAGCAAAGTGTGAAGACAGCCACGCAAGCTTTGCACTGGCAATAATGTAGTTATGGGGAGCCACGTAATAAAAAAATGATCCATTTTGTCTGCAAACTTGTCCACTCACAGATGCTAAAGCTCCAGCTAACACCACCACCAGCAGCTGGCATTGCTGTGATGCTTTCCATTCTTTGTGTGGGGGTGTGAGGAGCATCAGAAGGATGGTGGACCACCACAAATGCACATGCTCTCAGCAGGTAACAACAGACCAAGAATGACTTACAAGATCTAGAGCTGCTGCCAAAATGGAGGCATCAGGGATGGTGCCTGGCTCACAGCAGTTGAGCAGAAACTGAAAGCGCTTCATGCCTTGGCGGATGGCTCCCAGGTTCACAACGTTCTTGGATTTTCCTCCTTCTTGTTTGGAGGTCAAGTGATCGTCAAAGCTATGGCAACCTAAAAAGGTAGAGAATACAGAGGGGATGCAGGGAGGGGTAGAGAGAAGGGGGACACAGTCTCTCACCAGTTAAAAATGGGGAACAAAAAAATCTCAATGAGCACAGTCTTAGTGCAAATCCCTTTCTCTCCTTGTGTTATCTTGAAGATAACAGGTTTATTTTTACAATACTCATGACTTCCATGAAACAGATAGACAACTAGTCAGATTCTGGCATATCTGCCCAGAACATTTCCACCATACCCAGTGTGGAAGCCCAGGACCTACCCCAACACAGATGAATTAGGATGTTGTCTTTCCTCCGTGTGTGTGGGAATCAAGCACTGTCCTTTTTTCAGGCATACATCTGCAGTTACCACAAGAGTAAAGAGAAAAGCAAGACTGGCCTCAACTCCCAGATTCTCATCATTCCAGCCTCTCTCCCTTGAAGGGTCTTTCTACACTTTGGGATGGAAAAGAGTTCCATTCAAAAATGGAGATGGCATCCCACTTCATGGACAATTGAAACTCTGTGTATGGAGTTCACATCATCAATCAACTTAGCACTAAACAATCCAAATTAGCACTACTAGTGCAGAAGATCATTATGCAGTTGGTAGCCAGAGCTGAGAGAATGGTAGAAAGACAGAGATTAGAAATGAGGAAAGCTGTTTCAAGGCCAAAGTGTTTGGCCAAAAAAAGCATAGTCAGTTTCTGGGCTTTTTGTCTTTACCCACATTACTCTCCCTGTTTACATCTGAATGTACAAAAGTTTACAGAACACTGAAGGATAAAGCACTGAAGAAGAGAATGCTGAGTGGAGAATTCAAAATTGGTTTTAAACATAGATTATTTGAAGAACAAGAGTAAAAACATCAGCTCTACAGTACTTTTTTACTACTTCAGGAAAGAAGAATGGCTGGAACTCAAAGTTCTTTTGGGTGTGCATTCCCTAGAATTGCTTGGGAAGCATTTATGCACCACAAAAAAAAGTCACAGCAGAAAATGACAATGTAGATCTTCACTTTTCCCTTGAAGACAGAAGTATATCAAATTTCAAGAGACTTCTTTACACATTCCTTGTCTTTTTTTCTCTCCAGTGAAGCTGTACCTCATTACCAGCAAACAAACAGTTCCTGTGTTGGGAAAATGTTTTGTTTAAATGGATCAAACAAAGCAGAAGGAACAAGTAGAACACTTACAGATGCGAGTAGCCACAAGCATCCTTCCAAGTCCTTCTGTTTCCTTATAGCTTTTATATCTATCTGAGCCTTCCTGCTATGACTGTCATAACACTGAGTCATTTGAGGTACAAACAAATGTTTCCTATTCAGGCCCCTGTTAAGCCTGTGTGAGATAAAGAACAGAACTTGCTATGCTCATTCTGGAGTGGCCTTGCTGTGATCAGGGCAGCCCTCACTGACCTAATTCATGTCTCAGGCCTGCAGAAGATCTCCCCCAAAGAGCAGAGACCACTTCCTAACACAGGAGGACACAGAAGCTCCTGCCCCACAGTCGCTCCCTCTGTGACCATGAGCTCACCCTTCAGAGCAAGCTTGAGCTTGAGCCACCAACTTCTGTGGTCACAGCATCTTCAGTAAGTGCCCAAAGGCATGGCTCTCATGCAAATGCTCATGTCTATGTGCTTTGCTCTTGGCATAGGTAAAAAGATCATTAAAAGAAATATTTTTACGCATGAATATGTAAATATATATGTGTATATATATATATGTATTCATATGCACACATACAGATACACACATACATATATATATGCTTAAATACATATGTAACACAGAATTTCCAGTGGTCTACATGATAAATCAAGATGAAGATTACAGTTCATAAATGATGTCACAAATTATTCTACATTTTATAATGTTAAATGCAATTTTTTTCTCCCTTATCCATTTCCTCTTAAATTTGGTCTACTGTTTAAAAAAACCCAAAAACACAAGAGGAAACACCACATGGAAAAAAACATGATCAAAGTGATAGCATAACACTGTGAATTACAAAAATGAAAAGGCAGAGAGAGATTCCAATACACTGCTTTAGGGTCAGATCTTGAGGGATTTAACAGTATGCTCATCCACCATTAAAAGGCTTTTTATTCTCCCTTCGTTAAGCACAAAAAAATTGATTATCTGTATGGAAGACAGAGAAGCACTGGATATTTGAAGGCTCAGTGTACTGCTGTTGTTCTACTGGGTTATAAACTGTCCCACCATGAAATGGCCTCACACTGATGTTGCCGTGCACGTGCAAGCACAGACATACACGGGGCAGACACAACTATTTTTACTAAAGCTTCTTGTTTTTCATTGAGTATCAGAGATCCTTGTGGGTAAAGTGACTCAACTTCCTTAAAATCACACTTTGCCTTATAAACTTTTATTACTCTTGTATTAGCAAGAGGAAAAAAACAATTGTTTTCTGCAGGAAAATATGAAGTTCATCTCACAAAAAGAGCTGAGACAGTCTGTGAAGTTCTCACTGCCCCTTGGCCATTTTTAACCACTGAGAGCTGGGAGGAAACATGGTGGAAGAATTTCATACCTACTTCAGCACAAAGCTGTGGATGAAGAAATTAATTCCTTCCATCCCTGGGGAATGCTACCAGACTACAACAAGGGGCTGAACTGATGCATTCTCACGAAGGAACAATACCTCTTATCTAGGAGCTAACTGAAAAGCACCACCCTGCACCAGTGGCAGACAATGACCAGATTACAGTGACAAAAAATGCTCATATTTTGCAAGTACCACTTGCCTTAAAAATGCCTTCCATGCATTACACTTCAGGCCTGGGACAGGTGATGGCAAAATGCACACAATGCAATGTCAAAGTGTGATGCCAGAAGAAAACCAAACGTAATGCCAGAAAACGTAGCATATTGTAAAACTACAGAAACCATGCTAAAAAATAAAATTGACTCCTTTTTGTGAATTTTGGGGATCTGGATGCATTGTTTTAAAAAGAAAAATAACAGAGCTTCAAGATACAAGGTTATCTCCCTGACAAGAAGGATGTGCTTTGAGCTGATGACATGAGCATGTCAATGACTGCATGACATTTTAAAACAGATTATACCATCATCTTGTATTATTCATAAAGGCACTTTTCAGACATTGCTGACTTTGAATATACATAACAATTAAATACACTTCTGTTGAAAAGAAAAGGAGTGTTTTTATTATTATGTTGTGTGCTAAGAAAAAGGAACGGCATCCCTAACGAATGGTATGCAGAGACTAGACATGCAAACACAGAAGAAAAGAGATAATTACAAAAAGGTTTGTGTAGGGTTTTCCATTTCTGTGCTGATATTTGATAAAACTGTCAAATAGTTACAAATTGAAAAAACAAAACTAAACAAAAAAACTGATGGAATTGTTGCATTGGACAACAGAAGATTTACACACCTGATTTTGAACTGAATAAGTGCTTTGAAACAAGCATTCATTTTTCAAGTGTATTGACCAAATTTAATTTGATTTTAAAAGCCCAAATGTTGTATTGTAGATTTTATTTGGATAGTCTGATTTTTTTTAGGAAAAAAAAAAAAATTACCAGAGCTTTTTTCTAAATCAAAATAAAAGAAAGAAGGAAGGGAAAGAAAACAGTTACAAAGACTAAAAAAATCAGAGAAGGCTACAATGAAGACAAAAACCATGGTGAAAGCAGGGGAAAAAAAAAAAAAAAAAGGAGAAAGGGGTAAAATACAAAAAGAAATATATTTTTAAAATGATTTAAAAAGAAAAGAAAATAAAAAAGGAGACGAGAACCCTGATTTCTAACCATCTTTTTCTTCTGTGTGATGAAGCTTGGATGGGTGTCTTCGGCAGGTGCGCCATTTACCAAGACGCTTGAAGAAATTCTCCTCTTCGTCTCGCCCGTTGTCCAGGCCTCCTCCCGTCCCCCCTCCTTCAGACAGCTTCACTGCGCTGGTAAACTTCACCTGTGCAGGGACAGAGGGGCTGCTCAGCCTGTGCCACAGCTGGACTTGGCCTCAGTGCTCAGGCACAAACATCTGCAGGGTCACCGCAGTGACACAACTGCGTCTGCACAGATCTACATGCACTGAAGCATCTTTCAAGCTTTCTGCTTAAAGGATTGATCTTTCTTGACAGGCTGTGAAAGGACAAAGAAGGAAGGAGAAGTGTGACCAAAAATTAAAGCTGGAGTGTGTTGACAGAGCCTGCACTTGCCTCTCAGTGCAGCAGGGCAGACTGACAGCGTAAGTTTAACCTAGTCTTCACCATGAGTTACAAAAGTTCGGTGTCAAATTCCCATGGCTATACTCTGGAGACTTCTTGTTATCTGCAAAGTCCATACTGAATAAAAATGTGCAGCTAAAACCAGCCAGACCCTGCCTTTTCAAGCTCCCTGCAATGCAGCCTGACACATTTACCTTGGAGCTCTGCCTGATGAAGGAGAGACGGTCCACAGAGCTGATATCTAGGAGATCTTCCACTCCATCAGCCAGGCCAGAGAGGGAGGAGCGCTTCAGCCAGTTCCCTGTTGCAGAACAAGCCACTCAGTACAAATCTAAAAATTACTTCTAGAATTATTTCTATTTCATAGCAATTGCAGTGTATTTCTCCACAGTGGCCACACTAAGGCGTGGGGAAATGGGAGAAAAGCATAAGGTAACATTTTCATGTAACATGTATTAACTGGCAGGCAAGGCCAGGTCCTGGGAATTGGAACGGATATATTCTCTGTCTAACAAATGTTAGTTTGGAATATCTCTCTTCTACAGTCAGGAACAGTGCCTGTGAGATTACAGTACTAGCTTAATACTTTGGGGGGAAAAGTTTCAATAATCTATTTTGACCAAAATATCCCTTGGTATCATTGGCAAATTGCTTACATTTTCATTTTCCTCAGTTCCCCATCTGTAAAATGGAGAGAGCAGCAAATCATAGCTTCTTTTGAGAGAATATATGGACAAAAAGGAACTGTGTTGCAGTATTCCTTAAGACAGCTATTTCTAGCTGAATTTCTCTGCACATGCAATATGTATAGAGAAGAGAAAGAGACATACATTTACCTATGGGAAGTTTGAGTTTCTTTCGAAGGGAAATCCGTCGGGAGCGAGAGCGGGAGCGCCTGTCTGTGGTGGTTCCGGAGTGAGCCGTGGTGCACTCGGATGTGTCCTGCTCAGACTGGCTACTGGTATCACTAGCTGCACTCTGTGACTTAAACATCTTCCTCCAGAAGTCCTTGCGTCCCAGATTGGCCCCTTGGATTTGCTCATCGCTGGAACAGAAAGGTGTGCAGAGCATGGAGCGTGTATTTCAAAACTGTATTTTCAAACTGAAGTTTGGATGCTCAGGGAAATGAGAGCTCCTTTCTGCAGCTCCCCTCCCCTAACCTCTCTGTTACTTGAGGCTGTTTCATTTTGAATCCCAAATATACGGTTCTTAGTGAGGCATAAGCTTGACAACACACTCAATATTGTTCAAGACACAGAATAACCATCTTTTCTACCCTTAGGCACTTGTCCACTGTGGCACAACATGGCCATCATCCCCTCCTCTACCACAGAAAGCTTATCTGCTCTGTCCAGCTGGTGCATATGGGTGAGATAACCCAGACCAGAGAGATGCCTGAAAGGGAGTTATCGCTGGTGCCAAAGAGGTGAGAGCCCCAGCTGACAATGAACATCCCTTACCTTGAGAGTGAGATATAAAGAGATAAGCGAGGAATCATTAACTGAGAGACACTTCACAACTACAAAAGCTACACAAATTTTCATGGAAGCTGAAGTCACATACACACTCCCTGGAAATGTGTAGGGCTCCCTCCCCAAGCTTGGATGCATTTTCATGGTTACTTCTCCAGAAATTGAGAGCAAAAGATTTTTTCTGTATGCCCCATCAGAAACTGGATGGTAAGATACACTGAATCCTAATCTGTACTATTTCTCCTCTAGCTGTAATATAGGTACCTTGTTATTAAAGTGCACTGAATTGTTAATCTCCTAGTAGAGTTTCTTTTGTTTATCCTGTAAACAGGTAAACTTACTTAGTTAGACAGTTAAATTTGTGTCTATGAAATAAATTATTCATTTAATAAGCCTAATTGGCCATTATTAAGAACCTGAGAAGTGAGAGCAATCTGGAGTACAGGTCACCCCTAAAAAGAGTTACTGCCAGAAATACGAGTCAAAGGCAGGACTTGTTTAAGCTCTCCTCTCCATTCATGTCATTCCAATTTTTAGTTTCTACATATGAAAGTAAACCACCTTCTTTATGTCAAAATGAACTACGTTTATAAGACCACATTAGTAATTTCTACAAGCATGTGTACCGGAAAGCTTTAGGACATCATGACAGCCATTTGTGAACCTGCTCATTAAGTACTGGAATTGGGACAAAATTTTTTACTATATTCTTGAGATGTCCCATGCCTATGGCAGGGCTCAGAGAGGAAGAACTTGCCTGAGTCCTCCAGAGCAGTAAAAGGCTTTATCCTTGCTGTCTCAGACACAGTGAGACTTTGTGGGCTCAGATAAGGCAGGAGAATATGTGATGTAGAGCTCTGGGCCCTTGTAGAAGCAATGTCTTCATGCAGTGCATCTCAAAGCTCTTTTACAAGGCAGACATGTATTCAGAGCAGTTAAATGACTTGCCCAAAATTACTGAGGGACCGGTGGCCATTTGTTGAATTTTCTAAAACTCTTGTGAGTATTGTTTAATTAATTGTAAATGGCAAAATTTCTTTGTACATAGATTTCAGTTGTACAATGCCAACAGCAGGTTGATTCCCTGTGCTGAAAAGGGAACTACAGCTCTCTTCAGAGACTATGTGCCCAAGGCAGGTCAGGAATGGGCTGGCTCTCACCAAAGCATTAATGACCCTTAGCAACAACTTGGAAGTAGAAAATTATTAAAATCATTGCCCAAGAGCACAAACAAAGCTTGGAGAACAGTTGTGGTTAATTCTCTGAGGAATTAACATGCTATTCACTGCTATGGCAGTATGGTACACCAATGACAAATCTACTGCACTGTCATTTGGAAATCTCTGCTGTTTCCCTGTCAAAACCAGGATGGCAGCACTGAAAACAAGCATTACCTGGTTGCTTGCAGTAGCTCCTGTGTGGACACTCAACAGCTTGCTGTACCACCCAAACAGCCAAGTCTGCTATCCTGTCCACTTGTGCTAACCCCAGAAGGAAGCTGCTGGCACTAACACATGGAACAATTCAGAATTTACTTACTGCTCTGGAGTTTGCATTGGGCGGCTGGAGACGTAACTCCGGCATTCATCAGGGGCAGCTGAGGCCTGCCCTTTGTCAATGATCACACTTCCTGCCTCAGACCTGTACAGACAAGATAAATCATCAGCCAAAGGAAATGGGTGGCCCATCTCATGGTCATCACACAGAACTGGATATGGAAACCTGCAAAGTAGCTTTGGAGATGTACCCTCTCGTTAGCAATTTACTGTCTCTACGTACATATTATTCCCAAAAAAGGCATCAGCTCTTAGCAGCAAAGCCAAGGTTTTCAGGATTTCTTCAACTTTCTTAATCCTTCTTCCCAACAATTTAATACGACAAATTCATCAAAGCACCAGAGGAAATTTCTTTTTGGTAAAGAAGCATGTCAGTATTAGATTTCTTCTGGGACTTGTTTTACATACCAGGGTTTACCTGTCAGAAAAATAGGTACACATCCCAAAGGATGTGATGCATATTAAGAAGTACATCCACAGAGTGTTCTGCTTCTTAGTTCTTTTAACCTTTCCTTATCCCTATGTTTCCATGGCACTGTTCTCTTATGCCTCTTATATGAGGCTGCCAATGCTTTTCTCTGCAAATTTGTTGCAGTCTCAGGTCATTACATTTTAAAGGAGGCTGCTGCCACAGCACAAGTCTGAACATCAAGAAGTGACATGCTATAAAGACAAAACAATCCCTTGGGCTTCCTACATTTGTGTTCGGCACAGATAAGTCACGGAGTCATATGCAAGTCAGTCATTTACCTTCTCCATCCTGATACCCACCTTTTGCTGCCAGAAGGTTTTGGGTCTTGCTCTGCTTCCTCTGTCTTTTTTCCTGGTATTAACTTTTCAGCACTGTCCAGGAGGGCACTGAGTGCCACTCTCCGAAATACATTCCCATGGGCCTCCTTGATGAACTGGACCAGCTGTCGGATATCACAGTACAAACCCTGAGTAGCAAGACACCACGAAAAAGAACAAATTCAGTCTGCAGTTCCTAAGGAAGCACTGAGAGTCAAAACTTCCTGAGGTACACTTCACCAGGCCATTACTTCTCCTCTGGCTGTTGTGTGATCTGCTCTTCAGGTATATGGTTTGTGGTTTTTGGCTGGAAACTCATAGTGCACTCAGAAGAAGCAGACAGGGAGGAGCGTTATTATGGAACATGATCTGCAGTGGGATACAGGAGAGGTATCAGAGACTAAAAGTCCTGTGAAATGATGACTTAAAGTTTGTTTTATACCACTCATCAAGACCACAAACTTAAAAGCCGTGAAATATCTCAGATTCACATGAGAAGATGCAGAGTGCAAACAACTGCACGTTTTTTTCAAAACCAGTGGGTGTCTTGGGATTTTTTATTTTTCATTATTTTAGAGCTTCACATCATATGAAGAGAGAGGAATGACTCACTCATTCCCCAACCTATCTTCTGCACTCAAAGCCCATTTTAGTTCTGAACGTTCATACACATCTGTGATGTGCAAATCACTTCTATATCTGAGGGCAAGGGGATGGAGGGAACAGTTTTAAAGGGCTTGATTTTTGATCTGTGAGCTTTCTTGAAAGACCTTGAATTATTCTGAAAATTCCCAGCAAGGAGCAAAGGAAAACAAAACAAAACAAATAAAACAAAACAAAAACAACATAAAAAACAACAAAAACCCACCAAAAACAAACAAAAAACAAAACAAAAAACCAAAACAAAACAAAGAAAAAACCAAAACCAAACCAAACAAAAAAAACCCAAACAAAAAAAAGCAACAAAAAAAAAACCCAACAAGCTTATAATTTCACCTGTATCCTGATTAGGGCTTTTTTAAAAAATAAGATATTGACTACAAGATTGACTTTAAAGAATGACAAAATAACTGCAAATCTGCACACATGCTCTACAGGCTGTATTCTCCATACAGACACAAATAACATTTTTACCCTTAGGGATGAATTTCACCTTACACACTAAAATAGAGTCTAGAAAGATACACAATTTATAAGTAAAATTTACACTTGGTGATCCTAATCTAGGTCAAATAATGGGGCATGTTTTTCTGTATGCCAACAAATAAACTCTTATGAGAAACATAACTTTGATTGAACATTCCAAAGGAGGAATATCCATAAGAACTAGAGGATTTGGACCTTTGGTTTAAGGTGTTAGTGTGGTTTTCTTTCTCCTACTCCCCTCACCTCACAGAGCAGTACTGCCCCTTTAGCTGGACTTCAGTGTCTCTACACCTCTGCTGTAAAGATTCACGAATACAAGAATGTTTCTTGTTTGTTTCCATCAAAAATCCTGATTTCTGATGATAAAGCAGGTGGCCTGAGCCTAGCTGCTGGAGTACACCAGTTTGGTGGGAGAGCACTCATGTCATCCAGTCCACTGACTGCTCTGGGAAGACAGAATGTGCATAGCAAAAAGCAACACCTTCCTTTCCTCCACGTGTTCAGTAAATTGAACATTTGTCTAAACCTTGGGAAGATCTATTCAGTTGCTGTTCAGTAATTCACAAAGTCTGGCACCCATGGACCATGTGGTTAACCAAGTGAACTGCCTTTGACTTTGCTGAAGGTTAATTCATGGCCCTAGAATGATGGAATAACTGAGGTTGGAAATGACTGCTAACATCCTTGAATCCAACCATTAACACAGCACTGTCAAGTCCGCCAAAAAAACATGTCCCTGCTTCCATGTTCACGTTCATATCTTTTAAATCCCTTCAGGGACAGTGATTTCACCACTCCCCTGAGCAGCCTGTTCTAATACCTGACCTCCCTTTTCAGTGAAGAAATTTTTCCTAATATCTGATGTAAACCTCCTCTGATGCATCCTGAGACCAATTCCTTTTGTCCTGTCACTTTTACCTGGGACAAGAGACTGACCCACACCTTGCTGATAACTCCTGTCAGGAAGTTGTAGAGAGCAAGGTCCCCCCTGAACCTCCTTTTCTCCAGGCTAAGCAACCCTGTTTTCCTCAGCTGCTCCTCATAAGATGTGCTCCAGACCCTCTCCCAGCCCCATTTTCCTTCTCTGGACATGCTGCAGCACTCCACTGTCCTTCTTTAGTGAGTGGCCCAGAACAGACCCCAGATTCTGAGATGCAGCTTCACCAGTGCCCAGTACAGGGAGACAATCACTGCCCTGGACCTGCTGGCCATGCTATTGCTGATACAAACCAGAATTCGTGGCTCTTCTTGCTCATTAATCCTTCCAGACTGTTCTACTTATCCACTTGGAGCACCAGAGAAGCTGCTTGGACAGAGAAGAAATTTTCTTTCAGACTGCCCAGCTTTTTTCCTGTCTGAGACCCCAGGTTCCAAGCCAGACATGAAACAGGACATCACATTCGTATAATTTTTATAGGCTACATGGATCATCATTTGCTACATGCATTTGGCTAAACTGTTCACTGCAAAGTCTCACTCATGACACCCAAGTGAAAAAGTGAGTTTGTTAATGTGGCATCAAGTGCTTACCAGGTTTTCTGGGCTGTGGAGCTCATGTGTAGTGGATGCACAGCGAGTGATCAATGACTTGAACATGGCACTCACAATAATGCCTTCTACACTTTGGGCTGTAGACTTGTTGTCCACTGTGCTGAAGTTATTCCCAAATCCAGCCTTATCTGTAAAATTCAAGTATAAGCAAGCCATCTTGTTGGGAGCAGTTTAAAAGAGAGAGTTTAAAGACAGATGTAAAGGGATTAGGGTACGTGAGACAAGGACACATCCCCACCCAATATCCTGGGCTCAGTTCTCACAATCCCACCCCACAAAAATATAGCAGAAGCAAAGGGTAAAACAAATGATAAGTATGAAAGCTTCCCAGAAACAGCTGTATTATGAAAAAGGATTGAAAATATCAGAACAATTCTAGCTTTGTTTAATCCACGTCTCTCATTTAGAGAAGTGCAGAATAAGGCTTAAAATTTGAACAATAACTTCAGCTTTTCTAGTTACCATTCTAAGGGATAAGAGATGTTTGATTAAGCAGCAAAGTGACAACACCCACGAAATGAAAATCTTTTGAACTGTGGGAATGCTTTTCTTGGAAAGTACACAAGGACACCAAGCTTTCAGAAAGACTCAGAAAATAATTACACATTCACATGAATTAAAAAAACATCCCAGTTTCCTGAGATGAGAGAAAAGACTTGCAAGAGCTGCATGAGCTGCCATGCTCCAAAGAATAAGCCAGTCAATAATTGATGAATACTTAGGGAAATGTCATGTGGAAATCTTCTTCATGAAAGATGGCTATGTAATTTTCTTTGATGACATCTCTGAAATTTCTGGCATCAAAGATAGTTTTTAATTAATTTTAATTAATTTTAATCAATTAGTCAGATTCCCCCAATGTTTCAGAGGAGCTGTTCCTACTCTGTAAACAGTCATTCTTAACTGTTGTTTCATGTAGTGACCAAGCATAAATGTTTGATTGTTCTAATATAGCACATATTATAACATAATTTTCTTAATTTAAAAAAATCCTCAAACCTCCCTACATGCACACATGCATGCACATTTGTAACTGCAGGCACATCCATCTGTGTGTCCATATTCTTGTTCATTCAAGCCTTTCTTGCTGCTTACTCCCTCATCTGAGGCTCCACAGAGGGTTTTAAAGCTCAATTATATCTCCATCCAGAATAAACCGTGTGTTAAACAGGCCATTCCACCTGGTGCCTTGTCGTGTCATGAAGCAGAAAACTTCCTGCCTGAGGTATCATTTAATGAAAATCTCTTCTGTGAAGAGCCACAGACAGGAGGTAGGATCAATCAAAGGGAGGCCTTCAATTTCAGGTGCTCTGTGTGCTCTGAGATCTCAGGGCAAGATCAAATTTGGGTGGTCAAATCCAAAGTGGTCCAACTCCCTTGACCCCCAGTGGCTAAGGATACAGTTTATATATTCTGAGAGCAGAAAATCACATTTTGTAGCTTGTAAAGGACAAGAATCTGGCTTCTTTCTGATGGCACAGTTTAAGAATACACAAGTGACAGGTTCTGATGTCAGGTATACTTACTATCAGTGACTGGCTCCATGCAGAATCCTAGTAAAGCATGCAGGAAATCCACCACATTATTGAGAGAATCCTTGTTCACATAATCTCTCACCGTCTGCCGGAATTGCATCTTATCCAGTTTGTACAGTTTCGTGAGGCAGTTCTGGGCCTACAACAGTGTCCATCAAACCATATCACATCAAAGTACATGTTCAAGTTTTGCTAGCAAGAGCAAGGTAATTTTGCACTTAGCCAGCGCTCTGCTGTCTCTGAATGGTCCCATAACAAGACAGGTTCACCTCTGGAGCCAACAAAAATTTCAGCACAAAAGAGAGTGCCTTGCTCTTTGAGGTGGTGATAAAGCCACTACCAGCTGTATCTCAAGTTCTCTTTTCCCCTGTCCAACCCCAAAGTAAATTCTCACTGGATGTAAATGAACTGGGAATGTACCACCTCTGTCAATGCTCAGTGCCTTGGTGGAACAGGTTTTTAGCCTTAGGCATCTGATTTTCACCCTCCAGCTCAGACCCAACCTATTGAATGCACCAATACCCAATGACCAACCTACATCATACGAATCAATAACTTTTTACTTAAAATTGTCAACTTCTTATCATAAAACTACCCATCCTACTGGGACCCCATGCAGCCTGGAGTTAAAAGAATCTAAAATATCATCTCTATAGGAAACATGAACTCTGCTGTTATCTACAATAGGGTGCTTAATTTTCCAGTAAACTCAGACATGATTGTCCACGTAGTCAACACAAATGATGCATGCAAAGCAGTTTGGCCAGACAAACACACAGAAAATGCAGCAGACTTACACATGTAGGAAATTATTTTTCCTCAATTCAGTGGGCCTGATAAGAACCTTGGTTCCAAGAGACATATTCATTTATACTTCATGTTATGCATGGGTCTAAATGCTTTGCTGGCTCAGCTCCAACAGAAATTGTGATGAATATGGTACCTGCTCGACCAGTGCTCGATGCAGAACCTTTCTAGTGTTACCACTGGGACTCTCTCACCCCATCTTGTCCAGCTGTGTGCACTCCTGCAGTACCTGGAAATCTAGCTAACACAAGAACGCTGCAAGGATACAGAGCAGCATATCCATCTCTGAGAAATCAATCTCAGAGCCCAGAACCTAATTATAGCTCTGTTGGCATGGCTCAAGCTAACCAAAGCCACGGAGAAAAATCTGGTTCATAGGCATCCCCTGGGATTAGTAAATTCTCATTACAGTCATGAAAAATGCTCCCTTCTGCAAGCACACAAGGTGAGGAGGAGGCATGCACTGAGAAGGCCTTTGAAAGGCCCCCATTTAACCAAGAGTTGGACTGATCTCAAACTCTTCTGGATTAAAGCTGATGTCTGGGCTACATTCTGGGCCCTTTCCAATGCCTTAACTGGAGCAGAACACAGTTAAAAATTAGAAAATTAGAAAATGTTAGGAATCAGCAGTGATGACCTACCATATCCTTCAAAAGGGCAAGAGTGAGCCTTTTACTTCCTTGCAGAACAACAGAACAAGTACAGTTCAAATACAGTGCACTCCAACTACCAGGAGCTGATGGAGCAGCCCAGCAGCAATCAGTCCTAATCACCCTTAGGAAAGAATACTTACACCTTAGACTTCTGGATTTACATAGGCACCCCAAGATAGCTGCACCTCTTGTAAATAGCATACTCTTGGGGTACTGTTCTGGGAAAAATTGCTAACACCAGCTCACATATGGGATTTGCTCCCGTGTATTGTCCCAACCCATCCTCTGGGGGGGTCAGAAGCACCCCGGGCCCCAGATGTGCTCTTAGAAAGCCCAGGGACTGGAAGGCAACACTACAGCTGAAAATCTGCTAACAGCTGGGCTGCAACACAGCCTGTGAGCTGGGGAAAAAGCAACACATTTACTGTCAATACAGGGAAAGCTACAGAGAGGGCAGGCAGCGATCTCAGCAGCTGATGTCGACAAGGGGGGGGACACTTTAATGAGCTTTAATTCTCTTACATTCTCCCGGAATACCTGGAGTCTCAGGCGATCTCCAGAGAGCCCTCGGTGTCCTTCTCCACAACCATAGGCACAACCCAAGGACTTGACAATTTTGATCAGCATTGTGAGTGCCAGCCTATGGGTGCTGACAGATGGGCCTTCATCCTGAGGGTCACAGAGGGAAAGACGGTGTGTAACCCTGGCACAACCACTGGCATTTTGTTGGCATTTTACTTCTGACAAACTGCTTTCCATTTCTCATCTCAGGCACTCCATTACTGCCAATTATTTTTCAAGTTTAGAGACCAGGCCCCTTAGAGCTCCCATCAAAAAGTTATGCTATAAATGTGAAGTCCCTACACGCTGCTATGCACACCATTCAGAACTTACTTCAAAAAATTATCCCTGAAAAACAGAGTTGGCTTGGCTGAGTGGAAAACCAAGCATCTTTTAAAAACATCTTAGATATTATACTACTATAAATTGCAACTTCAGAGGTCAGCAATATAGCATCTCTTGTCCAATTCTCATAGCAATACTGAAAAATGTATGACTTCGAGTAATCAAATAAAAGAAACTGTGTGCACACACTGGGTTCCGTTTTTCCTTTACAAGTTACGAATAATAAACCTGAAAAAAAGAAAAATCATTGCGATCGAGGGTTTCAAACACTTTGTCAAGATATTGAAAATGTCCATGCCAGGCTCACAAACCCCATTTTTGGCAGCTGCTTCTCTGGAGTAGTTACAGTGCTTGAATTGCTAATCATGTTTCCTCAGCAGAATCCCAAGTGAGCACCAGAGCAAGACAGAAGGGCAGCTGCATTCACATGCATGCTCAGTCTTAACAGACATTACAGTACATTTGGAATTGTACAAAGAGAGAAGGAAGACAAACCTTTTCTTGTTTTTTGTCATTCTTCTCATATGGCCCTCCTCCTCCTCCACCACCTCCATCACCTCCGCCACCCCCACCTCCTCCACCACCTCCTTCTTCTTCTCCGTCTCCAGCTCCACTAATTGGAGGTGGCCCAAAGCCACAAGCTGAACCAGAAGCAGCCCCTTTAAGCTGGAAGGATCCTTCACTTGGTCTCTTTTCAGGGGCCTCATTTTCTTTGTTGTCGCTCTTCCTCCGAACTTTCTCCACGCAGGGCACCACGCCAAGCTGCAGTAAGCACTCCACGATGTTCAGCGCCACGTCACAAATCCGGGAACTGATATCGTGGTTCAGAACCAAGTAAACAGCCTTCAGGACCACCTGAGAGATTCAAACATCCTATTTAAAGCCAGAATTACTTTCCCTCCAAATAATATTTAGTGCCTGGAAATTTTAGGTTCCAGAAACTCATTACAGCGGGCACAGTACAAACTCTGAACAAATAATGCACAACCCTAAACACCAAAAGCCTACAATCTAGATGTCAGACAGGAATCCACAGGCTGAGCACTGTCAGGCTGAAAAGGAAACCATGAGATCTGTGAGCCTGAGAACACTGCTACAGTGCACCAAGAGCTGGTAAATCATTAAGGGGAAGGCAGAAAAAGTGAGGTTTAAGGTGCTGGAAGAAAGGTGCTACTCAGTATTATACTATTTTATAGGGAATTTGGTGCATGCCTCAGGAACACAGCCATTACGTAATACCACTTCAGATTTGATGTGTGCATTCCACATGCACATGCGCTCCTTGCAAGGAGTAACAGGAGTTGCAGTGTCTCAGAGGAGACTTTTAGGATATGCACAAATGTATCTGACTGACCTTTATATACTGCTGAGAGAAGTCATATAAAGAGGTGGAGGAAAAGCCCATCAAACCCCTGCTCTCAATGGTACAGCTATATTGACAGTAGAGGGACCTGGCTTTCCTCATTCCTCGCCAATTACCGAGAGATCCAGCATGCCATTCTTGTGGACAAAGCTGTTGGTTCCATCAATGTGATCCGTGTCCTCCAAGCAGCTGTAATTGATGCAGGAGTCCGTCAGGCTGCGGGGGAGGTTGGCACATGCAAGTGGCTCGTGGGGCATCTCAGGGATGGGCACCTGGTTGCAGAGCTTCCTCATGTGCTCGCTGAAGAAATCGGCGTATCCCACGTTGAACGAGGCCAGGGTAGTGTTGAAGGTTGCCACAGTGATGGTGGAGATCTGGGACCTCACTGCAGGGAGGAAAACAGCTGCCTGTAAATTCCTGCCTCTGTAGATATGGAATGGAGGATTGAGCAATTTCCAGCAAAATCCAGCAGCTATTTACTGCATAGAGGCGTTAAATACCACAACATTCCCTGTGAAACCATTAAAGATAGCAATACCAAGTTTCTGTTCACACTTTTTGTGTTGTGGTAAGGCAAGAAAACCCTAAACCATGCCTTCTCCCAGCTGATGGCCACCAATTTTTTTAACAACTGCACCAGATAAACATGAACGGTCTGAACCCCTCAAGAGACAGAGAATCCAAAAAGGAAAAAAAAATCAATTAGTCACATACACATAGAAACAGTAACACTTCCTTCCACTTTTTTTGGGTATTTGGTATTTATCAGTGGAAGATCTGTCCTGAATTTACCTTCTTTGACTGTGTTGTCTCCATGGCTGTTTGAGGGGTCTGGCAGCTCAGAGACCAGCGTGTGATGGGAGTGCGAGTGCCTGGCGCTCAGTCCCTCCATCTCCGTCGCTGTGTCAGAGCTCCCTCTCCGGGTGAACTTTCCTAGGGCCATGAAAGAAATGGAGATTCTGTTCAGTTGCCTGAGGGGTGGCTGGCCACAGCAGCTGAGGTTAAAAATCAAAGGGTTGGAGCCTGTAAAAATCAAGGCTTTTCAGTACACTGAGAGGCAGAACCGAATATTATGGTGGAATCCCTCAAGCAGGTTCAATGTCATAGATACCAAATGGCCCAAACTCTCTGTATCATTCCACCCTTTGGGGCATGTTATAGGAATTTAGTTCCTTCTCCTCTTGCCCCTAAAAATAAGTATATTAGGATGAGGAGTGCTAAGGTAAAGGAAATCCTTCAAGAATACAAAAAAATACTGGTTAGTTAACTTAGAATCTTGAAGTAGCGAATTTTTTGGTTCAAACACTGTACCTCTGCAATATCAAGACCATATAAGCCTCACTGAGAAAATATTGTATTTATATTGTATCCGATATGCACTCCAGGATAACTGTGAGTAGAACTTTTTGACATACTAATGACATTGTTAATGATCCTAATGACACTGCTGCTAATAATTGTCACACTAATGATACTGCTGCCTCTCCAAAGATTACTCTTTTAAAGAAGAGAATGCAAGCATTCTTGGAATCTATTTGAAGCTGCACTTGTGCAATGCTTGCTACCACACAGGGAAGTGTATTCAAGTGGAACAGAGATCACACAGTATCTACAATTCCAGTAAATGGTAGTTTCCAGAGAAAAAGTGAACTGAAGCATAAGTCATTCAAGGTCTGCTGTGAGCAGGAACCAACAGATGTGTAACGCTGCAAACAGAACCAAGGACACAGAGTGACAAAAGGACTGGATGAAGAAACAGCCCCTGTTGTTCTGTGAATGTTCATAAGAGGAACGACACGGAACCCGGGGCAGAGACAGCAGTACCTCACCTAATATGGTGGTTTGCCACCCTCCTCTCTCCATGCCACGCCGGTCCTCCCCAATTCCAGAGAAGCTGCCGAAGGAGAAAGTGCTGCGAGTGGGGGAGACATCCAAGTGATCCTCGTGGAGGAGGAAGGGAACCCCCATCCGCCGCTGCCGCTTCTTCCCGGCGTGGTGGAACGGGATTGACCCTTTGCGCTCGCGCTCCCGGTCCTCTTTGCGGCTCTTAAACTGCAGGAAGAGGAGCAGATAGAGGAGCAGTGAAGAAGCTCTGAGGCACGAAAAACAACCACTTGAGGGAATAAGGTAACACAGATCTGTTTCCCAAGTGTAGCTTTCTACTCTGAGCATTTTATCTTGTCCATTTCCCACAGCAGGATCTAATTGCATGCTGGGGTCCTGTGAGTGTTTGAAGGATTTCAGTCTTTCCCTAGGCTGGGATGGATGCCCTTGGATAATTTTATGACATTCTTTGACCTTGAGCATAGAATGGATGGAAACCCACAGCTAAGATGAGGTAAAAAAAGCCAGAAGAACTCACTGAATTAGCTGGAAGTACAGTGAGCATTTCCTCTTAAAATTCAGCACTGTTTGAGTAGCTTCCTCTCATGCAGTTTCATCAGGACAATTACTTGAATAAAGACTTCAGTATTATGTTTGGGATGTGCATATAAAAACCAATGTAATAACATACAGAATCAATTCCAATGAAAAGGGAAGATACTCTCACACATGGCATAAATATAATATATTTCAAGCAGACCTCGTGAATATATCATCCAAGCAGACCTTCAGCAGCTACTAAGGAAGACTCTGAGGTGCTGAAGCATAGGTAAATTAAAGAGCAGTTTTCTTTCAATCACCTTTTTGAAGATGTTCATGCCCAGGTCTGTGGAGAGATCTGGTACTGCTGGTCTACGCAAGTTGGTCAGTGAAACCTTGGAAAATGCCTCCGTGCTTAGTGATTTTTCTTCCTCATTACATTTTATTGTAAGATCCTGCAGCTCCCAAAAGAGGACAAGCACAAGGAGAAATAGAGGATAATCAGCTTTTAAAAAGGAGCAACTTCTTAGAACTGTCATAGGTGCACTGTAGAGGAAAAAGACCTCCAACTCATTACACAAAAAAATTTACACATTTAAAGAAAAATAAATGGACAAACAAAATTTAGAAAGATCCAGAATTATTTACTTTGTCTAACCTTTCAGTCACCAAAGCTAAAAAAGTACAGCACACTGTGGAAAGCCTCAGGCATTGCTGTCAGCCTGGTCTGCTGGCATGGAAGAACATGTTTGATTCTGATCCCAGGTATGAAATTATTATTATTTATTATTATTATTTATTATTATTTTTATTATTTTTTGTTATGTCTTTGAGGTCTTGGTTTATGTTGATGACCAATCATAATGGCTACTCTTTGCAAAGCATTTCATTTAAGATCTATGGCCTTTATAACAGACACATTTAAATACGTATTTTGGAACTAAACTGCAATAAGCAGCACTGTCCCTTCAAGAAACTTTGTTTTCAGAAAATTTATTTACTCACCAAGGAAATCTAAGACTTCTAAATTAGGAAATATCCTTCGCTTGTAATAACAGGTTGTTCCTTCCATCATTTTTCATATGAAACTTCCCCCTTCCTCTATCACAGAATGTCCCACAACAACAAAACCCACGAGGCTCACTCACTCCAGGTGCAGCAGAGCTTTCTCAACTCACCTCTGCATCAAACAACACAAGCTATACCTGCCTGCTGCAAAGAAGGAAATTGGCACAAACTCAGCTTCCAGCCATCTGCTCTCAATAAAGATCTAATGCCAATCTCCCATGAGATGTTTGTGCAGCTGACACGACCGAATTCCCTCAGGGTGATTTTCTCCTGCCTAAATATCAGCTTGTTTCCAATGGAATGAGCTTTTTCTTTGCTGTCCCACCAGAAATATTCTGCTGGAAAAGTGGGTCATGTTAAAACACCTTTTTGCTTTCAGTGCAGAGATCGCCATGTGTCAGGGATAGACAAAGTGACCGCTGTGACAGGTTTAGATTCTGCCTAGCCAGACTGCAAATTGCAGTAAAGACAGCCAGCCAGCTTCTGTAGTACTCAAGTGTGCAGTTTTATGCCCAAAAATGTCCAGCAGAACCCCGTGACAGTCTTTGTAGCTGAAGCCTAACACCAGTTAATATTTGCAGTACCCAATATTGGAAATCATGTATTTTTCAGACTAATCAAAGACTACCCTTGAATCCTCTTAATTTTATCAGCACAAGAATGTAGGAGACACACAGCAGCAAGGCTCCTCGTCATCACTGTTTGTAGTACAGGTATTCTTATCACCCACTTTGCATAGATGACTAAATATTCAGAGGAGGAGTCACACATAAAATCCAGTACACAGCAAATCAGGATTCAACTCGAGCCACTCTCAACATTGAGGCCAACAAATACTCCATATAGCTTTTTTCTTAGTTTTTATAGCTCTCTGGCCTCTTCAGGCTGTAAAGCATGGTATGGATTTATTTTGGATTAAGTATCATTGTCTGTGGGTTACTGAAGTGATGTTTTAGTAGGTGTTTTAGCACTACAGCTGCATCGGTGCTATGATTAAGTTTTGTTTCACTCTTCTACAAAGGAAGTGCAAGGCTGTAGCAGCTTGTGAATGTGTGAAGTTTCCATGTCCTACACCTGCCCTAACAGTGAATTCACTGCATACAAGTGCCATACATGTTTCCTTTATCACGTGTTGCCTGGTCTGGACCATGTTCACACCAAAGTCACTTTTCAGAGGCAGAATATATTAATTTTATTCACGCCCATCCATCCCCCTTTTCCAACAAGGAGTGCCAGAACACTGCACTGAGACTTTTCCTACTTTGCTACACAGCTTACTAGGCAATACAGGGAGGATATCCCTCATGCTCTCTCAATCCCTGCTGCTTTAGCCCAACCTTTTATCTAAGATGTGATTTTACACACACAGATCCAACAGCAAGTGTGAGAGTTTTGCTGAGGCTCAGGGAGGTGCAGGATCATCAGTTTACCAGTTATCCTGATAAATTGCAGAACAATAGAAACTATGTTGGTTTGCCACAAAAATCTACTGCTCCTTGATGTGGTTTGCAGGCAGATGTGGTTTTCTTTACTCAGTTTTTGCCTGCCACTTTATATCTACCCTGCTGAAACACTGTACCAATGTTTTTGAGAAGTTCTTGATCAACCTTTGAGTATAAATGATGGCACTATATTAGGAATTTCAGATCTAGACAGAAAAATCGGACTTGAAGCATAACCCTGTGTCAGGTGAGCTTGTGAGGGCTCAGAGTACAACCCCTTGTGTTAAGAAAGAAAAAATCCTAGCCTTTGGGAGGTGGCATTCTCTGCTCTGAGCTAGCAGAATGCCTTGTCTGATGAGACTTAATGTAAGAATAGCAGTAAAGTTCCTGCAGTTGGCTGGGATGAACCAGAGCCCAGCTGCTTCTGTGTGTTGCACAGGTTTCAGTCCTCAAAGCTGTAAAGAAGGGGGGCATGAGTTGAAAAGTTGCATGAGTTGAAAGTTTTGCTGCCTGGAAGACCCTTTCACTTCCTCCATCACAGCTGTTCTGCTTAACAAATTGGAACCCAGGAACGGGATTCTGTTTTGGTGAAGAATGGCAAAATTTCACTGGGCTGACACAGAGGTTACCAAAAGCAATCAAACCCAGCCTTGGAGAGTCCTCACATTAACAGCTACCAAGTATCCAGTGGATTTGCCAAATGGGATTAACAAGAAAATCCTAGAGAAGTGAGATGGAATCTTCTGCAAAGCAGTCTTCTGCAAGCGAAACAGCCTAGAAAAGCAAGACATAGCCAAGTGTGTGAAAGGAAGTGTTTTTACAGCATGAAGGGAAGAACCAGGGCAACACTACTGCAGCCAGTGCCCATGTGAGACAACCTCACCCATACTGCCTCTGTAAAACACTGACTGCACTCCCTGTTGCACTGGGAGCCAAACTTGCTGATATACAAAACAAGCAGGTTGTTACGAGCAAGAGCAAAGGGACAGAACATGCATGGAAATAGTGAAACACATCAGCAGCAATGTATTTCAATTTTCCCTCCAGGTGATGATGTTAAGGAGGGTTTTTTGTATTGCACACAGCACAGGTAGATTTCTCCACGCACAGGTAGATAAATATTGAATAGTAATTCTTATCACTGGCCTTAGTGGAGTTATGTCAAGCTTTTACAGGGATGAAATGTGTTATACAAATTACACACTAAAGTGTAATACAATTTAAACAATACTGCTGCTGCTGAGCCCTTAGAACCACAAGTAACCACCAGCTCTCATAATAATGGTAAAAATACGTGCAGATCCTGAGATCTAAAACCAACAGTAGTAATATTCATGTTGTTTATGTTTGTCTTCTAGATTTTGAACATCTGGGGTCTACTGGGCTAAAGATATTTCACCTTCCTTCCAGTCAAAATCTGTCAGAGCCCTGAAAGCAGCGATTTTAGGGAAAACACCAAGAGTTCTGAGATTTCCAATTCAAAAAAAAAAGATATTTGATAGCAAAATGATCAGGTCTTTTATTTGAGTGTGTCATAAAGTCTGAAGGCAAAAATAGAATCTCTGCTAAATTTTGTTAGGAGGTTCCATCAACCAAGTAAATCAGCATTTGCTGCTAAAAGCCCACATGACAGGAGAAGAGGGCACAACGTAAAAGTAAAACAAATCCACAAGGAGATAACTGAAACTGCAACAACATTCCCTTTTTATCCCTGGAACAGGTGAGCAACACTAAATAAAAAAATATTTAAGCTCAAACACAAAGATCTTTACTGCACCATGGTCAGGAGCACAGGGGTCATTGTCCAGCAAACAGGGAGAAAGATTTTTAGGCAGTTTCTCTACAGAGATTATTTTGGCAAATATAAAAAATTACGTAATAAGAATAACAGCAGCAGAAGTAACCACATGGAGAGCTTTTGCTCACTGCCACTGTTTACCAAGTCTAATTCAGTATTTTAACACAAGTGTGAGTGTGCAGTTCTGTACTAAACACAGTTCCTTTTGAGGGAACTCCAACTTTTGAGTTCCTCCATTTGAGGGAGCACACCAGAGAAGCTCAGTGGGCCCTGACCATTGCACTGTAATGCAAAGGCATTGGTAACCATTTCTTATGGCAACTGCATTAGTACATTCCCACATTAAAAAACAATGTTATCCCAGATCACCCTACATTAATTATCCCAAATCAAACCTCCAGCTTTCAGCAGTCACCAGCTCTGACCCTCTGCATCAGATTCTGCCTTCAGAACACTCATGGTTCTCAGGGTCTCTTTCTGAATCAGTGCAAGTATCTGACCTCTGTGCAAGTGAGCCAATACCTAAGCTGTGCCTATCACTGCCTGCTCAGCAATCCCCTCCCAGCACCACCACAGGAGCAGTTCTTTCCTCACTGCTGGCAGCTGCTTACCTGGGTTTTGTGGGTGTTCACCAGAGAGGGAGCAGCAGCCACCATGGAGCTGCTGCGAGGCCTTGGCAAAGGGGTGATCTCAGGCTCGGGTGGCTTCTCTGGTTTTTCCTGCAGCATGTGCCTCAGCCTCTGCAGGTAGTACATCAGTGACCACTGCGTGCCTTCCTCGGACCAGTGGGGCTGCAGCAAGCAGCGCAGCACGGCCACGTCGAAGTACGTGGCATAGCGAGACTTCTGGCACGGTGGAATCACCAAGGACACCCTGCTCCAAAAAGCAGGAGTAGAAATGTTAGTCATCAGATTCCTCATTCCTTTAGATCCTCGGCTCTCTGCATGAAGAACTGACTCTTTGGGACTAAGGAAACTGAGGAAAGCATTATTGAAGACACGGAACTGAATATTCAGCTTTCAGATCCCCAGAGGACTCCAGTACATGCTGTAAGGTGTTTTCTTGGATAGGGGTGCTTTCTCAAACTGTGATCTGAAGATAAACCTCCAGTACCTGTGCTAACTGAATAATTTGTTCAGCAGGAAACAAACAACCCTTCAGCATCTGATGTCCTGACACTAGTAATACATATTTAGGAATGGTTTTCACTTGCACATATCAGGCCTTACTCAAGAAAAAGTAGGCAGGGCAGCTAAGTTAGTTAACCTTTTAAGCTAGATATAATAAATTTATATTTATTATATAAATAAAAGTTACTATTATGGGCATTCTTTGCTGAGGTGTTCTAGAGAAAAGCACCCTTTAAAGCCTTCACTGTAATTTTCTTGCCCTATTAATTTCCCGATGGATTTTAATATGGAGTTTCCTAAGTATTGTAAAAATTACTGTACACAAAAGCAAGACATCTGCAGTGAGCTTCAAAAATGGGAATCTAGAAAGTTCAGATTTCAAAGTTTCAGATTTTTATGTCATTCATAGCCTATCTTTTTTACAGTAAAATGCCCCAAAATTTTTATTCCTAATCTTTCATACCACTTTTTTCCCAGCAGAGTACAACTGGCCTGATCTACCCTCTGGACAGCCACTAGCTGTCATGAGACAATCTGTCAGGAGACAATCTGTCAGAAAAGAAGCAAGTGAAAGGGACTCACAGGAATGAGAATCACATGGTAAGAGAAGGTGTGAAATTCTTTTTTTTTTTTTTTTTGTCTGCTGAATACACATTTTGAATGCTTCCACTCTATGTCAGAAACACACTTCTGTGATCTGATTATTTCTAGGATTTTGGGATTCTGTAAAAATGAAGAGTTCTTTCATGCACTATATTCTCAGGCATTTGAGAAGCATCACAAGAACATCAAGCTGGTCTTTTGGTTTTTGCTATAAGCCATTTTTTTATTATCAGCCCTGCAAAACAGCAGGCAAACAGTGTAGGCAGGTCATCCTCATATCCAGCTAGGTACCACCACTTTCTGAACAGATGGGTCCAAGGCCACAGTCCAGAAAAGCCTTGGGGAAGAACAGCAATACTGACCAGTGGGACCTCTGAGTGCTTTGCTGGATCTCTGCCCTGTGCCTCCAAGGCAGGAACTGGCAAATGAGGAAGAAGTGTGCACTGAACAGTGACACCAGTTGGAATCACATGAACCCTGCACCATCTTACAGGTGTGGAAACAGGGGTGGAAGGCTGGGCTTGGATCAACACGTGGATCTAGAGCTCAAACTGGCAGGAGCTGGTTTGCTGGCAGCGCCACAAGGCCATGCTGGAGGCACTTGGTGACTGCAGACCAGTCTATGTCAGCGTGTGCCACACTATCCAAAATACACAGATTCAAAGTGTCTCCCCTAGTGCTGTATTCCAGCTAGAAAGGCTGCAAGCTTGACAACTTTGAAATGAGCTGTTACAAAAACCTGAAAAACTGAGTTAGGAAAGAAAACAACGTGAAATGTTTATGAATGAAATGAATGAAACGAATGTGCTGTAACATTTTCCCCACAAACCTGACATGAAGGGTGGTTTTGTCAATGTTTAGGTTGTACCACATAGATTTAGCCTGCAAAAACCCAGAAGTATACTCAAAGTACCCCAGCAAAGGAAATAAAACACATCATGCCAGTAGCAGTTGTGAGAGGTTCTTTTAATTTTGCTCCCTGGTCTCTGCACTCCTATCTGTGGCACTGGCAAACCTGAGGCATGACACAGGCTGGAGCAGGGCATGTTCTCCTTATGAAATATTAATAAATAAAGTCCCTCCTGCAAAGTCTATTTCCCCAGCAGCCTGTTCAATGTAGCAGCTGGGTAAAGGGCTGTGGTTTATCTGCCTCAGGATTAAACTGTATCATCTCTACATGGAGAATCACACTGAGCGACACTTTGCCAGGATCACAACAAGCAGTTTGTTTCAACAGTTTCTGAAGAACCAGAAATTAAACTCTGTAGTTCATTTAGAGGAAAATCTAGTGCTTGTATAATCAGCTCATGGTTGCCTGTGACTGCAGGGAAAGTGGAAATGCAGCCTTCTTTCAACCCTTGGCCAAGGACAAAGGAATACTTTGGCTGTTGGTAAGCAGAGTAAACAACATTTGTTCCACAGTTATCTGTTGCTTGGTAACCAAAGCTCCCTGTACAGTTTTAACTCATCAATGAGTTCTGCAAATGAGGAGGCATAATGATGCTCTCTTCAAAGCCTGTCTGAAGCTTTATCCCCATGGCAACCACCAGACCCTGCTTGACAAATTGATCACCTGATTCTGTCTTCTTAAGAGGCTGCTTATTTTTTTTACAGCTGTGCACTCTCTGAGCAGCAGTGTTCACACACAGAAAGGCAGCTCTGTCCCCACCTTCAGTTTTACTGGCTCACATTAATGCAAATTAAATACAGATCCAGAACTGACAACAGGCTTGATAAAAAATCCCAAGGGAAGCTTCCTGATAGTATGAGAGCCTCAACAAATAGCTTTTTCCTTTGCATCAGTGAAAGGATGCCCTGAGTTCCCATCTGAGAGATCAGAGTTGTCCCTAGATGATATCCAGAAAATCACTCTATCCTGTAATTCTGTCACTGTAATGACGCCATTTCTTAAGACTGCAGTGTTTTGGATATGACATTTCTCAAAAGAGATAAGCAACAGGGCCAGAGTTTTCAGGTGTTTAAGTGGCACTCCTAAATCCATAGAGAAGTTAAAATTTTAGCCCTCCCTCTCCAAAATATCTGAAAATACTCATCAGCCTGATTTACTCAATGGCACTACTGAGCATCCAGCACTACTGGAAATTCAGTTCTGCCTTTGTGTGCCCAAATCTAGATGAATTTATTAGTGCCAAGCTGGAAACCACAGCCTGAGCCACAAGCTGGACACAGTTGCACAGCTGTGCTTCTTGGTTAGTCTGTTCCTACTTTTTTGGGTCAGTAGTCTAAAGCCAGCTTTGCAGCAGGATGCAAAGGAGGCATAATGAAGGCAAAGGAGAGAGGCTTGCAGAAGTTCTTTGCTTGGGGGAAAGGAAATCTGGCCAGAAGGAAACCAGATAATATTCCAGTTGCCTGAAGCTGAATCTAGCCTAGCAGGGGTGAACCTGAAGGTTATTTTTTGAGTCTTTAATGACCAGAAATTAACATCCTAGGAAAGACCAAAGAAATTATCCCAACAGGCCAGCTAGAGATTTCTCTGAAGAAAGCAGCATTGAGTAACAAATGCTGCCATCTTTTTCATCACCCAGAATTGCAATTTGTTTAATTAAGAATTTGGTACAAACATCCAGCACCCTCAGCATGTCCAGACAAAAGTGGATTCAAGATGGACTTGTGTGATCTCCACCACTGAATCACAGGAGCCCAAGTTTCACCTGAAGGTCTTTGTACCTGGGATGTGCAGTACTTCTCTCCTGGGAGGTTTGGGAGGACACACTTCCATCCAAGGAGTTTCCAGGATGACATGCTGAAACAGAAGCCTTTGGAGGTACGGGATCTGGCTGTGCTGTCTCACAGACCACCTGCAGTCCCTTCAGATAGTTATAAAAAAGAAAATAGGTATATAAACATATTTCTCTCTCCCATGTTAGTTTTATAACTGCAATTTGAGCTCAGACATGACCTTACTTACACCATAATACCACGGAAAAACATCAAGCCTGGGGCTTCTCAATACGAGGCATTGTACAGGCAAAGGATATACCGTACATTGTATATCTCCTCTCACCCAGGAGAATAATTTGGGATGGACGGGACCTTAAAATCAAGCTCCAGCCCTCCTGCCATAAACAAGATCAGGCTTCCATCCTGTAAGACAGGATAAGGCCAAGGAGATCCAGACAGATACACCCCATACCCATAGCCTTACCTTGAAGATCTGTGAATAACTGTGATTTCTGGAGATGGAATACTTTAGGGTGGTAACTGCAAGTACTCTTTCAACATTTATTCCCCCCTCCCTCAGCATCTTATTCAAGTTTGTCAAATCTTAGTGTAGAATTTACCTCAGTACGTCCGCTGTCCAGATTAGGGGATTCACAAGTCATGCTCTGATTATTGGTGGGAGAACTTCTCTTGGCTGAGAAAAGAAGTCAAAGCAGGACATTTCAGGAAATGCCTCCTACACGATAATGCACCTGTTATAAAGTATTATAATAAAAGGATAATCCACAAAACAAAACCAGCATCTATCTGCTGCAAGCTTCCTAGGCATTAGTCACAGCCATAAAAAGAAAACAGGACTGGGTTAGTTTTTTTAGTTCTTTCCATTGTCAACAGCACTGTCTACTGAAAATCTGTACTTCTTTAAAATTAAATTTGAATATAAATTTCATCCTAAATCCATTCACCATCAATTGTGTTTTCCTGTGCAGAGTAGTGCCTTTTACTTTGGAGCTCTTCATCCTATTTGTACATATTTTTAGGTGCTTTTTTAAGTTAGATCTCTCAAAGTGTATTGTGATTTCCAACTGGCCAAATGCCTTCAGAACAGGAAATACATGGATGTCACACAGAAAGTTCGATCTGTAATACTGTTGAACACCAAGGGTATCACACAGACTATGATGGCAAGTCTTGAAAACCTGCTGAAATATCCTGTGCAGATGTGACTTTGAATCAGACTGACTGCAAAACAAATATTGCAAAGCAGCTTCATTAGATTTTTTATTCGTTGTTTGAAGGAAAACTGAAATAGATTTTACTTTCTTTTTTCCCAGTTTGAGAAAATGCTAAGATAGCAGCATCTTCCTAGACATAAAAGACCTTATTCCAGTTAGTATTTCTGTCCTGCTGAAATATTTCCTCGCTGTTGTGAGATACTGTCTTCACCCTTCTTAGGAGCTAAGGAAGATAAAGCTAACAGAAATTATATGAGGCTGACAGAAATGATAACTCTACTGAAAAGTTATTAATTTCCTATTTGTGCTGGTTCTCCCATCTCCTATTTAATTACTGTGTAAATGTCAGTTGACTCTCAGGGGAAACAACCTTAAACTACTTTAAAGTTTGACTAGTTCCTGCAGGACCAACATATTTCTTCATGTACGAGGGCTACAGAACATAAGGGCAGCATCAGGCAGGCAAAGGTGAAGGTTCCCCAGATCTCAGGATCTACATTACCACAATGCAAAGTCACAGACCTGTAATGATGTTCCTGATGGGTTTTACAAGAGCATTGAAGGCAGAAACTTCAGGCTGCCTGTGTTCCCACATTGGCTGCCAAATAACAAGGCCACTAGCCAACCGGAATGTCAGGTCAGACTCCTTCAAAAGAAAAACAGAATTTGTTTCCAGTCAGCCAAACATTTCTCTGATGCACAGATCTTACAATATTGTGCAGTTGTCCAGTCAGTACATGCTAACTCAAGCGCTACTGACAATACTCAGCAGGCTCTATACATGTCACTTATGGCTAGTAAAACATCACAGGGAAATTTCAGTCCAAAAATATACAAAGGTTTCTTTTCATATGAAATTTCTGTTCTAGTCAATGAACTCTATTTTTTTTCCAGGACATTGAGCTGTAATAGAAAAGGCCATTCCTGTCACAAAGTATCCCTTTTAATTATACGTAACCACTTTATGTTTAGCATTCAAGCTCAACTTTAGGATTTACACTCTAAGACTTGAACTTCTTCCCCAAAAGAATAAGAACACTAAATATTAAAGCATTACTTAGAAACTGAGGAAACATTTAACAGATTACTATGAAGCAGTGGTATACATGACTGTTATCATCAGCCTTGTTAGTACCTCAACTCTGTCAATACACAGAGACACTGGTACTACTTACACTTGTGCTATTGCTGTTTTACATATACAATCAGCTGACATCATGTAAATTAGTACATTAAATTAATTATAAAATAATTATTAATAATTAATGAAGTATATAAATTAGTGTACAAGCAAACCTTTGCAGGATCAAGGTCCATTTAGTTGACCTAATGTCAGATCTACATTAAGAGACATTGATGTTCCCATATAGCAAACAAACATGGTAACAGCAGTTTTTGGTGGTGCATATATATAACATATAATATATTATATATTATTAGTGTTGTTATAATATATGACAACACCCTCCTATTGAGACATCCCCAGATGCCTTGGCAGCTGGAATGGATGATGCAGACAGAGCTATAGGAATGACAGGAACCAACTGCTTGTAGCTCTGCAGCCCTTCTATTCCCCACCCTCTGTTAGTGCTCTCTCTCATCACTATCAACTCACAAGCTTGGCTTAAATTGAGCTTGCTTTTAATTACTAATTTTGCTAATAGCAGCTTGCAAGGCTTTTAGACCTGGTAGCATCACGTTGTGTTTTCGCTTTGCACTGCTCGCTTGTGGTGACGTGCCAACTCTCCTGCCTACAGTTATGCACTTAAAGAATTACATGCATCCCTCAAAGCCTGATTTAAATACATTTTTCTCAAGACACAAATCCTCCCAGAAGTTGGGAATTCAATAATTTAGGCCTGTCTATGCAAATATGTGTCATCTTCCTTGAGCCCATGGATTATTTTGGCTATCTGATCAGGTAGCAGTCTTCCCCTGAGACTTACAAGACATTGAGAGGACAAAGCTCACTTAGTGAACCATTCACATGCCTCATTTATCTCCTTTCCTGCACTACATTTTGATGACAGAAATGTGCATGTTTTAATTGGCTTTTCAATGTTCACTACCACGGTATTCCAGAGATCTCAGAGATAATCAAGGTAAACTTGAGATACTGCTTTAACCCCCTCTTGAAAACAACATGCCAGACAGATTAACATAAAAGATTGGAACTCCAATCTTTAATAGCCAAGGTCTACCCCCAGTTTCATTCCATTTATTCAAATGGCAGCCTGCATTTTTGTGTGTAGCACTAGGAAGAATTCAGTATTTCTTCTTGTCCTGTCCCAGTAATCTACAGAGAACTAGTAAGCAAGTATAAAAAATTTGGGCTAAATAAATTAAACCCTACTTTACAGGGACTCAGTAGCAGAAGTAGAGAAAGAATCTGGTTCTCCAGTCTTGCTTTTACCTGCCTTAATCAGAAGATTATTCTTTATCTCCTGTTCCTTCCTACCTTCTTCAAGTGTTGCAGCATAGAAGGCAGGATTAGAACAGATAGCCCCATCACTTCATGACTTTATAGTCCTTTTTTCAAGGACCTACTCTTTTTTGAGGTTTAGATGGAAACATAAGGGCTAAATGGCATCCTCCCAGAGGCAGGAGTCAGAGCATGAGGAAAATGCCTTTTCATCACATCACTCTGCAAAGCTGATGCACTCAGCATAAAATTAACAGAGGAACCCCAGTAGACAGGAGGCCTGCAGCCTGCTTCACAACAAAGGAATGCTCCATTGCCTTTGCCACTGCCATGTTTAAAACACCATCCTGCTAATTAGCATCCAAGATGATTAGTAATGACAACAACAAATCCCAGTGGCAGCCCCGTGGTGGAATCCCTGAAAATCTAGCAAGGCTTTTCTGAGCAGGGTTAATAATCACTGGAGCAAGTTAAAGCTCATAATCCTTTCTGCAGTTTTCAGGATCCCAGAGACTTCACTGGGGCCTCAGATCTATGCCATTCCCAAAGGCTAAAAATGGCTCACTTTGTATTTTTTTGTTTTTGTGCCTGCTGGATGCTGTGGCGATTGTTCACATCACTGAGAGGATTTCTTCCCAGTGGCAGCAGCATTCTGCCAGCTTGGTAAAATATTTCCAGCAGTACCCCAGTGTGCACTGTAAGCTGAATTAAATTACAGACACAAAGGCAGAATCATTCCTTTCCTGCTCAGAACTGTCTCCACACAAGAACCCCATGGGTGCACCACTTACCCTGATCCTGTGGACGAGGGGAGCGAAGAGGAACACAAATAGCTCTACTGTGGCCATGGAATTCTGGAAGAACTTCCTTCTGTTATTCTCCTCCTCATCAGCCACGGCGCTGGGCCGGGGATGTCCTGGTGATCCTTGGTTTTCAGCCTGGTGGATAAAGGCACTGCTGCTCCCTCCCCAGCTAGAGCCTCTGTCTCCTCCAAGTCTGTCATTGCTGCAGTCCTGAGGAGCCTCCAGCAGCATCCAGTGAAGGGTGTGAAGGAGCTTTGTTTCAGCTACTCCAAGCTTATCCTGATGTCCTGCATGGAACAACACATCACAGCATCTCACAGGGTTCCCATCAATGATACTGCTGGGATTGTTTCAGAGTTGCACTGGAGGCTGGGCACACATCTCCCACATAAGCATTTGAAAATTAAAATTCTACGATTTTAAAGCACCAGCATTCTGTCTCTTTCCATTTGAAACCTCCTAAATCAGAAGCCTCCATTTATTTCCCAGCATTTGGAGTTCAGTCTCTGCAGTGTCAGCTGCAGGGCATGGACAGCAGCATGGACACAGAGTGGTCCCAAAAGGAACTAACTCAACAGCCTTGTCTGTTCGACTTTGTTGAACAGGAGAAAATTCCAGTGAGCACTGCAAGGTGCTCAAGCTCTCTTCCTAATGTTCCCTACTGGGAGCTCTCAGGAAGCAAATTCCTGCTGAAATCACTGCTGAAATTGGTACAAAAGTAAATAAAGTAAGTTGGATTTGGATCTGCCTCTCTATTGTCTGATTTGCTTTCTGCTGACAGTCACATGCATTGGTCGAAATTAAAAGAAAAAAACAGGCAGAAAAAACCCCAAAAACTGAAGTTATTAAAAGTATCTGCTGCAACTGACCACTGCAGCATGCCTTGGAAGAAATACATATTCCTTCAAGGAATCCATGCTGGGAAATAACTAGCAAAAAATGTTATTGAACTACTCTGACTCCTTAGCCCATCAGACCACTAACTTCACTGGGGAAGATTTCACAGGTTACCCTTCTATAAGTGAGAAGGACAATCAGCAAGAAAGGCAAACCCCAGAAGAAAGTAATTAGGATTTTAAGGATTTAGAATTTGTTGTCACCCTGAGCAGCAATCTGTCATGTTTTAACTGATAGTTTCACAATGGAAAACAACCTCAGATGAGCACTAACCTAGCTTATTCCTGTTGGAGAGCAGTGTTGCAGTGCAGTGCAGCACATGAGGGAGCGCAGCTTGGACAAGTTCCCAGCGAGAAATGCTCTGGATGGCTTCAGAGAGAGCTGGAGAAAGGCCATGAAGCTTGTTTTCTACCAAAACTCTTTCAAAAGACTGAAAGTAGAAAGAAAAAAGGCATGGTGTCTATTTCTGCACATTCCTTCCAGTACATGAACATCCTCTTTTTAAAACCTCTAATCTCTAATTGTATAAATGAAGCAAATTTTATAATATTTGTCCTGAAAAATAGAGACTGTAGCTAAAGCCCACCAGACACATGCATACTTAAATAAGAAATTAATAAGAAAAATAAGAAATTAATGAACCACACAGTGTATTTTCTGCAATATAAGAGAATTGAAGCAAGTATCATCTGTGTATTACTAAGTGCTGACACCAAGCCAGACTTGCAGCTGTGCTGGATAAAGCCAGTAATCCTGACTTACAGTTGTGCTGGGCATCCCAGTTATCCTGTTAGAAGTCACAGGAGCTAGGAAAGCCTGCATTTGTGGAGCTGAGCACTGGATATTCTTAAATACACATGGTCTTTCAGTTTAGTGTAACATAAAGGGCAAAGCACTAAAGGTATACGGGCCTTAGGAAATGTTTTCACACCCTGTCACAAAAAATTATCAGTGTACAAAATTTTTTGTCAAGCTATGATGTAATGGTTGTGTGAACACTTAGAGAGCTGATGGCTGCAGCAAGTTCATTATTTCCACCTGAAGCAACACAAAATAAGGCTATCTGCTGCTGGAATCCCAGCACAGAGGCACAGAAACACATATTTATCCATTAGAGAAGACTGTGCCAGCAGACTGAACCCTGAAATGATCACAATAACCATCAGAGATGCCAGCAAATATCAGTGTGCAGGTCACACTGCCAGCCTGCTAGAAACACCGGGCTGCAATCAGAAAATGTAATACACTTTCCTGATGGACCAATGGCTGAAATTGGAGGGCATTTGCTGTAATACATGGAAAAGACACTGGCTTCCTGAGGGTTAGTCAGAATTAATGTGCCATGGATCATGTTGTCAGCAACGTGTGTTTCTTAGCACCAGGAATGGATAAGCTGTGTACCAGGGAAGGGATGCTTCAAGTTACCCTTATGGGGATCTGCTGGGGGCCACAGCATCTGAAAGGAAAACAGCCTCCTGCCACTCCATCCTATCAGTTCAGGAATGGGGGCAAAATGAAGGGATACTGATGCTTTGAAAGCCTGGACAGGACAGGGAGCAGAGCACCCATGATAAAGCCTGACTATTCTGTCCCAGTCAGGAATCACAGTAGGACAGCAAGTGCATTAGTATAAAAACAACAGAGATTTAGAATAAGTATCCCAGTCAAGGAATTACTACATAACAAAAGGGGGGAAAGAAGAAAAGTATCCCCAGAAACAGAACAAGAGGTACATTGTTACAAACACCACAAAGTTTGTGAAAAGGAAGATGTTTTACTTATTTTTATAAAAAGAGGACAGGGAGCACCCCTTAGTCATTGCTCCAGCCACACACTGCTATTTCCACTCATCCATCCATAAGCTCTGGGGCTCACTGAATCCTTCATTCAACCAAGCCAAGCCTCTACACAGAGCAAGAGGAAGGTCAGCACAGAGGTAAGTAGCTCCTGCCCGTGTTAGGGAGCTGGATTAGCTCTCTGAAAGGCCTACCAAACACCAGTGCTGACCATGGCTTATTGAGCTGAATGATATCACCTCCAGCACAAAAGCCAAACCACAAGCTCACACTTCAGTAGAGTTGACAAAGTTACTCATTTTGCAGGGCAAAGGGAGATAAAAAACCCACTGGGAACACCAACCCTGTTCTGTGAAGTGTGACAGAAGTCACACTTTCTATTCAAGGTCTCATTCCTGGGTACTTCAATGACATCAGGTAGAAAGTTCCCCAGCAATTGCCTTCTATAACCTCTGAGCCACAGTCTGCATGCTTCAGTAACTCAAGAGGCAGCTAAGGAGTTTGCAATTATGTCTTTAGATTAGGCTTGTATTTATCACAGCATTTTGGGCTGCTGAGCCCTTGTGAAGATTTCCCTATGTGGCTAGCCACCAGATTCTCCTGTTCTTTCCAGGCCTGAGCAGAAAGCTAAACATTTCTGTACTACAATCAAAGATCAGCTTCTGGGATAGCTCATGTGATCACAAGCATCTGAGACAGGAGTACCATATGTTGCCAGAAAAATTCAAACACGAAAGCTGCTGTATGGAGAGCACTGAATGTCCATGGCTGCTACAGGCACTGCCCTGCACAAAACTGCTCCTGTGGCTGCACTGCCAGCACACCAACTAATTGGCACTAAACCCCACACTGAAAACTGTCACAAGCAACAGGAACATGCAGTTCTTTGGACAAGAGCTCCTGTGGAATTTGCCTGGAGCTCTCCATAAAGGTGTAGCTTCTGGCTATACAGAGATGCTCAAGGCCCTGTGTTGCTGCTGGAGAGCCTCCTTTTTTGGTGTGCTGTGGCTTTACTCTTTCAGGACCTGCTACAGGGAATATATAGACACTGGGCAGAAGACCTAATGTTAACCCCACACCTGCTGAGAGGAGCTCCATGGTTAAATAAGAAGGCTGAATGAGAATGTGTGAATGAGCTCCCTGTGAGTGGGTCAGGAGACAGACACTGCCATGCCATGGGTACATCTGGAGCCCCAACCCCAGGGCTCAGGGCTGCAGCCTGGCTAGGAAAACAACTACCTACTTCTACACCACACACACCAAAGGCAGATAAAGAACATCTGCCAAGGGGACAGTGAGGGAAGTGAGTGCCTTGGCTGGAGAAGCAGTCCCTTTCAGCAGTGCTGTGTGTGTTCAGCTCCCTCAGGACCACTTACACAAGCATTTTTCCTTTTAGCCTAGCAGTGACAGATGTTTTCACAGGCAGTGGTGGCCAGCCTTGTCTGGCTGCCTTCCCACTGCTGCTGTTCTCCTTTTACCTTCATGTCCACCAAGAACCAAAGGTGCTGCCAAATACCTTGTGACCAGGATCAGCCTGTGTGTCACTGGCTGCTCTGTCCCACACTTCTCTAGGCATCTGGAGCATTCCAAAGCTCAGACTATCTGTTCCCATTTCAGCAGCACTCTGGCTGGGCTTTGCCATGGTTTCCTAAACAGCTTTGCATGAGCTGCATGATCTTGTCCTGCTCTAAGCCCAGGGAAGCTGTACCTGCAGTGAATTGCATAAGGCAGGAGGAGGTCAGCCAGGGGTTGGCAGAGGGTGCCCAGAGTTTGCCAGGGGTTCCCAGAGGTTACCTGGGATGCTCAGCACCTCCTGTAAGATCCTCCCAGGAGTGCCAGGGAGTATCCCTACAGGATACCCCTACAGGATACCCCTACAGGATACCCCTACAGGATACCCCTACAGGATACCCCTACAGGATTGCCCAGTGCTTAGCCCAGGGCAGGTACAGAAGGGCCATGGCAGAAACAGAGAAATGGTTGGTGCTTCTTGAACTTCTGTCCTTGCAGGGGGCCTTGCTGCCCTGTCCTTCCAAAGCTCAGTCTGCACCCCAGAGGAAAGCTGAGACCACTGCTGAAATCTGACTGGAAAGAGCTTGAAGTGCAGGCAGCAAGTTTTGTCAGTCTGGGGCAGGTCCAGTGAGCAAGGAAGAGTTCCTGGGAAGATCTGGGAACCTAAGAGTTCATAGCACAAGGGGTGCCAAGACTCCATTGTCTACTAAACAGAGCAATAGTATAAACATTCACCAGTAGTGAAACACAGATGGCAAACACTTTACCCACAGAAATTCACTTTTCTGCAACCACATCCATTGGCTGGATAAAATAAAGGTGGCCTCTTTCTGAACTTTATACAGCTATATTTTAATTATCCATAATAACAAAACATGTAATTATATTTTCAAAAACATGCGAAGGGAAAAACAGAACAAAACCAAAACCAAAACCAAAGAACAAAACATAAAACAAATAAAACCAAAAACAAACAAAACAAAAAACTCCACAAAAACAACAACAAAAAAACCAAACAAAAAAAAACCAAACCCCAACCAAAACCAAAACCAAACTAAAGGAAATAAAGCCACAACCAAACAGAAAAGAGGGAAACTTTGAATTTGCAGGATCCTTCAGAAAACATTGGAGTTCTTCCATGGCCAATGCAAACCAGAGCAGGAGAATTTAAGCATATCTTCAAGTTCCTTACCATCACCCAAAAAATTAGGTTTGTACAGCACCCACATGTTTTCCTGTGAGGCCATTTACATCTTTGACTCATTAGGAATGGCCTCATGTCAGGGTAGGACAACTTCAGAATGGGGAGGAGGAAGAACAACAAATCCATACAGAGGCACAAACATATTTAGATGTTGTAAGACAATGTATGGGGAAGGGTATTTATCTTCAGCTTAAAGGCCAATTGAAATAAGTGTGATGGCTCAGATAAAGAGAGCAATGCAATGAAAGGGACAGGTTTTTTTTTTTCCACAAGTATTATGGTATAAAACAAAGCTCAAAGAAGCAGTGCAATATGCTCTTGCAGACCAGATGCTGCACTTACTGAACCTCAGGCTCCAGCATCTATTTCCTCCATGCACAATATGCAGCAAATTCTACTGCAGCAAGGTTAGAGCCAGGAATAATAATAGAATACTACACAATGTCGTGTCATACACATTTCCAGACAGGTAACAGCCTGTAGACATGCCCACAACAATTCTGACTAGAGAATTACAAAATCATGCAACAGGTGCATTGTATCTTTAGGCACACTAGTCGGTAGAGGGGTGTTGGTCAGCAGCAGGTTTCAGAAGACAGGTCAGGAACCTGTCAGGTTCCAGAAACCCTGTCTCACCCAGGCACACAGCACTCTGCTGCCCCACTGGATAATGTGGGATGTGTTGCTGTGGGCAGACATTCCTGCCCAGTAGGTAGAGGAAATGGATGAAGCAGAGGGCAGAAAATGTGTCAGTTCAGGCTATAACTCAAAAATTCCTCAAAAATAAGCTCCACCTTTCAAAGTTTTCCACCATAATTTAATGATTATGTTAAGAACTGGAGAAGAATCAAGTTCCTCATCCAACAAGTGGAAATTCATTGGATCTTTATAAAGTGTCTTTTTTCAGAGGTCCCTTTCTCTTGGCTGAGGCATGGGATTTATGTTGTCTCACAGTTTAGGGGGTTTTGGGGTGTAGTTTGTTTGTTTTGTAGTAAATTCTGGTATGTGCTCACAGAAGAAAAGTGCTTTAGAATTGGCCTCAGGGACCTGATGCCAGCAGCAGAGCAGGAAGCAAAGGAAGTTTCAGGCAGGAAGGTACATCACAGAGAGGGCACAGAGAAGGAAGCTCTGTCCCTTTACCCAGCAGTGACAGCTGTGAGCCCACAGATGAAGCCACAGCCTCAGATTAGAGGTGGCTCCTGCACCCTGCCTGGTAAAGGACATAAGACAGCAAACACCATTCTCCAGCCTCTCAACAACCAGATACTGCCAGTAGGCATGAACCAGTGATGATGCTTTCTGTTGCATACGCTAGAATTAAACATTTTACTCACCAAAACACTAAGCCAGCACTCCTCTATCTCTATTTGGTATCTAGCAAAAACTCTGAAAAATTGATGGATTTCTTAGAAGAAAATGACTCAGCAACAGATAATGCTTCTCCAGCCTAATGCCTTGTGAGAAGGAAGTCAGAAAATTGCTGCAGAGTGACCTAAGAACTTTAAACTATTAAAATACACGTCCAGACCAAATTTTTCCACTCTGTCGGGTTTGGCTGCAGCTGACTAATGTACTTTAAGTAATCCAAAGACCAGAAACCATTCAAAGAATTCTGAAATTCTCTAGATACCCATCTTATTTGAACTTGCTTCATGTCTTCCCTTTTTCTCCCCTTTTGGCACTAACTTGAGACTTTATTTGAAGTACATTTAGAAATAAGAGTTATTTGTATCTGCATGATGGCCCCTCCTTAATCATTCTGATAAATTATGCTCCCTCTAATTTCCAGCAGAAATGTTTCCCATGTTGCACGGGGGTAAAAGAATTGTTCAAAGCCTGTTAGCATTGCTTAGATTTTCCATATTATAAGCTTGAAAAACCTTCAGCAATCACAAACTGAAATGACATCCATCCCATGCAAAAGCACACCCACACAGGATGAACTGCAAGGTTACACCCAGACTGTCAAAGCTTAGTTTGTCTACTTCATTATTTAATTACTACAGCGTTATTACTAATTAATTACTTATTACTAATACCCAAATAAATTCTTTTTTTGTTGTGTCTAAAGACGGGCATGATACGCAAATTCTCTCTACGGGAACAATTTCAAATTCTTCATGTGATAAAAGTACAAAAATGAAGCAGAATGGACTAAATCCACTTCTGGTGTAAGCTGAGAATCTTGCTGACCACTGGAGTCAGGTTGATTTGCATGAAAAATTGGTTATTTACAAGCTTTGAAAAAGAGACACGTGTACATACCACACAGGAAGCTTCATATTGTTTCCCCAGTTTAGGTCTTAAAAATGCACTGAAAGAAAGGAGAAGAATCATTAGAGACCCAGTACATCACTGTGTATTTTTTCTTAGTTATTTTTAGGATTCTTCTCATGTCAGAAAGTTGTCAAAAGGCTGAGAAACTCAGTGTAAAGGAAGACATAAGCCAAAACTATGCTCAGATACCTGTTGATGATGTCTGATAAATGCTGTTATCTTTTCCAGAAGAAAAAGTACCCACCCTGATATGTCAAGAGGTATTTAATTCAGCCCACAAGAGATAAAATCTTCCATCAGACAATTTTCAGCCATTTTACCTCAGTGAAAGTATTTTCAACATACTCTGTTTAAAATTCGTAAAATATTACTAAACTTTGCCTTGCCTCTATTCTAAGACAGAAATCAGATTGCCTGCTCTCTATTAAATATTTTTTTCTGCACAGCTGATGATGTGGAAGGCTTGTGGTGAAGTGCAGGCCTGTGTGCTGTATGTAGAGAACATCCACCCTCTATCATTCTCCTCCAGAAGGAGATCAGAGTAAATATTAAAAAAAAATAATCAGGTCACCTTATTGCAGGGTGGTTTGGGTTTTTTTTTTTCTATTTTATTTTGAAGGACACTGACTGTGGCATAAGGAGATTTTGTGACTGAGGCCTTAAATTAGAGCTTCAACCTTCAAATCTTCCAAGCTCCCCCACTGCCCCCACAATGTTTTCAATTTAGAATCCTGCCAGGACAGGAGGCTGACGGGATTCACGAGGAACATAAAGCGCCAGCCATACATTCAGCTGGTCCCTCGCACATCTCCAACCCCTCACTCTCCACTGCTGTGAAATAAGGTGAGACTTTGACGTATCTGTTTGCCTGCCGGCCTCCCAAAGCATGGATGACACTTCCAGGAGGGCTGCAAACACAGGCAGAAGGAAAGCTGCAGGTCTGGTGCAGCACTGATGATGCTGCTCCTGGAACCAGAGCTCTGTGAGTTCTCTTGAAGGATGGGGGTTGGGGCAGGGGGGGATGGACGGGATGGGGAACACGGGACAGGGAGCAAGGCAAAGGCACACGGAGAAACAGAGACATGGATGGTTTAAAGTCAAACCAAGAAGCTGCCTGGGACTGCCACTAGGTTAAGCTGCCTCCAGACCTCCTCCCTCACCCGATGCACACAAATTTCTCGATGCTGAGTAGAAAACCCGGTGTTTTTTTCATGCCTTCACGTTGCAGCTGCAGTGATATCTGCGTCCTCCCTGGCAGCGGGCAGCAGCGGCTGGCCCGCACCCCCCTCCATCCTTCCACTGCCCTGTTGCAGCCCCAGCCCAGGTACCCCGCTCTTACCTGGTTTGCCTCCATAGGAAGGTCTGGATGGGCAGAGGGATGCCACGGCCACTCTCCTGCTCCTGGCCCTCTGAGCTTTTCCTTTTCACCATGATGCTGCAGTCTCAGCAGACGCCCCGCTCGGGATCTCCCATGGCCGCCTCTGCCTCTCCGCAACTCTTTACCCCCTCCCCTCCATTCCCCGCCGCCCGCCCCCTCTCTCAACTCCGCTGGTGCAAAATGGCTGCAGAAGGCAGGGAGGAAATTAGGGGGGAGCGAAGATGTCCGCGTCCTTCAGCTTCCTCCGTGCCTTCAGCACCTCCCTCGGCGGACAGCTCCCGCTGCCCGGCGCGGGGGCGGCGGCGGCACCGCCCGCCAAACTTCCCGCACCTCCCCAGCGGCGACAGCGACAGCGACAACAGCCACCACAACAGCCACAACAGCAGCGACAGCCAGCCCCGCAGCAACAGGGCCGCGGCCGCCCCTCCCCGCGGCCACCAGCGCAAAGTTGGGAAGCGCTGGCAGACTGCAGCGAGCAGAGCATCGTCCCAGAGCACCATCCCCGAGCATCATCCCACAGCATCATCCCACAGCATCATCCCCCAGCATCACCCCAGAGCACCATCCCCCAGCATCATCCCAGAGCATCATCCCAGAGCACCATCCCAGAGCACCATCCCACAGCATCATCCCAGAGCACCATCCCAGAGCATCATCCCAGAGCATCATCCCACAGCATCATCCCACAGCATCATCCCAGAGCACCATCCCACAGCATCATCCCAAAGCATCATCCCAGAGCATCATCCCACAGCATCATCCCAGAGCATCATCCCAGAGCATCATCCCAGAGCATCATCCCACAGCATCATCCCAGAGCACCATCCCAGAGCATCATCCCAGAGCATCATCCCAGAGCATCATCCCAGAGCATCATCCCAGAGCATCATCCCCGAGCATCATCCCAGAGCATCATCCCAGAGCATCATCCCAGAGCATCATCCCAGAGCACCATCCCAGAGCATCATCCCAGAGCATCATCCCCCAGCATCATCCCAGAGCATCATCCCAGAGCATCATCCCAGAGCCCGCCGGAGAGCAGCTGCATCCTTCCACCCTCATCCCTCCCTGCCTCCTTCCCACATGGGGAGAGAAGGGAAGCAAGGCAGAAAGCCTCTCTGAAAGTGAAGGTTGGTGTTGGGAGCAGAGGAACTTTGGGGGAGTTGTTCCACGGATTTTTCTTAGGCAGAAAAGCTGAGGCAGAGGTGGAGAGGATGGGGAGCACCAAAGCAGATTTACTGGTGTTTCCAATTAGGCACCAGACTAATTTGGTTAATACAAGCTTATGTTTGAGTCAGGTTTGCTGGAAATACTTCTCAGGCACTGTTAGATTAGCTCTCCTTCTCTACCTAAGGGTATCAGAGGACAGTATACTACAACAAATAATATAATAAAATGAAAGACCTATGCAAGTTCATCCCAAAGAGTTTCCACAGGAAAAAAATAAATAAAAGTGACATTCCATTGCTTATATGAAAATATTGAAAATTTAGAGAGATGCTCCAACGAACCAGGGCGATAATTCTTCCTGTCTTTCAATCTCCCTACTAAATGTTAGGCACCTAAAGATTCACCAAGGTCATTCCTTCCTGGTAGAGGAGCAGAACACATGAACATGAACACTATTTACTTCCTATGGGGTACTTTAAGGAGAGGTTTGCTGAAAAATCCAGTGCTGCTACTTAGGTAATTTGAATTTACTCCCACTTGAGATGATGTTTTTTTCTGGTGCCTAAGGCAATACTTGATTTCCAGTCTTGATCTCCTGTCATGGAGAACAGGACCTCATGTGATCCACATTTTGCTAAAATTCCCCTCTTAAACAAAATGAATATTAAGACAACTAATTAGAAAGTAATCTTTTAAATAAATAAAAAAAAAGGTTTGCAACCAAAATGATTTTCTTAATTTTTAAAATTTTTAAAGTTTTTAAAGTTTTTAAAATTAAAATCACTAATCTCCCTGAGTACTGAAATGCTGAACCAGTTGTCTTTGTTCATATTGTCTGGATGGGTTCTTTGCCAGCAGCATCTTGACAGAAGTATGGCCTTTTATTAATAGAATTACCTTGTTCAGGCAGGAAATATTTTAATTACCATGTTCTTTCCTTCCATTATGTGTAATTGGACATGGACAAAATTATCTTGATTTCTTAAATCTTTTAAGAATACAGAGAGAAGGTAGTTAAAACTGTTGACTTCTAAATGCAAGGTCCACATCCCTTCAATCCAGGACTTTTGTCTTCTTGTTTGGACAGTTCAGAAAGCAAATTTCAGCATTAATTTCTTCTAGAATGCCTCTTAACAGTCAGTACTAAAGCACTATGCAGTAGGAATAATGAACTTATTTTTTAATAATTAGGTTTTTTTCAGGTCCTGTCATGTGCTATGAAATTATTGACTAAAACTGATACTCAGCAACAAATCTGAAGTCAAATTTTTTTGAGTTTTAGTTATTGTCAAGCAGGCAAATCACGTTCTTCCAAGCAAAGTATGAGGACAGAAAAGTTCTAATGCTATTTGTAATTAAGGAGAATAAGTGAGCTGAGCTGTTGAGGCCTGAAAAAGTGCAAGGTCAGTGTCTTTCTGATGGGTGTTGACAACAGCACTAACTAGGACTCAGCTTTCCCACAGGTAGAAGGATGCAGGCCAGGGGTGGTTTATCTGAATGTTGTTTTAAGTGTTGTATAGTCTCACTCTTAAAGTCAGTGCCATTTTAGTCAGTGATAATATTTACCTACCTTGAGTTTAAGACAATTGCATTCTCTTAGTAACAGGTAGGCACAGTTCAGATGTGTTTGGTTTGTGTTTTGTTTGATTTTAAAAGGGTATCTCTCTTTATTCCTGCTGTCAAGAAGCAGCCACAATAGTTTCCAGTTCATCTCTCTAGGCCTAAGCTTATTGTTCTTATTGTTCCCATGCTTTGCTATGCAACAGGAAACCCAGGACCAAAAGAGAGCACTGCAGCTTGCTCCAGACTACAGCCAAAATTTCCTAATGATTCTCCTGGATGTAATAGACACTAAAGGGCACTTGATGTGGTCAGCTCCCTAATAAACAGAAAGGGATGAAAGTGTGAACACAAAACTCCACCACAAAAAAAAAATAAACCCGACCAAACCAAACAAATTTTATTGGAAAACAATGGCATTCATCAGTTTCAAACCTACACAGGTAAACATCATTGCTGCCCTGAATAGAGGCTGTCCTAGAGAACAGAGAAGATCACTAGCAAGACTTCATGGGCCTCCAAAGGGGAATCCATTTGGCCTCTTTACAGTCTGAAGGAGAGCAGGAGTGGAGCACACATGGGACAACTGCACATTACTGTCAGTGTTAACTATCACTCAGAAAGCAGGAGGACAACACACCAGTACCTCACCTGGCTTTCTGTTACATCCTTGAAGACTCTTTAGAGGAAACTAATAGCTTTGAAGCTCAGGATTATTTTCCTTGCTCTTTCTTTGTGCATAGCCAGTGCCTTGCCCTGTCACAAGCCATCAGCAAGTGGAGGTCACACAGCCCAGCACTGAGAGGAAACTGAATCACTGCTTGGAATTTTGTTCAGGACTACTTCGTAGTAACTGAAAATATAACTGCAGATTGCAGTTCTAGTCAAGCTTGCCATTTGAGTGCAGCATATTGCTCTCCAACTGCAGCCAGTCACAAAAGACACATAAATCCCTTTGTTTGTACAAAGGTTTGAAGTTACAGAACTTCTGATGCAAAACAAATCAGAGAGCGAAGAAAACATTATCAACAGCTGGCTCTGTCACAAGAACTGCAGGCATGAAGATGTAGATCTCAAATCCAGCCAGGCCACCACCAGCACTAAGCCCAGGAGGTGGCAATGGTGGTTTACATTAAGTTTGACAGTGGTTAGAGACAAGTTTTATTCTTGCTTTGTTTTGGAGACCATGCCCACCACCACAAATGGCACACAAAGCTGAAGCAATCTGTGTCTCTGTAGGTAAAATTAATTGCATGTGTACGAGAAGAAGAAATTTTACAGCCTGTCAGATTTTATTTATCTCTATATTGAGTTTCTGCTGGCAGCAGTGGCTTTCAGATTTGCAGTCAGCATTTGACCACACCTAAATAAATAATAATAATAATAGGTGCTACAAAGGGAAAGTCCTGCAAATCAAATGCTTTCCTCAAAAAGAGGAAACAAGTAGACTCTTCAGAGAGGCCATTACAATAGGACAACAGCAAAGTGTCCTGAAAAATTCACCTGTGCTCTGTTCTCTAGGCTACACTGGCATCCTGGGCTGACACAGAAGCACAGGCTGGTCTGCCTGCAAAAAGATCAAGAGCACTGCAAAAAGTCACTGCTGTCAGAAAGCAGGTGAGGGAAGAGTGGAGAAAGCTCTGCACTACTCCAACAATTCCTAGCCCGTGCCACTGCTTAGTCACAGAAGATGCCTGTGACACTATCTACCCATTTCCTACCTTACTGCAGAGAGGAGGAGTCTGACGTGCCTCCAGATCATGATTCTGCTTGATCACTGCTTTATTCAGCAGACACTTATGTTTACAATCCATCACAGAAGGATTTAGTTTTGATCCAGAAACAATCAAGGCTGGCAGCATAGCACAGAGTGGGGACACCTGAGCATGAAGCCCCCACCTTAGACAGGAGTGCTCAGAGCAGGGAACTGCTCAAACCTCACTGCCTTGCACTTGTTTCCATGGTTATGTTCTCCAAGTTCCCACCCTCCATCAATCCCTGCCATACACACTCACAAATAAGAATTCACATCTTATTTCTCTGAACTCTCTGTGCAGAATCCAGGCTCTCAAGAGTACGTCAAGCCATTCTGTTGTGCAGCAGCCTTTCCAGGAGCAAAGCTGCAAACAGCTTCTAAATGTCACTTCCAGAGCAGGGAAAAAAATATTTGCCACATCCTCGTGATCTTACTCTTCCACTGGCTGCTGAGCAGACCCATCAAGAAGGAAAACCCTTCCTCTTCTTGGGACAAACAGTCATAGAAGATTAGCACTGATGGATGTCACTCATTCTACCCTTTCCCATATGGGTCTGTCAGGTAGAAAGAAAGTAAAAATGTAGAGAAGCCTAGGAAAGCCCTGTTTTTTCTTTAAGGGCTTTTAAACAGCATGAAAACAT